AAAGGGCCACTCAGAAGCGAGCACCCTGGGATACCTAATACCTTAAGGTACGCTAGCGTACCTGATGCTGGCAGGCTATCCTGGGGAAGTTGGGTCGAAGCCGGGCCCAAGCTGTCACAGCTGCGGGTTCCGCGCCGTTGAGTGGCGTGCTGTGGAGGGGCCGAGGCTTCGAGCTTGACGAGCTTGACGAGCCATGGATGTTGGGGCAAGGGGGCTGTTGGCGCTAGCTGCGGGCGTGGTGGGCGTGCGTGGTGGGCGACTAGGACAACTCGAGCGACGTCCGCCAGGGTGCGCATGCGCGACTGCTCAAGTGCGCCTGCCATGGATGGTGCGCCCCACTTCCCCAGCCTGGTCGTGGACGAGGATCTGGCTCCCGGGTCGTGCCTGCCAGCCCCTGACCCGGCCGCTGCCCCTGCCCCTGCATCCTCACCCCGGGTCACCAGCACTGAAGAGGGCTGAAGCTTCAGCCCTTCTCGCCCTTCGCCCGACCAATCATTGGACCCTCCCCATCTGCTGCGAAACACCCTCTCGGCCCGCACAGCCCGCCGAGCACCCCGAGAGCATCAACCCGGACCATGAGCTATAAGCCGTAAGCTATACTGCTAGTCTTGGTTTCAAACCTCTTCGTCATCCATCGTCGGCAACCGGCACCGAGCACGTCGAGGTCTGGCCCCTGATCAACTGCTGCCAGCCACAAACGACACACAAAACCACACAAGACCACCCAAAAGACAAACGCCCTCGAAAACCCTGCCTCCCGCCGTGTCACCAAACTGTGCCGCGCCAGATCTCGTCGACCACTCTCTCAAGAGAGCCTTCCGAGCCCCTTTCAATCCTCAGCCGCAGAGAGTAGATCATCTCATAAACCGCAACTAGATCAGCACATCCGTGCAGGTCTTCTCTTAGTCTCTCAGCCGTGGCGGTCGGCCCCCGAACATTCTCTAGTACAATGTGCTCCAGGGCCCTGTTCTTGGGCGCTAACGGCTTTCCCTGAGACAACGTGCTAATTCCTCGTAAGTGCCTTCTAGCACTAAACCTTCGCGGCACACGACCCGCGAGGCCGGCGCAGGCATCCCAACCCGAAAGCCAGCAGCACGACTCCTTTAAGCTTGGTTTCATTCGCGACAGCCACCCGCACGCGTTGTGTGTCGCTAACATTTGAGCTCCTAGCAGCCACGGCAGGATTACAATATTCTTCTCTCTCGGTTCAGGAGTCCTCGTTGGCCCCATTGATCAATCTTGCTTCCAAGTCCGGCTGGTCGCGGCGGAGCATGGTCTTGTGCCAAGCCGAACTCTGACGGCCCGGCTATGCTCACCAGCTTATGCTGGCGACTGCCCAGCTCCCAGCAGCGAGTTGCTGAAGCAAGGAGGGAGATTCTGGGCGTGACTTGCATCCAGGCTCCTCGCTCTTAGCCGAGACCGACGGCACGCGGAACGTGGAACACCAGGAGAGCTGCCTTCAACTCCCGGTGAAACGTGACATCTACAACCTACGCGACTCAGGCTTCCCACTCGAGAAAGTCAAACCGCCGACGCCTGGCCCACTCTCGATAATCGGGTATTGCTGCTTCTACTGGGTTAATTATTTAGAAGAGAACATTACGAATTAGGATGAAGGCAGGAACGTACGCGGCGGTAGAATAGTAGATAGCTTCTTGCGGAATAAGGCTCTCTACTGGATTGAGGCGCTGAGTCTACTACGTGGCATCTTAGATAGCATCGTTACATTAGAGGGTCTTAAGTAGTGTATTTAGGTATGTTTATATATGCCCATTTGCACGTTAAGATTTCTGAATCGGGCAGGATCGTCAGGGTGCTTTAGGTCTTCAGGCGATAGTCGTTGACGTGTACCGTCTTCTACGAAGCTTCCGGCCGGCGATCGAGAGCCGACCACTGCAATGTTACGCCTCGGTACTCATTTTCACCCAGCCAAGCACAAGCAGAAACGCCATAAATCCAGAGGCGAAAACCAAGAAAAGCGGGATTTTCGACTCTTAGGCGAGGTAGCTGAGCACTCGCTTCCCAATCCTTGTCCCGGAATCGACTAGCTTCGCTGTAACTTCCCTTGGTGGTGTTGATGGGGCCATCCTGTGCTTGTATGCATGTATTCCCCCAAACATGATGTGGCCCGTGGGACTCCTGATTCAACGGAGACGAATCGGAGTTGACCCAAAGCCAGGGTGGCGTACAACCAACAAACCTACAAATGTGGCGGCAAACGAGTAGACAGAGAGATACTTCCAGTGTGAGTCGAGAACAGGGTACGTAACTCGAAACTGCCATTGAGGTGTGTTGGTGACAAACCAGTTGGATCTAACACCAAGGTTTGCAAGTTTTCCAAAGCCATGGCATGGAAGAGGTGCAGCGCGAGTAATTCCTCACCCTGCCAAACCAAGTGCTGGCCGTAGATGTCACAGCAGCTTGGTCTGTGGGCAGATTTTACACGGAGGGCCGCGAGAGTGGACGCCACCACCTCTAGCGGTGTTTATCCTAATTAAAAGAACTCACGAGCCTTGAGATTTAGTCGTGGCTTCCTTCAAGCATAACACTTTTGACATGTCCCCTGTAAGTGCTAAGGGGGGAATCTGCACGCGTGCACCCTGCAAAATAAACGAATTTGTCGATCGGCTCTGAAAGACCAAGTACCTCACCACCCATAACTCTCCTACTACTAAAGGCAAGTTGTTTATATAAGGTGGGCTGGGTAGTACTGCTTTCTATGACCTCTTTCAACTGCTACGTCTCGCTTGCGTGCCTAGTCCATCGCCTTGCTTTGTCGCTCTGATCTCTAGAGCTTGATATGGATCTCGCTTCCATATACTTCGGCTTCTTTCTAGGCGTCTTCGTGTTTGTCTTGCAAAGGTTGTGCAGCAGACACGGAGCGTATGGAGACGCACACGGAGACTTCACAACGCGTACTTGTATATGATCTGGACAGAGGCATGGGTAAATTTCATATTTGCCACCGTCACATAACGTAATCCACGGGTGAGCGGGTCACACGGGTGAACGGGTCACTTTACTGCAATTTAATTGAGGTTCACTTCCTTCTCCTTTTTCTCCACCTCCAATCATGGGACGACAATCAATTGAAAGTGATTGGTTCTAGCGTTAAATGCGCTCCAATCCGACCCAAAATTAAGCGTACGAAAGGCTGCGCAGATCTATAATGTATCTCGTACGACACTCCAGCAACGATACCACGGCCGAGCTGCGAAACACGACACCCGACCACCCTGCCAGAAATTAACCTCATACGAAGAGGAGAGTATCGTACGATACGTACTCGACCTAGATTCGCGTTCGTTTCCACCGCGGTTAAGTGGTGTTCGAGAAATGGCGGATCGACTCCTCCGCGTACGCGACGCGCCACGCGTTGGAACGAACTGGGCCTCAACCTTCGTACGACGACGACCTGAGCTCCGTACGCGTTTAAATCGAAGAATCGACTACCAGAGGGTCCTCTGCGAGGATCCGGACGCGTATTACGCGTGGTTTAAGCTCGTACGAAACATAATCGCGAAATACGGGATCCACAATGACGACATCTATAACTTCGACGAAACAGGCTTCGCGATGGGCAAAATCTCCGTCGAAACCGTCGTTACGACCTCCGATCGACGCGGGAGGCCAAGAGCTATACAACAAGGGAATCAGGAATGGGTTACAGTAATCCAGGGCATCGCGTCGTACGGCTATTCGATCCCGCCGTATATCATCTTCGTAGGGAAGGTCCACCTCGACTACTGGACCGCGAATAGCCCTCTACCGGCTAACTGGGTAATCGCGCTTTTAGAGAACGGTTGGACGATGAACGAGAGAGGCCTAGAGTGGGTAAAACACTTCGATTTCTATATAAAGAGTCGTACGAAGGGCACTTACCGCCTCCTCATCCTCGACGGCTACGAGAGCTACCATTCCGTCGATTTCGAGCTCTACTGCAAGGAACAGAATATTGTCACGCTCTGTATGCCTGCTCATTCGTCGCATAAGCTCCAGCCTCTCGATGTTGGGTGTTTTGGACCTCTGAAACGGGCGTACGGTAAAGAAATCGAAGGTCTAATGCGGGCGCACGTAACCCACGTTTCAAAGGAGGACTTCCTCCCAGCCTTTTATAAGGCGTACGACGCTGCAATGACCAAATCAAACATCCAGGCAGGCTTCAGAGCGACAGGCCTAGTACCGTACGACCCGAATTATGTGATTTCGCAGCTAGATATGAAGTTTCATACGCCGACACCACCAGGTTCCTCTGCTGGACTACCACCCCCATGGGTTTCAAAGACGCCGAACAACCTAATTGAGACCGAATCGCAGACGAAGTATATTGAAAATCGCATCGTACGACACCAGAATAGCTCACCGTCGTCCATTGTTGAGAGCGTACGGCAGCTGAGAAAAGGAGTTATAATGATGGTACACGAGCAGGACCTTATGCGCCAAGAGCTCGCCGAACTTCGAGATGCAAATGACCGCCTCAGCCGCCGTCGTCGTACGAAAAGAAAGCAGCTATAGAAAGGAGGGTCCCTCACGATTGATCAGGTAAAGGATTTGAAGGCTCAAATCGATGCGACGCAGCAGTTAATAGCGGAAACGAGTCAGAATAGTGGTCGTACGAGGAGGCCCGAAACGCGCGCGCGACGATGTGGCGTCTGCGGCGAGCCCGGTCATAATGCTCGTACGTGTCAGAAAGTTGTATCTGCCTCTGAAGAAGAGGATTCTGAATAGTTTGAATTGATTTAAGGCGTTGTGGTTAAATTGTCTTATATATTGTCGTACGAGTTACTGGAAGGTGACCCGTTCACCCGTGTGACCCGCTTACCCGTGGATTACGTTATCTGTACCTGAATAAAATCATTCCCGGAAGGTGAGTCCTAGTCATCCGGTAGTCGCACTCAGGGTCAATACTAACTAGCATCTCCAGTCTCCCGTTCTACTTGGTTTCTGGTAATTATAAATAGGATGGGGGTCCTGTGAGAAACTCTTGGACTAATAATTATGTAGTGACACTATGGGCAATCCAGACGCAACTCTTACCCCAAATCATTGCCAACCGCGCCGCTTGGTTAATGACTAGCAGAGGCAGAGCTAGAAGGCTGAAATGGGGTCTTGTGATTGTTATCGGGTGCATTGATATCGCCGTTTACTACATCTGGACTACCGCCCACATGCCAGGAGCTACACCTTCCCAGATTCATCTTAACCTTGTGTTCGAAAAAGCTGAGAAGTCTTTCTTCCTCGTCATTGATTTGGGGCTCAATGCATACTTCTTATATTTGGTGCGCTTCGGGCTGATTGCTCACGGGCTAGGCAAGTATTGGAGGCTCTTTAACTTCAATGCCGGAATGGTGGTTGTCTCTACGTCCATAGATATTCTACTACTTGGCTTCTTGAGCTTGCCAAACCCTTACTTGTGAGCTTTTGGCCGCCGTGGCTCTTCCGCCCTTGATTCTTGCGTGGACAACTAACTGACTCTGTTCGCGCAGATACGTCCAATTCGCCCCTCTCGCATACATAGCCAAGCTGTACATCGAGCTCGTAATGGTTAATCTGATCTCGAAAGTTGTGAGAAGCGGTGCGGCTGAGCAAGGAGACGGCCGGTACGGGAGCAGCAGTCACAAATCTAACCCAACCAATTATATCACTTCCCGAGTTGTCGTGAGCGGCAGTCACGCCATGACGAAGTCGGGTAACACTATTTTGAGCAAGTTAGGAATAGACGCGCCAGCTCGTCAAGGCAGCTCTGGCTCGGAGATACATCTAGCCACAGATCCTGGCCCACATGGCATCACAAAGACGGTCGAGACTACAGTTGTGATGGACAATGGCGAGGATGGTCGCAGCGATAGGTCATCTAAGCAGAGTGTATAAGAGAGCATTGTGTTTGATAATCAATGGACCTGTCTCGTTTCCATGCGATGAGACAGAAGTTAATGTTGCTTACTACTATATTATACCGAACAACACCGCTCATCGTCTTCTCAATCATGTCTGAGTTGAGTCTCGCAGACATCATCCCTCGGATTCATTCTATATTTCGTTGATATCTTTCTATGACTTTATGCAATCCACATCATGCCCAGCAATCCACTCAGCCTTCTGGGCCTGACTAGATGCGTTCGTGTAAATGAGTCTTCCAGAGCCAATAAACTTGTAGGGGTCGAGTTTAACTGCTTGCGTATAATTCAATTCCTCGTTCTGTTAGGCACCATAATAATCTGAGGCGCTCTTGGAGCTGCTCGAGGCTGGTCCTCTGGACTGGGGTGATGCGGAAGCCGTGCTGGTCCCAAAGTGTGGCCTCATCTAGGTGGAGGACATTCAGGCAGTAGCAGAGGAAGCGCTTGCTATATACCAGGTACCGGTCCATGCTTGACTTCCCCTGCAGTGGCCTGAATGGACGACCATGCGCATCCTGCTGCGTAGGGCTTGCAAGAAGGAGCCTTGTCATGAGGGGCATGCTACGTAGGCCATCGATGCAGCGGTGGAAGAACAGGTCATCCAGCGTCGATGAGGACGTGAGAGTAGTGGATCGCGGCGCTGGGCCGGGTAAAGAAGGTCTAGATTCGGACCGCAAGACCTTCCTCCCAAGCAACAAGCCCATTGCTGTAACTGCTTTACGTTGTTTTGGAATCCACAACATGTTTGTGTAACCTTTATGGCTTTAGTCTGCATGTTGAACTCGCCAACAACAACTTAAATTGTTGAAGTATGGTGGACGGTGTCGAGCGATTGCATCATTTTCTCATCATCTTCAATAGTAAAGAGTGCCAGTGGCTCATTGCCAGGCGAGCTTGGAAGCTAGCACCAAATAGGTTTGTGTTTAGGGCAACCCGTAGATTTACACCAAATGTTAACCCACATTCCTGATAACGGGTACACATGTTGTATTCATCAACTAGTGCTCTTGCTCAGAGAAAAATGCATACAAGGCTGTCTAGTCTACATTGATACAGACCTTGCCAACATGCTGGCCAGAGACCAGGTACTCATATGCATTTCGAACACCTTCACGGGTGAATGGGAACTCCTTCTCGACTGGAAGTTTTAGCTGTCGCTGAGAGACGAACCTAGCCGCTTCTTCCAGGAGCTGTTTAGACCCGACCATGATGCCACGGACAACTGCGCCCTTGGAGAGAGCAAGGCCGGCAACATCAGGCATCTCCTCTTGCGACGCTTGAGCCAAGAAACCGATTACGTTGATAATACCACCGTAAGCGATTGCTTTGATGCTTTGGGCAATTGTACCAGAGCCGCCGTTCTCCACGATGTAGTCGACGCCCTTCCCTCCAGTTAACTCCAGAGCTTTGGCTGCCCAATCGGGTGTGCTCTTGTAGTTGATTCCGTGGTCGGCTCCGAACTTGGATTTAGCGAGCGCCAGCTTGTCGTCACTGGAAGATGTAATGATCACCGTAGCGCCTGCTGCCTTCGCTAGGATTGTAGCAGTGATCGAGACACCACCGGTTCCTAGGACGCATTAGCATGTAGTTGGCGAAGCGATGGAAGAGATTCGGCACCTTGACACAATACGACTTGCCCTGGGCGCAAAGGTAGGTTTCCATAGAAAGCGTTCCACACCGTGACACCCGTGCAGACCACAGACGCCCATTGAGAATAGGTTTGAGGAGAATCAGAAGGGACCTTGACGATGGCTGAGGCTGGCAATACTGCATATTGACGAAGTACACCGTCGATAGGGCCGCCTTGTCCATAGTTCCAGTCGCGTTGCGGACCGTAGAGGTTGGTGATATCGAATGATGCGACGACTTTGTCTCCTATACTCAGCTCTTGAACGCTTTCGCCGATCTCCGCGATGTCGCCAGCCATGTCGGAACATGGCACCACGTTGTCTGCAACTGGGAATGGATATTTCGACGTGGCAATGGCGATGTCGCGAAAGTTCAAAGAAACACTGCGGACCTTGATAAGGACCTCGTGCTTCGTGATCTTGGGGACGTCTTCTTGTTGCTGATAAAGACCGTCGAATCCGTTCCGATGTTTCAAACGGAAGACGGTGTGTTGAGCTGCCATGATGCGGAATTGAATTGCAATAAGCCTTATTGGGATTCTTGGTCAGATGGTTGAGGATGTCTGAGATGGAACGAAAAAGTAAGACGACACGACTTATATATTTATGTGGGCTCTAATCACGATGGTGCAGTGCCTCGGATTGACTATTCCAAGAAGAAACATCGTTCGGAGAACAGGCAATCACGTTACGTACCTTAAACGTCATACTTGCTCATCAATCTGTGGGAAGTAACGGAATGTTTACGCTTGGGCATACTAATAAGTGGGTCGGGATGGTTTATAATCAAGTTAGGGCTCCTCAGCAGTCTCACTGGGGCTGTTGGGGCTGTTGGAGCTGTTGGGGCTGTTGGAGCTGTTGGAGCTACTTGAGAGCTGTTGGAGCTACTTGAGAGCTGTTGGAGCTACTTGAGAGCTGTTGGAGCCATTCTACTTTCCCCTCCACATTCTCTATTACCACACAATGCCTAAAGTACACAGGTGTCCGCATTGCTCGCGCGAGTTCAAACGGCCTGAACATTTGAGACGGCATTGTCGCGCTCGTATGTCATGCTTACCTAATCTTTGTTCAAACTCGGACTGATCTGAGTAGACACTGGAGAGAAGCCATACGTGTGCCACTGCGGAGCATGCTTCACCCGGAAAGATCTCCTTCGCCGCCATGAGGGACTCGCACATACAGACGACTCCGAAGACCCTTTGCATTTGATTAGTGCGAGTTCGAGCCGGACGATGGGACTTGTCAACTTTCCCGCCAACGTCGAGCGTAACGATCAAGCAGGTACCGACATTGGCAAGCAAGCAGCTGAGGGCTGTAGCAGAAATACTTCCTGGCAACCATCGTCTCAAAACTGTATGTAAGACAGAGAGACCGTACGCTGGCGAATTGGGCGGACACGTTGTTAATTGAGAAGCAGATGCGTCCGAAGCAGAAGATCTAGACTTCGCCAGCTCACGAATGGATTTCGAAACCCTTACCCGAAGCCTAGGACTGCACATTGATTGGTTTGGGCCGGGCCTCTTTGAACCCGCCGCGGAGGCCATTCGGCAAGAGGACGTGCCTCCGGGACACGACGATCTACACGTCAGTATGGCTCCAGTTGCAGAGAAGAGATCAGATGGCCCGATGCCGTTCACGTCCCGCCTTGTTGGTCATGCTACAGGCATGGGTTTCAACCAAGGTGAGGAACCGTTCTTGCCCTAGCTCCTTCCCTGTTTACCCACAGCAACGTAGAAAGGATCTCTAACCTCTGGATGAGACTGATCAGTTCAATTTGTCCGTCAAAATCCGAACACATCTCCGCTTATAATGACGGAAGACCGTCTCGGAAACCTACAAAGTAAACTTCAGCAGTTCAAAGATAGCTTGGCCGACATCAGTCTCCCCTCATGCCACACATTCACGAAATGTCTGTCCGCATGGGAGGAGACATTGGCAAGTCATCTACCGTACATTCACATACCAACATTATGTCTGAATGATTGTATTCCGGAATTAGTGCTGGCTCTTGCTGCTCTGGGTGCCCAACAACGATACGAAACACGCACGTCCTTGCTGCTCTTTCATGCTGGTAAAACCATTGCTCTCGAGCGAATACGCCTTACCCGCTTGAGAAATAAAGAAGCAAAACCTACGCCCGGGCTTGATCAGTCAGAAGCCATCATTCAGTCTGCCAGCGCTCTCCTCACGCTAATTGTGCTCGCCACTTGGTCGGCAAATGCCGAACTCGTTGACGAAGCATTCGAACTTCATCGTCCTCTTATGTTCTGTCTGCGAGAGGACGGTCTGACCGACGAAGATGAGATGTCGAATCAGGACTGGTCTTTGTGGGCACTGTCAGAAACACGCATTCGGACTAAGGCCATGGCCTTTTGCTTTTTGAATTTGCATACAATCGCATACGATCACCCGCCAGTTCTCTTCTGGCACGAGGTTGACCTGAAGCTTCCCTGTACAGTAAGAGAATGGCATGCAATGGAGGAGTTTCAGTGGCTTCTTGCTCGACAAGAGGTAGTAAACGAGCAGAGACGTTTCCCCGAATCACTGAAAGCGCTCTTGAGTTCGGATGGACAAACACCGCAGATGCAGCCTGCGCCCTCGCCTCTTGGAAACTACGTGCTTCTTCATGGGCTTCTTCAGCGCATTTACCTAATCCGACAGATTGCGGTTACACCGATTCTTCGAGAAGAAGACATCATCATCCTGCAGTAAGCAATTGTCGAGTGACAGCAACTATTGAATTCACTTAGGATGAGCTAACGGCCTCATTCATCAACAGTAAAGCCCTTTCAAATTGGGCCACGACCTGGCAACGAACGTCCGAGTCCAGTCTCAACCCACGAGATGAGAACGGCCCCATCGCTTTCACATCTGTTGCCCTTCTCGGTCTCGCTCACGTCCGAGTGCATTTGGACATTGGGCCTTACCGAGGTCTAGCATACAAACTTCCGGCCCAGATTGCCGCAGCTTTAGCAAAGGTCCCCTCTCCACAAATAAAGCACACCAAGAGCGCAGTTTCCGCGCTTCTATACTCGATCCATGCGCTCAGCATACCGGTTGCAATTGGCATCGAGTATGTGGTGCATACTCAAGCGATATTCTGGTGTTGTCAGCATTCACTTGGTAGTCTCGAGTGCGCGGTGTTTCTTAGTAAATGGCTGTATGCAATCTCTGCTGCAAAGGCAGTGCAAACTATGAATCGTGAGTCAAGCAAACAATCACTGTATACTTCAGCCCGAGATATCTGAAACGATACCTCTCAAGATGATTTGACTAACTGTTAACCTTCAGGATCTGAGGAATATGTACTACACTGCCTACGACAAGTATTAACTGAAGCCGTATCTTCGGCCGATTGGGGAGATATAAATACGAGTTTGTGGCTAGAAGATGCATTCCACATGGGGCTTGCCGTTCTGCGAATCTGGTCGAGGGTGTTCAGCAATAGTTCGGCATGGCCGATCACTGTCACAATTGGAAAGAGTCTAGCGATCTATGCTGATACCTACGAGAACCGCGGGTTGGATATGTGAGAAATCTGAGTTGGTAAGGGGAGCTTCTTTCGTCTGTTCCTTTGATCGCTTAAGTGCAGAGTTCAAAGGCCGAGCTCGTATCATACCAGTTTTCGCCGATTTTAGTTCACGTGATTTGTATCAAGCCTCCGCCAACAGCCAGCTTTCAACTTCTCCCACTAATGCCTTGCCTTGAGGAACGAAAGGACTATGCCTTGAGGCGGGTGGAAGTGATTGTACGCGATAGGATTGTTGCCACTTAACCCTTATACGCCCACAATTCATCAGATTTTAACAGTTGAAGCTATGTACATCCAGAGCCACCACCTTCCCCGGTTCAATATACATTCCACTAACAGGGGCTGCCTCCGTTCCACTGGTAACGACGTATAGAGTATTCTTATCCTTCCTAGTTCTTCCGAACGCAGCTGAGGTAGAACTAGGGGCCACGGTCGAATTCAAGTTACCAGCGATAACCTTTCTGTCTCCGTGAGATTGAACTTCATAGATGACGTTCCCTTGGCTGCCCGCAAGGTATCCGACACCTGACCGAACAGCAAGATTGTCGGAGATAATGTTTGCAGCTAGTACTTCGTACGGCCCCTTCGCTTTCCCGGTAACTAGGTCCACGGGAACGCGGCCGTAAAGCGCTTTAAAAGTATTCATAAAGTACAGATAGTGCCCGATCAACCTGATGCCGTTGACGCCGACAGGCAATATGGCGTTCGGCGGAGGCTGCAACAGTTCGTCGTCGAGTGCCACAGTGTAGTCTCCAGTCCGCGTATCAATACGGAAGACGCGACCACTGGCGCAATCGCCCGTGAGGATAGTGCCAGCCCGAGAATCCAGAGTTGTCATGCCGTTGAGGTACAGAGCGTCAGGCATGTCGGTAACTTTGGAAACCTTGGCTCTACCTCCACAGTTGTTGAAGTCCAACTTCCACACTAAGAATGATTACGGAACGGCACGGAATGGTTCAAAAGTGATGTTCCCCGCGTTCACCGTAAAATGGTCTGGTGCAGTTTCGGTGATACCACCCAGGCCCGAATAGCCAGCGAAGTGGTGGATGAGCTTCGGAGCGGCCGGGTTGAATGGGTCAATTTCGTACAGCTCGGGCCGATCGGATAAGGTAACGAGAAGATTCCCGTTCTTACGCACAGCGATATTCTCGATCCGGGTGCCATTTTCAAATTGATAGAGAGTGCGTGCAATGACTTGATCAGAGTGATGTCCATTCTCTGCGGCCAGAACTGGGGATGCCGTTACGGATGCCATGACGGATGCCAACAAGGCGGGGAGTAGAATGAAACCTGAGAAGAGCATTATATTGAAGAGATGAATATAAGATGTTGACCTTTCACCAAATGCGGCTCAGTATGTTCGTGCAGCTCTTATGAGCATTGCAAAACCGGGACACTCGGCTCGTAATTTAAAAGCATGTATTCAAGCCGGCGCCCCTGGTCAATAAGAACCCCTAATTTGTCATCGTCAAGTACTTGAATTATTAATCATAGAAAGTGGTGCTCTAAGCGGAGGAGATGAGCACGGGTGCCGTAATAACGAGACCCTAGTCACGGCTAAATCAGCTAATTCTACCAGGGTTACTAGTTTTATCATCATTACGGAGGTCGATTTCAAAAGTTTTGTCCCACGATAATGACGCCACACCCTCGCACCCTGTCAGCTACATGAAGATACATAGAGGTCTTGCTAGCCTAGTTAGTACATCTGCTAAAGTCCCTATAGCTCTAAGGGATATGGGCACTATAGCTAATTTACTAGCGACTGCATATCCACTGTAGCTCGTGGGCTTATAGGGGACTTAAGAAGGGCGAGGTACTTATTGTATCTTGCTTCATTTTGATTGGCTGCTTGAAAACTGTGGCTAATTTTAGGACCAAACTTTTGAAAGCGCCCTCCGTACAGTACCACATTCGACATCCCAGTTACTCGACCATCAAAGGCAACCAATAATTCGTGAGATGGTTAAGGTGAGAGTACAGATGGCTCAAGCGCAAAACGCCACATCCCTGCATCCTTGTCAGGCACCCAAGAACTCCAACGAAGTATGCTTCTGTACTCCGTAGTCTATTCGTATACGGCAGTGGAGATATACGGGGCATCGTTCTCGAGACTCTTCCTAACCCCTTGTACGTGGCCAGCCCCACCCACCTCAAGCATCTGGCTGCATGAACGGCCCCAAGAAGTCCCCCTTGCCCAGCGGAACACCCTTCATGCGCAGGATGGCATACGCCGTCTGGAGATGGAAGAAGAAGTTCGGGAGGACGAAGGCCAAGTTGTTCTCCTTGCCTGTGAGCTGCCTCGTGCCCGCTGGCCCCAAGCTCAGCTCCACCTTGGCGGTTTCCCTGCCTTCAACCGGCTTGGCGTCGACGCCCTTGAGCAAGCTGACGGTCTTCTCGCACCGGGCGATCAGTTCGTCGAGCGTCTTCTCGCTGTCATCCCAGGCCTCGGTCTCGACGCCCGTCAGCTGCGTGATGGAGCTCTTGGCCGTGTTGGAGGCTCTCTGGACCTGAAAGGACAGTGGCAGCATGTCCTCGTAGAGCTTGGCAGCGGGGAACGAGGTGGCGTCGGCATGCTCTGAGGCCTTCTTCAGGACGTTGGCCAGGGTGCTCATACCTGTCCCTCATTCAGCCCGGTAGTGACCGTCACTACCAGGGGCAAGTTGGGGTTGCCCCATAGTGAAGGCTGACTCAGCGGGCTGGGGGTTAGCTCGAGTGACGGCCACTACCATGACAGTCATTACCAGGGGAAACAAGGGGTGCGCGCCCCCTTGCCTCAAACCCTGGGACCTGGGGTAAGGACTAGGGGTTAAAGGGGGCTGCGCGAGGGAGTAATTGAGGGGAGAGAGTGAGAGAGGGAAGCAGGCGACACGTATTTCCTGGTTTGCAAAGTACGCTTCACTGGTTGAGCTGCAATACATTCGGCCGTGGCAATGACGACTACAAGCAGCTTATCGGCTATGGCAGTGCGCTACGAGTCTGACGGCGGCGTTACTGGGGCCCAGGTCGGTCTGCTAAGCTGGTCTGCGAGCAGCGGCGGCGGCAGTGGTAGCGGTAGTCTAGAGCACCGGGTCCTGATCTGCATGTCGTGTAAGGTCGGGATTCGGCCAGGCGACGGCGTACAGCTACACTTCTGGCGGATCCACCGTCTAAAGGGCGAGGTGATGTGACAGATCCTCGATTACAGCTACACGGCCGAGCCGATCGCCAACCCGCAGGCCGTCCCGGTACCCGCCGACGGTTCGCCTTACGTGCAGCAGCTGCCAATCGTCGACGGCCTCAGCTGCTCGGACTGCCGCTTCCTTACGACGAGCCGGAAGCTAATCAGGGTCCACCGCTCGCAGTCAGGACACGACAGTACCTGGAAGGAGGTACGACTTCAGAGCTTATCGCGAGGAAGCCGCGCTCGGTACTGGGTAGTCGAGCAAGTACAGGGTAGCATAGGACCTGACGGGACGACTAGCCTAAGGTCCACCGCCTCTGGCTCCCCTCGACGTCTACTAGCGGACTGTCTTGCGAGATACGAAGAAAGCCTGGCGGCCGAGCTCGAGGAGACACGCCGGATAGTTGATAGCCGGACAGGACCAAACTTCGAGTCAACCTGGGTTCGCGAGATGGGCTGGGCGAGACACCTAGCCGGGAGCGACATGGGCGTGCACTTCCGGACGAGCTTGAGCGCCTTCTCTGCCGTAGCGCGCGCTAAACTCCGAGGCGAGACAGAAATTACCGAGCAGGACCGCCTCCTCCGGCTCGGGGCGAGCTTCGAACGGCTTATCGCGAAGGCTCTCGAGCGGACAGCGCAAGTGCCGAACGAGGTGCTCCGCTACCTAGCCAGCTCGGACGCCAGCCGCCCGGCTGCAGGCCCTTTCAAGACGGAGAAGGAGCAGAACACAAAGGACCGGTACCTAGTCTATGGAAGCGATATCTCTGTTACTGCATCCGGGCAGGCCGGCTTAGCCGAGAAGAGGCCACAGAGAAGCTCCGGATCCGGTTTAACGACGCCCAGTGGGCTACACTCACGGACATCATCCAGAGATTGGACGATACCTCTACTCGTAATAAGGACGACAATATCTCTGTAGTCTCGTCTACCTACAGCGATTCCGAAGAGCCAGAGACTCTAGGGTACGAGCTAGACGGAGGAGATAACCACGTCGAGGATCCAATAGACCAGGCCGTAATGGCCTTCTGTGTCGAGTCGCTCCAGCAGAGGATCGCGGTCCAACTGTTCAGCAACCCGCTCCTACACTTCACAGCTGTGCTAGGGATTAGCGGTACTCGGAAGAGCCACGCCTGGAGGCCAGCGAACGAGTATACCACCCAGATCGCAGGACTTGTGTGGTGCGCCCGTCTGATTATGCTGGAACATAGCTTCGCAGGTTATAAGGACGGTGAGGACGGCGAGGACGGCGAGGATATCGGCCAGGAAGCTATCGAGCACTTCCGAGTACAGCACCGCGACTGGCTCGCCGATGGCTCATTCTCGCCATTTAGTGCGATGATCCGGATGATGACATACGGCAAGGGCTTCCGTAAGAAGGAGGGCGGTACGCCACGGCTTATGTGGGAGGACAGTAAGGAGGCACTACGATATCTCGGCTAGCGTGTGCCACTCGACGACTTCCGGGTAATGGCAGCCAGTCTCGTTACGGACGCAGAGGAGCTTATGGACCAGATTATGTTCGGAGAGTGGGTTCCGCTTAGCCCGATCGTCGCACTCCGACAGATCACCGATAGTCTCGCCTTCGAAGGGCCCGGGAGCGTCGTTCGCGACAAACGAGAAGAACCGCTGGCTCGAGCCAGGCTTCCGGAGGCTGATGGGACCAGGAACTACCCAGCTCTGGGACGACGAGGCGGGAAACTTCCGTATCGTACAGGTCCAGCAGTGGCTCGGCCAGCTCCAGTCGTTCCGTCAGGCTCTACTCGCCAGTACGCACACGTGGGGAGGTCAGCCCGGGAGAGGGCCGGAGATCATGACGGCCCGACACTGTGATACACAGGATATGATCAGAAACGTCTTTTGTGTTTGACGGCCAGGTCATGCTGGTCACAGACCGCGATAAATCCGAGGCGATCCGCGGAATCGGCCGTAAGGTTGCACGGTTTTTACCAGACATAGTCGGACGACTTATGGTCGCATATATTCTATGGATTCTGCCGTTCGAGCGGCTGCTACTCGCGAAGCCAAGGCCCAGGCCCAGGGACTCTCGAATTCGCTAGACGCATGGCTCTGGAAGGACAACCGGAAAGGGATCTGGACGACGGCCGAGCTAAGCAACAAGCTGGCAGCCGTCACGACAGAGCATATCGGTGTTAAGCTGGGCGTAGCTGACTATCGCCACGTCGCTATCGAGCTAGGTCGACACATTCGAGGACTAGTTATCCAGCAGCTCGAGGTTGATATGGGCGACGAGGCCGACTGGGACAACCCGCAGAACTTTGAGGACGGGCTTACTGGCGAAGCACGCAGGCAGAACAAGGTCGAGTACGTTTGGGACTTGCAGGCCACGCACGGCAGCGCTACCGCCCGGCAGCACTACGCAGTCAACGTCCAGTTCTCGAACCAGCTACAGCCGCAGATGGTAGCTAACTATCGGGAGATCAGCCGGCTATGGCACCAGTTTCTCGGCAATAGGAGCAGCAGCTGCGGCGTAAGAAACCAGTTCCAGACGCCAGATAGGAGGCAGCAGGCGTCAGCGAAGCGGTCACGAGCCCAGGCCGGGATTGAGGACAGCAGTGGCTCCCAGACTCCAGACTGGTCCGCCAGACGAGCTATCGTCGCAGATCTGATCATACGGGGCAGAAGTAACGACAGTAGCCCACTAGCTGCGCGTACTAACGCAAAGCTGAACGACGGACTCCATAAGTTACTAGGCGCAGACGCAGGCTGGCGAACCGACGAGCAACGAGACGCCATGCAGGAGATTCTAGCACTCCAGGGAGACCAAGTTCTTATTGTCGTACTACCAACCGGAGCCGGCAAGAGCGTATTTTTTATGCTCCCCGCCATTCCCAGCATGAACTTAGGCGTCAGTATTGTAATCGTACCATTTGTGGCACTAATTCGTGATCTGGTCGGCCGTGCTACAAGCCCCTTCTCAGCTGGTGTCAGTGTCGGCACCACGTGCTGGAGAACAGACCTGCCATATCCACATCACATCACGTTGTGTTGCCTTGAGGAGCTTGGCGTGGGGATGGCTAACCTGAAGCTGGGTCATCAACCCTATACGGAATTTGATAAGACTGAACATTCACACGTGGATTTTCTCTGTTCTTCCAAGACTTGAAACTCCACAGGGAAACCTCGTGAGAGCGACTCGCGCGTCGGCCAATCAAGAGCAGATTGGCGCCACAGATTGCCACTAGTTAATGATCTGCTTCTCCTTTTCTGTATCAAGCGGTATCCGACAATGCTCGCTTCACAGCTTCTCCTAGCCCTAAGCTTACCGGCTATCCTCTCGATAGTTGCCTCTCAGCCACGAGTCAGTCCAGAACTACCCCAACGACAGGCAGCACTATGACGTACTCCTGAAACCCTAAAGAGATTGCTGGAGTCGATCATTATGGTCTACTATCGCCCCCGGGGCCCGCCCTCTAAACCATCTGAAGCCTTTCCTGTCTCGCTGATCGCGTAGTGGTGCTGGTGTTCGCATGCGGTGGTGACCTTCTAGTGTTTGGCCCGAGATTATGCTGGTGTATGGGACATATTCGAGTGCCGGCGCGGAGAAAAGCCTCCCGCCTTCTATTGGGGAATATAAGAACGTTACCCCGAGCCCAGACGAGATGAGCCCTGAATGGGCCCTGAATGGGGCTCCTGTTCTGATGGCGACCCCCTTTTCTCTCGCACGTCGCTTAAGCAGCTGACTCGGAATGGGATAGGTAGGAGCAAGGAGCTGTTCGAATTTTCTCTCGAGGTGGTTACACAACAGTTAATGGATACTAACTTAATTTTTATATTACAGATTAATAATCGCCGCTGAAGCAAGCCGAGTCGGGTGCTCCGCGCTGATCGTGTCACTTAGCCCCCTGGGGCTTGCGTGCTTATCCCGGTCAAGGGATGTCCAAGGATGAATACCGACTCGCTGGGCTCCGCGTGGTTGCCTGCCCTCCTGATCGACACAGGGAGGGAGGGACCGGGGCCATCCTCATTCGCGGAAGGGTCTCCGGCGTCAGCCCTCCACAACGCAGATCCCCCGCCATCTGCCGGGATCCGGACCCGCAGTGTGTCGTTTGTGGAGCAGCCGTTTGAGCAGGATATTGGGCCAAGCCAAGTCAGTTCGGGGTTCGAGGCGAGGAGTGTTGGCTGTGTCTGTGCAGTGCTACTCGCTCGAACTAGACCTCTAGTGTCATGCATGCAGGACCGACAGCCCCCCAGCGCCCCTTTGCTAGCTCAGGGACTGCTCCACGCAGCCGTCGGACTTGCAAGGTCCCCCATGCTTGTTTGCAAGCCCCGACCTTCTATGATGGAGACCCATGGAGGACAGAAAGTAACAGGCCTGAAAGGGACGACAAGTTGGTTATGTATTGGACTCTGGATGCCATGGCCACCACTAGTTCGCTTCAAGGATCCCTGGAAAGATGGGCAAGATGTAGGTGTGTGCAGATCCTCGCACAGCTTGCGGAGCCTCCTGTCCGCCGGCCAGGACACAGACCAATATCACATGCATCCAAGGACTTCTGGCTCCGGACTCGTACATATCTGTGCCTCGCGCCCTCAACCTCAACCACCACTTCTTGTCGCATTCCCCCCCAACAACCATCCCAACTGCCGTGGAGCACCTAGCGCCGAAGCCATCTACTATTAGGCAGGTTCTTCCCGTTCTGCAACATTCCCACTCGTCGAGCAAGTCGAGCGAGCCAACATGTCGGCCATCGTGGAGTCTTTCACCTTGCTGTCCATCGCGCTCTGCACAATCGCCGTGCGGACTTGGTACCGATGGTCTCAGGTCGGCTTCTCCGGCTTCCAGCTGGACGACTATATCATGCCCGTCTCTGGCGTAGGTCACTCCCTGTCTCGCAGAACCCGGTCTTGCTCTCTTGGGCTGTGCTGGTTACAGGACGCAGTCTAAAACTTCCTCCCACAGCTACTATTCTCCCTCGTCACGACACTCGCGTATCTTGTTGGTGCCAACTACGACGGTCTCACGAACAGTTACATGACGGACGAGCAGCGTGCGGCTCTCGACCCCACGTCCAAGGAGGCCTACAACCGCGAGATGGGCTCCAAGATCCAGGTGATCGGCTGGTCGTTCTATGCGATGGAGCTGTGGGTGTTAAAGGTCTGCATCACTGTGTTTTACTCGAGGTTGACGTAAGTGCCCTTCTCACATTGAGCTTCAGGCCACCTCGAGATCGGCATGCCTTGCTGCTGTCGCAAGCAACGATCGTCGGCTAAAGCGTCGTCAAAATTGTACAGAACTCGCCTAAGCAACCTCCACACCCGCGTCCTCGTGGGTTACGGCGTCATTGGCGTGAGCTACATTGCCGTGGGGCTCTCAATCGTCCTAGGATGCCAGCCCATATCGCGTAATTGGCAGATTCACCCGAATCCCGGAAGTAAGACCGACTCCCTCGCCAAATTTGCCCTCCGATAATATCACCATCGCTCTGTTTCCCTAGAAGACTGTCAAGGCAGAGGCGCGCGAATTGACTTCTTGGTTCACAAACAACTAACAAACCGTCCCGTGGTCAGATCTCTGCCAACCTACCAACTCGAAGCTCAACGTCTTCATGGTCTATCTACCTAACGTGATCACGGACGTGTACCTTCTTTCCATTCCTCTTCCTGTACGTACATATTGTTCTGGTCACCGGCACCTCTGGACTTGGTATACGGAGCAATCCACTGACATCAGATTTCCCCCCTGCAAAACAGCTTCTCTGGGGCGTCAATATCTCGCTCCGCCGCAAGCTCACGCTCATGCTCCTCTTCAGCGGCGCCATATTCGTCATAGCCGCCGCCACGATCCGCGCCGTCGTCATTATCACGGTAAGCTACCCGTCCAGGTCATCGTTAGCAGGCCTCCATCGCATCAGTTGGACCTTTGACTGACGGATATCTATCATCCAGGCCGGCCCCGAAGGCGCCGTCTCCGGCAGCCAGTGGGCGTGCCGCGAGATCTTCGTGTCCGCAGTCGTGTCCAATCTCCCCGTGATCCAGCCCCTGCTGCGCAAGCTGGCCAGCCACACGGGGCTCAGCATCCTGTTCAGCAGGTCTGGCGGGCGCTCCGGCAAGAACGGTGCCCACGACGGCGCAAGCGGAGGGTCGGGCAAGAGCTACCCGCTCAGCGAAAACCCCCGGACCGGCCCGCACTCCAAATCCTACGGCCTCGGCAGCCGCTCCAAGTTCGGCACCCAGCTGTCTCGCCATGCGACTGCCGGCCCGGCGGCTGCCGGTGCCGCTACTACGACTGCAGTCGCCGCGTGGGGCAGTGACGAGCATATCCTCCTCGACGGAGGTGGCAAGACGCTCAGCCCTGGCACCGGGGCGGCTGTCATGGGCGACAAGGATATCGTTGTTGGCAAGGAGATCACTGTAGTCACGGAGTCGGCGGCCGATGCCCGCTCAGGCTCCGTGCTGGGCCATCGTGACAAGGACGTCTGGGGCTATTCCGAGCGAAGGAAGCGCGATAGCTCGAGTGATCGCTCGAGCCGGTGAGGGGAGGTCGTGCAGTTGGTCTTGAGCTTAAGTGCTGGACGGCGAAAACATTTTGTAAGGCGTGCTTAGCATCAGGTAGACTGTTTAATGATGGATACACAATTGAAAAATTCTTTTGCTACGTAACCATGCCCGTAGCATCGCGCCATGAGTGCATCGTGACAGAAGCTGTGGCTAAGCCCCTGTCGGTCGTGGACCATAAGGACCACACGCAGCCCTCTACCGCTGCTGCTACTGCCGCCGCTGCCGATTTAACTGCCTGTAGCTGGCCGCCCTTAAGCCGGTGCCTCTGTCGGTAGTGGGTAACTAGACCACCCACGGCAGCTGGGATGCCTGCCTTACATAGCGTACAGATGAGTACGCGGCTTGCCCTGCGTAGATACAGTGCTGGCGTCGCTATCGTCGTGGCTCGCGCCGGCCCTGACTCTATCGTTGTCGTGGCTTTCGTGTCCGGCTCCTGTTGCGCGATGTTGTCTCCCTCAGCATCGCTGCGATCGCTGTCGGAATCGCCCCCCTGGCTGCTGCTGCGGTTCATTGTACCTGCTGTCTGTGCCTGTTGTTCTTGGGGCTACTACTGTACTTCTCCTGTCGCGCGCATCGTGGGAAGAGACCCCGAGCTGGCGTCGCTGTTCGAGCCCGTACACGTCCGTTTCATCCTCCTGCTCCCTCAACCCCCCCGGGCTAGTCCCATTACGCGTACGCGCTCTTCTCATTATTGCCCATCACTCGCTTTCCTTTTTGCCCCCTTGGACGGACGGGCTGGGCTGGGGGTTAAGGTTAGACCCTGCTGGGGGGGGGGGGGGTTTCGTGGGTTAGCTGACCTTTTGCTGGCCGGGATGAACTCAACCTGGGGTACCGGAATGAGCTCAATGGCCCGTGCGCCCGCGCCCCCTGCCCACCAGGAGTGCGCGAAAAGTGAGCGCTTCCGGGCCGGGAATGACGGTCAGGGCTTCCCGGCCGGGAATGATGGTCAGGGCTGCCAACCTGAGGTAAAAACCCCGCTTTGTTTTTGTCTCATGGCTGCCCAATTGCGATGACTGCATATACGATATGCTTGGCAGTAGTTCATTCGCCTGTATGTGTGTTGCCTGCCTCGGAAAAGGTTGGAGATATATCTCCATGTTTCCATACAAGTCTACCATGACGTATCATGTATCTAGAATGTTCTGTTTCAGACCAGCTCGGTCTAGAAATACCTCGCCTGTTCCTGAGCTTCAGGAAGAAGGAGAGGAGGACAACTTCAATACACTCCTTTATCCCTGCAACAACAAACTTTTTCACCTCGACCTACTACTTGATCTTCCAAGCAAACAACGGTGAACGCTGAACAAACACCACTGTACACTGCGTTTAGCATGAAGGAGATCAAGACAGAGATCATCAACACTCCAAAGCAGATCGGCGATCTAGTCGACTGGCTCGTCTTGCGTCATGCACCTCCTGAGCCGTACGAGCCAACGATGTACGTCGATCTCGAAGGCGTGAACCTCTGCTGAGAAGGCTCGGTCTCCATCTTCACCCTCTTGATCGATACAGGAATCCAACCTTACGCGTTTACGTCATCGATGTGTATTCTCTCGGCCTACAAACATTCAACACCACCGGCACCAAAGGCCGAACGCTTAAAGATGTTTTAGAAGACGAAAAGATTCCAAAAATCCTTTTCGACGTCCGCAACGATTCTGATGCCTTATTTGCACATTTTGGCGTAGCACTACAGGGCGTCCAGGATCTCCAGCTGATGGAGAGCGCTACAAGGACGACGACAAGCTCTAGAAAGTATCTGCACAGCTTAGCCAGGTGTATTGAGCAGCATGCACTCCATAGCGAGGAGCTTACAAGCTGGAAGCGAGCGAAAGAAAAAGGCAGACGACTTTTCAGATCGGAGTACGGCGGCTCCTACGAGATTTGTGTCCCAGCGTCCGAGAATGCCCAGTGTGCTGACTACTTCTTCGCGCATTAAGCTGCCACCACCCATCAGAGTTCTCGAGTACCGCTTCCTGCTCCTTCAGCACTTCGACTTTCTCCGCCAAGATGTCTGGGTGCTCCTCCACATTTCTTTGCAAATATTGGTTGATTTACAACTGTCGAAATTGGGTGCGCATCAATCGGTCTGCGTGTCCAGAGTGCGCGGTATGTCACCAACGTACTCATAGACTTCCGCCGCATGTTGCTAAGTCGCTGACACTGAGCGCGCAGGCCATGGGGAGAGATAGTGACCCGCCGCCTATGGAAGGCTATCGGCAGGTGCGGGACCAACACTACAGGGACCAGTTGGATGACCATCTGGACAAACGGGGCCTGGGGGATATGAAAAATTACGTACGGTAATCATCCGGCTCGCTGGAAGACCTCACATCTCGTGGGGAAATTGTGACCGTCAATGCGAGAACCCTGCTTACTAGACACTTCGCGTTGACTCCACGTGCGTGCCATGCCGAGTGATGATGCCTGGTGCTCGAGGGCTCGACGACACGGGGGCTTCCACCACACTGCCCTGCTGCACCAGACAAGCCGCCTTGGCTGCAATGGGCAATGACTGCATGTCGCTGATCCCCCGGCCCAGACCCTAGACCAGACGAGGTGCTCGCGCCCACACATCGGCACACGGACAGGACTGTCTGCAGTGTTGCGCGCAGCGACGTCCGCTCTTTCCGCAATGCAGCTGCAGCTCTCTGCTGACCTCCAGCATTTTCCGGGTCAGCAGAAACGGGTCGCCACATCTCTCGAGTGACCCGCATACCGGGCCCGATCTCGTGCCGCTCATGGTGGACTGGACAGCTGTGCGGCAGGGGACCCCGTTTGAAGGCCCAGCTTGCTAGACTGCCATGACTGCATAACCTGATATCACGCAAACTCTGTTCAATGAGATGGGATCGGCGCAAACGGAAGCTGGAGATAGTATTTGTGGTGCTTGATATTAAACCTGCTATGGAAAGAAAGTACGACAAAGAAAACTACTGATTGAACACAGCAGAGGTGTTGTGGTTGGCCCGTTTCCAAGGGGCCCTCCAGACCATTACCAGCCCTGAGCGTGGTAGCCGCGCTGAGTGTCGCGGCTGAAATACCGGTTCCAGTCCATCGAGGGCTCAGCAGCCTCCTTGTTCATGTGTACCTTTTCAGGGTACTGCTTCAGGTTGGCAACGTCGTGCGAAGTGTGTCGCCTCTTGAGCACGGCATTCGCTGTCGAGGTCTTCTGCTGCCTCTCCCAGAGCAGCTGGCGGCGAACAGACTCGGTGAGCTCATTCGCTAGCATGTTAAGGCGTGTGGTGCGAGGTGAGAGCACGATTGCCTTTGTGCGCTGCGGCTTGGAACGAGGAATTTTGTTAATATCATTGTTCTGAGTATACTCTGGTTCGAGCTTAATCTTGCGGCCCTCGTCGGAGTCGTCAGGGGAGTTTCTGATAGGAGACGTGTTTTGCGTCGTTCGCGAGCGCTGAGGTGAATCATGCGTCTGCTGTGAGGTGTGGCTGTTGGAAGCGGCTGTGCCTTGGCCTCCACGCGGGAATATGAGGCTGAGAAGAGATTGCTGTGCGGTGATGGGCTGCACATGGACGGTGATGGGCTGCGCATGGACGGTGATGGGCTGCGTATGAGCGGTGATGGGCTGTGCAGGGGATCGAAGGATCTCGTTGATGCGCTTCAGCTGAGGCGGGCGTATGCCCTTCTTCATCTGAAGACCATTGTCAGAGCCGCTGGGGGGTTTGGCCATAGTTGACATGTTCTGTATGGTCCGCGAGCGTTGGGGTATCCCAGGTGTCGGCTGGGACGCATGGCTGCTGAGGGCCTTAGTGCGTTGGTCCTGTCCCGCGGAGATGGGCCTGATAGGAAATCGCTGTGCGGTTAACTTGGACTTGGGAGGCACACGCGGGCGGATAGGCTGCATATGGGCGGTGATGGGCTGTACAGGGGATCGAGGGGTCTCGTTGATGCGCTTCAGCTGAGGCGGGCGTATGCCCTTCTTCATCTGGAGATCCTCGTCAGAGTCGTTGGGAGAGCTGGCCATGGTCGATATGGCCTGCATAGTCCGCGAACGTTGGGGTATCGCAGGTGTCGACTGCGACGTATGGCTGCTGGAGGCCTTCGTACCTTGGCGCTGTCCCGCGAACATGAGGCTGATAAGGGATTGCTGAGACGTGAGGGCGGACTTGGAAGGAATACGCGTGAATGTTATCCGGTCGTCTTGGCTGGACTCGCTGCTCTTGATCGAGTGCCAATCTGAGTCCGAGTCGTCGTCGTCGATGGCGCTCTCGTCATAGTCGTCCGATTGATCACTGACAGCCTGCTGGCTGGCACGATGTGTTGCAACAATGCCGGCAAAAGATGCCGGCTTCTTCTGGGTGCCCGGGTCAAGGCGCGCCAGGGAGATCTCGAGGGGTGGGCTCTGTCCGCCAGATGAGGATTCACAAGGCGCAGGCGTCCTCGTCATGGAGGCCGACATGTCGTCCGAACCAGTGTTCTGCAAGTCCGAGCCCAGCGGCTGCTCGTGGGTCAGGATCGCCGCCTGGGCGTCTAGGAGACTGTGAGAGATCTTGTTGTTAGCATTGCTGAAGAACCGTCTGCCAGACATGGTCAGGGTGACGTACCATTTAACCTTGCTGGCCCTCGCGCGTCTTCAGGCTGTTCTGCTTCTTTTCGACGACTCGGTCCGCACAGTCGCAGAATACAGACGCGAGTTGTTGGAGCGCTCGAGATGACGTTGATTGTGATGGGTACGAGGGCGAAGACGAGTTTCAATGACAGGACAGAGGGAAGAGTGGCAGCTCCAGCCCGTCAGAACCCCGACCTTGAAAGCCATGTCATGCAGACGGGGGACCTCTGCCGCCCGATCTCCAATCCCCCCTGCGTCCTAATCAGTCTCAGCCCTCTTCCGTACCGTATGCACGCCGTCCTGTGTCTCGCGAGACTCGTCCGTTCGTCAAGCCCCCACCCCAACATCCATCCCGGCTTGTCCCTTCGCTTCCCCGTGTCGGTTGCATGATTGCACACTACATGGGAAAAGCAAGGGACTGAGCCAACGCGCCAGGGCTGCTCCGTTATCATAGTCTCATTGTGGTGTGTTAGCGCCGCGGGCCGGATGCCGAGCCATGGTGCTGCTGTAGATCATGGGCATGTCCTCGTACCCACCCAGGGTGAGCAGGTCGAGGCCTGACAGCGACCAGACGTGTTATCTCCTCACCCGGGGTGAGCAGGCCCGTGACAGTGAGCTGCAGGCATGCGTTGCCATGATGGTATGCTGTGTCGCGCCCAGACTCTCTCCGCTGAGTTCGCATGGGCTGTGAATAGATCCCCGCGAGCCTTTGGCTGGGCCTGCATTGACACATGCTCCGCTCATCCCAAGCCTACACGCTTCCACTTAGGAGCAGACTCGGCAGCGTCGTTGAGTAGTCGTCTCCACCTTGCCCTATCCAGGCCTGCTTCGTTCTTTCCGCTCCAGCGAGGTCCGGTGGGTACGATCCCGCACATGTCACAACTGGCTCTCGTGCGGAAGGTCTTGGCCCGGGGTGACTGAAAGGGTATTGGACGGGATCGGCAATGTGGGGAATTGGCTGATATGGCAGTGCGTGTCGGTGTAGGAGCACGTGACTAAGCCACCTGTCGGGCTGCAAGATGTGACACACGCCACGTTCTCTGCACATTCATTTCACCAAAACAAAGCCCTCAGGTCGCGGCAGCAATCATGGATCGCAAAGAGTCTTCACCAATGGCACCACCATTCATGGTGTCAGCACCTGGGAAGGTGATCGTTTGCGGCGAACATGCCGCGATCTACGGCCAGCCGACCATCGCCGCATCCATTTCCCTCCGCTCCTATCTCCTTGTGACAACACTCTCCAAATCGAAGCGCACAATTCGACTCAAGTTCAAGGACCTTGGCTTAGATCACACCTGGGACATCAACTCCCTCCCCTGGGACCTTTCAGGGAGGCAGAAACAGAGCTACGTCAGTACGGTCACAGCGATAGACCAAGAACTTCTGCAAGCGATTCTTCCTCACGCAAACGCCGTGTCGCCTCACCTAGACGAAAAGCAACGACAGACTCACGTGCGGCCCGCGATCGCGTTCCTCTACCTCTTCCTGTGTCTAGGTGACCGACACAGTCCAGGTGCGATCTACACACTTCGATCCACTATACCAATTGGTGCCGGCTTGGGCAGTAGCGCCAGTGTCTGCGTCTGCATCAGTGCGGCGATCCTTCTCCAAATACGCGCGCTTGCTGGACCGCATCCAAAGCAGCCGGTGCAAGAAGCCGAGCTGCAGATCCAGCGCATCAACGACTGGGCATTTGTGGGAGAGCTATGCATCCACGGTGACCCTAGTGGTGTGGACAACACAATATCTGCCGGGGGAAAGGCGGTCATCTTCCGGCGGCATGACAACGACAGACCAACTGTAACGCCGCTGTTGGGTTTTCCGAAAGTGTCTGTTCTCCTTGTGGACACTCGACATCCAAGGTCAACAGCGACCCAGATCGAGAAGGTCAAGATACTCAAGTCTCAAGAGCCAGCAGTGACGCAAGCAATTCTCAATGCCATCGGACAGGTCACCTCATCTGCTATCGAGCATATCAAATCAGACGATGGCCAGGAGAATGGAGGCGATGGTGTCCTGGGACAACTGGGAACCCTCATGCGTGTCAACCACGGGCTTCTGGTCTCATTAGGGGTCTCACACTCTCGGCTTGAGCAAATTCGTGAGCTCGTGGACGACCCCGATATCGGATGGTCAAAGCTCACCGGTGCTGGTGGTGGCGGATGTGCGCTCGCAATGTTGAGGCCTGGTGTTGACGAAACAACCCTGGAGACACTTATACAAACCCTTGATGACCGTGGCTTCAGGACGTATAAGACGACCTTGGGCTGTGATGGGGTGGGCGTCCTCTGGCCCGCAACGTTCCGAGACGGCACAGGCAGCACAGCTGGCGAAGAGATCAACGAGGAACTTTTTGAAGGTGCCGTTGGACCGGATGGTCTGGACAGACTCGTTGGACCAACCACACAGGGAAGTCTCATTGGCTGGAAATTCTGGAAGCGCGAGGTGATTCCAATGGTTTGATGGGCTGACACTCAGACATCAACATGCTTCGGTGATCAGGAATTGAATTTGTGTCATAGCCCGGGACTACTGTAATGACTGTAGTGAAGGTTTCTAGGTAACATGGTCTTTCGCATTCGCCGTTGAAACGCTATGTTGAATAGCTTTCAACGATCATACTCTGCAGGGAACAAGCGTTCCTTTGTGTCAACCTGAATCAACACTTCGGCCTGGCGGTTATTTGTTACTGTTGCAGCCGCACCCGCCAACCTGCGAGAACGAAGACAGGTCAGCAAATCATAGGGGGGCGCCTCTCTGGGAAGTCTTACCCCACCGCACGAGGCGCAGCATGTACATGGCTGGGTGGCTGTCAGCAATGTCTAGAACCTCAGAACAAGATCTCCTGTCATATGGGGGCACACATTGTTATTGCATCTCTGTAATGTGTCAGCTAACACTAGGGTCGACAATTTGAGTGTGTATGTCTGACTTACATTGCACTTCTCGTAGCAATCGACTAGGGGGGAAGCGTTCGATGAGTCAAGCATAGTTGCGACAAGTTCGATGTTGAGGAAGTGGCAGAGTAGTGAGGGTGGCGTTGCGAAGAATGATTAGCAGAAAAGAGGCAGCGCTGCGGATTTTCTGGGCATTTATAGACCTTGAAACATCTATGGCTTTCGATTCTGAGTGCTACGGGGTGAAGGAATGACCTCGGGCGAAACCGAGCCATCCAGAACCGACTCGCTGTCTGTGATGAGCATGGCAGCCTTGCCACCATCATTGAGAGGTACGTTTCCTAGTTCGACGCATTGCATTATCATCCATATGCATGGAACTGGTTCTGTCACATCCACGAGGTCACAAAATGAGATCAAATGCTACGTCGGTGAGGTTATTGGCGCGGGGTTGATTCACTAACACAGTAATTTGGGGCAGAAATCCGACCAATACTTCCAATACACCATATTGACATGGAGAGGCCGGCCGTACTTTGGTGCAGCGAGATGGCTGCCTTCAAGCTGAGCCACGGCTGCCGAGGTCAATGTAGCGTCTCAACGTTGGGCTGACGACCTCAGAAACCTCCCTCCCCATCGTTCCTTATCAGCGTGTTGTTCGGAGGTGCACCTCAATCCTTTCATCGACTCGGATATGGACCTGGACGGCATTTTGCAACGCGTTGCTAATATGCACCCACTTCGCCATGCTCAAAGGATGATGCGGGTCCCAGGGACACAACCAAAACCCAAGAGCAGGTGGTCTACTAAACGGAGAACTCCCAGCAGATACTCCGCATGATAGGCCTCGTCCGATGGCTGCATGTAAGGCCGAGAAAAGTAATAGCGAGCCGGCAAGCTACTCACAGTGTGGTAACACAGCATGATGCGAGGCTTTGAAGCCCTGTGAGGACAGCTGGGTGCCACCGCTTCATGCGTTTGGGCCGCTGTCTTATCAGAAGGCAGCATGCCTGGAGCATGATTGACGGCACCATGCCTCCTGTCGCCTAGTGGCTTGGGGCGTTTGCCCAGGTACATCCGGGCCTCGCGGATCGCGCGTGTATGATCCGGGGGACAACACACGAGGACCAGCAGGTCCAGTCTGCATGTGTAATTTTCTTGATTCAGTCGTCAGCATTCAGGTCTGGGGTTCAGGGACGACGCGCGCGTTACGCCGCATGTGCAGCAATCATGGTCAAATTGGTCGATCTGCAGCCACATCATACAGCCGGGAGGAGCCCATCCACCCGCAGGCGGATGCTGATCACAACGTCTGTCTATGGCTTTTGGAAACCACCCAGCGCATGCCGCCGTCTTAGTACGATCGCCGGGCCCCAAGCACTCTGATCCTATACGGCCGCTTTCACAGGAGCGTAGACTGACAACTGACGACAGAAGGCATTAAATCGAAGGCCGACAATGCTGGCTTCCGCCCAAGGCTCTGCCAGCCCCGTCCTGGTTGTGACAGTGATGGCCTGCTGCATGTCTCATAGCTTCCACATCAGTCTAGCTAGGACCGGTACCCCCGTGTAGTCGAAGGTAGGAGCGCTGCATGTTGCGGGTGAGTTGTAGTGTGACTGCGTGGCGAGATCTGTGATGACCCGGTCTGCCCTTCTGGAGGCTTCACAGGTGACTCACATAAAGGACGAAGTGAAGTGAAGCTTGTGAGTTGGTTTACAACTTTGTGTCTTGGCAGCGTCAATTGAACCTCTGCTGGAGAAGAGAACGAATGTAGCCGCTCATCGGTGCCTAAAGGCCCCTGCCATCTTGGCCGCCTACTCGTGTCCGACCTTCTCGCACCTTCTCCCGCCATGCGACCTCGGCACTGAGAGAAACTCGCAAGCCTGCTTTCTGTCCAGTATCACCTCTCGTGCTGCCGTGGGTGTGAACGCCAGGTGCTCGACAGGGCTACCTGACGCCCATCAGCGCTCCCACAAGGCTGGGTATGCCTGTGGTGCCCCAAAATCCGCCCTCCTTGCCTATGTGCCAGCAGCGCTCGCCACTCGCTGTCCGAGAAGGCCAGTCCCCTAGCCCAGACCGAAGGCGCTCCAAGTCACCCACCCCTTTAACACTGCCTACACTGGTGCGCGCACTACAAGCTTGTTGCCTTGCGCTGCCTTGATCCCCTCAAAAGGCCTCCCATCTCCCACCAGTCAAGTGCTCTCGCCATTCCCGTCTTCACCGCTTCCGGACAGCCTCCAGCCAGCTCGTTCTGGACACCACCGCGACGATGGACGCCTTCAACAATACCGGCGCCAAACTCTGGGACGACGATATCTCCACCGACGTTTCGTCCCTCCTCACAGACGAACATAGCATCAACGTCACCACCTCCACGCCTGACGATTACTGCAAGCGCTTCCACGACACGAAGTGCGCAGAAGGATGAGCACAGCGGGCCCTCTCTGTCACAGTCCACAAGCATCACGGTACTTGCAGCACGACACAGTCCGCTCCCGAATGCTTCCTACACGCCAGGAAAGAACTCTGCTTTATCCAGGATACACTCGAACCTTTCGCTGAGAGCTCCCAGTTTGATACTCCCACGCTCAAACGACACGAGCAACTTTACATCGATGCAGCGATGACCACAACTCCGAGACCACGAGCACAAGCGGCACCATCTTCTCGCTGGACAACAACTGGGTCAGAGCACGACGAGCTCAGAGACCGTCATCCTCCAATCCGCATGCCACGATGCAGTCCGCTTTCGACAGCTTCACGAGCTCTCTCGACTTCGAACAAAACACCGTCAGCCCTCAAATTTCGGATGGAGGTCTACACGTCAGGTTCACGAGTACGTTCGGAGGCTGGTAGATGCTCGGAGACAAACTAGTCAAAGTCGCCAACGACATTCCGGCCAAGGTTGGCCACGACGATGAACACTACCGGGCCACAATCCGGATGACGGGCCGTTTTAGGCCGACACAGCAGAGCTGCTCAGCATTTGCTCCTGCCTGAATGCATCGTGCGGGACGCGGCAGCTCATCGACGAGAATGAGGCCGTGCCTGCTCCATGGACACCTGGGCAGCTCCATTACTGCGGCGACTCGGAGCCGATTATGCCTCCAGCCCCAGGAATACATCGACGTCGTTGCTGCAGTTCTCGTGGGACTCCTTTTCCTGTACAGAGATGTTCAAGAGTGCTATCATGACCTGGTGGGCTATGCAGGAAGTTTCGCGACACAGGCGATGGTGGCGTCGACTCTGCAGGCAGACAAATGTCGCTGGCACTCACTGCTCACTGCTGGTATAGAAGAGCAGCTGGCTCAGCGTGACGAGAGCCGCAATCTAACCGTTTGGGAGATTCTTTCTTGGTTATTGGCATAGTCCTGGGGTCGTGCTAGTCTTGGCTTATGGACCTGTTGCCAACCAAGAGCACTACTTCATGGGCACAGAATCCTGTCTAGCAATACTTGCACCCCCCCAATGCCACCTTCACTTCAGTGTCCATGATGCTTGTGCCTCGAGTTGTGACATGAAGACACGCGTGTTTCTATGACACTACGTGGTTAACAGCGATCGGTTGTACCACTCAGTCTTGAATCCACTTCGGTCTGATTGACTCTTATCTACGTTGTTCGTTACCCTCTTCCAAGTCCAGGGAAATGAAGCCTTCCACTTCATCAAGCGTGGAACCCGTGCTGCCTCCGTTGTGGACGACCTTTTCGGGAGGGCAGTTCAGCACCACACCCAGCCATTCCTGAGTTGTATGTATTGCACTGGGCTGCATTCCCTTGGAGCAGGGAACGCCTGCTAACTCATCATTCACACCTCCGGGGGCGCTTTCGGTACAATGATGGAAAAAGGCGCATGCTTTGGTCGGTTTGGAGATTGCCCGGATGATCTCTTGCAAGATATGCGGGGAGGGTCTAGCTTTGGATTTTGTCAGAAGAGGCTGTCCTCGATGTCTCTTGCGAGACTTGTCTGCCTCAGATCGATCACGCTGCCGCTTCTCGCCGCGCTGCTTGTTGTCGTCGTTTGGCGGCGGGTCTTGGTAAGGCCGACTGATGTGACGTTAGCGTGCTGGGCACGTTGGAAGGAGAATCCAGTCTTACACTGCGCATGATGATGTGCTACAAGGCTCAGATGCAGCCATGAGAGAGGAAGTGGTGAGTCGACGCCTGCGAGGTTGAGAGGAAGGGTAAGACAACACAGTCGAGGCCGAGTTCTGTGCGAAGGAGTCGGATGTGGTGCGACGACTGAGTCATGTCCCCAAGGTGCGGTGGTGTGTCCGGCCCGGGACGGCCTGCTTTCAACAGAGTGTCGACTTCTGGGAGGCGTCAAGCACTGGGACTCGGCTCGACCGCCGCTATCTCGCCGCCACAAGCTCCCCAAGCACCAGTGACAGTGCCTGTCTATGCTCTGGGCACCTGCCCTGAGGGTCGCTTCGGGGGACTTTTGCATCTGAAGCGGCTTCCTGCCCTCCGCTCCCCCGTCATAACGCCAGGGCCAGGATATCATCACGCCCTCCTGGTCGCGGATTTTCACGGCAGGGTACGATCCAGACCTCCGACATCATGCAGCACTGAGCATGCTCGACGACCTAGGGAGGTAAGCCTCCGCGCAGCCTGCATGTGCAAGGTGCTTGAGGCAGGCCTTGTGGATGTGTTCGGTGGTCCTCACTCCCACAAGACATGGGCAGCACTGTCTGCAGTGTCACACACACTACAAGCTGTCGTCTCCCCCCGCCTGAAAGCATATGCTCCTCCGTCATCGAGGACCTCGGCCCGCACCAGAGGGAAGCGGTGTACAAGTCCAGCACAGCGAAGATCCCACCGATGTTACATTCGCCCTCGTCGACGGCTACAGAACCCAGGGAATCGTCTCCTGGATGGACGATCGCTTCCAACCACGCAGCACGATTGGACAAGGACCGACTCTCTCCTTCATTGGTCACACCATCTACGAACGTCACAGCACGGCACTGTCCGCCACGGACAGATCCCGCGCTCGATGAACTAGCTGGTGCACACACGGCCGCTCTTCCCGAGAGCCCCCTCGTCGCCACCCATACACTCTGTCCACTGCCAAGTGATAACGAGCCAGCTCATGCCGGCCGTCAGCTCCCCGACTGACACGTATGTCATGGTTCACACCAATACACTGGGCCTGCGGCCCCCGCGTCCCGCCATAACAAACCGAGATAAGTGGCCATCTTGTCTCTTCTGACTGCCCCCCTCGATCTGTTCTCGCACCCCAAGCCAACATATGAAGCTTACACTTCTTCTCTGACAGACACTATCCCTTGATCCTCTCCCACCGTTCAGTCTACGCCTCTGCTCCACCAACATCCTTCCATCGATCACACTGCGACATCAACAAAATGGCTACGATCCAGTCACTCAGCTCGACCACCTCCCTCCAAGGGTGGGCAGATGCCATCGGCTTACCACACCTGCCAGAAAACATCCCTTACATTGTCCTGTCTGCACTCTTCTTCAGGAGCATGTATGCTTCCCTTTCGGTAGAAGTATCCACGCTTGTGTTCGGCAGCGGACGGTGGAACAAATTTGAGCCAGAGAGACGGAGTAAATGGAAAATGTGGATCACGAATCTGATCAAGGCAATCGGCATAAGTTTGGGTGCGGCCTTTCTTACGCTCATGGATGACCGCTTCTCTAGCTGGAACCTGCGGTTCATAGCTCTAGCTGTGGGGTTTTACTTTTGGCACATTTTTTACATCTCACACAAGAAGCCTGCACATATGGCTTTGGATTATTTCCATCACATCGCAGCCATTACTTGTCATCTGCTCATCTACGTAAGTACCACACACAGCCTTGATGGAGATTGTTTGCGATGGCCTATCTTGCCGGCAAATCAGCTGCTAACACCTGTTCGAAATCTAGACACCGCTTCCCGAGGACGCGAAAATGGTTCTCGCCAAGTATTTCCTGCTATTTTTGCTCTTCGAGTTCACCAATATCCCGTACAATCTTGGCTCGATGTACAATGACCTCAAGCGCGAACGTGCAGCCAAAATTTGCCACTTCATACGCGTTGTGCCTTTCGTTCCGATTCGCATTTTGTTCGGAGCTTACGTAGCATGGCTCGCACTTCAGACTTTGCACCAGCTCTTATGGAGCTCGCAATCGACAACACTATTTGTGTTCATTTGCTGGTGCGGCCTTTGCACCGCCGCACAGCCTATCCTTAACTGCATATTATTTTATTGGATCATCAAGACACCGGACACGCGCAAAGGAGAGAAGGCGCAGCAGACATCCGATATGGTTGTCGCTGACACCACCGGCAATGAGCCTTCACCAACCACCTAGTGAGGGGCCAGTAATGGCTGTACGGGGGACCGTCTGATGGGGATCCGAGCAATGCAGGGTGGCAGAAGTCTAAAACAGCTTCTCCGATCGAAGCACTTGAAATCACCCCGCCAGGCACAATGAAGCGGCCAGTCGGGCTACGAGGCGAGCGATGTGATGCTGTCTAGGCAAGCTTTCACATGGGTAGTTGGAATCGTACTAGAAATACCGCAGAGTCTTGATCACTTATACCTGTGCATGCGGACAATGCCCGCTCCTCAAAAATCGTAGAACAGAGCCAGCGCGTGTTGTTATGAGTCTAGTCGCCAACGTTGCGTGGTTGCGTCTGCCCTGGGAGGACTTTGTCTGGTGCCTGCGCCAAAGCCTCATGCATTCTCGACAATAAGGGCAGTTCCCGACAAGGGACTCAGCACCCGAGGAGGCAAGGCAGTCGCGGCCCGCCAGTCCACCTCACTTCTGCTGTCCCGTGCCCGCGCCAGCCTCACTACCCTATCCACGATCCTCGTCACAGAACGACCGGCCTTCTGTGTCCACCTAGCCCGCCTCGCATGGGCTTCAACTAACGACCCGACAGCTCATATTGACGCGCGGGCGAGTAGTAAGTCGGCGCAGATGGTCACATTACCCGGCTGAGTTTTCGCATGTCGACCTGAGTCGCCCATTTCCTCATAACATAGATGTGACGTAGTGCTTGCCCGCATCGACTCACGAGCCCGGTCAGTCTTGCTCGAAGTCTGCGGGCAGCGGTCCCACGAGCGACGCTCTCGGGCCGAGTGAGCCAAGGCCAAGCACGGCCCCCACAGGTCGGTGCTGCTGCGCGGAGCTCGGTCCGGTTCATGGCTCATGTGCATGCATAAGCGCCATCCGCGGGTTGGGGTCCAGGGGCACAGACGGAAGCGCAAGGTCCTATCGGAGGGATGCTCGAGGTGGTGGCTGATCCATGCCATAGACTACTCTATTGGTCATGCGAGTGCCCACTAGTGCGGACAGTGCGAAGCACCTTCGCTCCCGCAATCATGCCCTGCCAAGAAGTACCCGATGCAGACTTGCTTGCTTGTAAGTGCTAGCAAAAAACAATGACATTTCACTTGGTACTCCGATAAGTGAGTGCCGGCACGACGGAATGCTTCCCTCGCACTTGTTTCTGCACACTAACCCCCGGCACACTCCTCCGCCGATGCGAGCATCACCAATCATGTGTATCCTGGAGGAAGAGCGTGGCAATTGCAACAATCTTTGCGTCGTCAAGCGGACAAAAAGGGCCTGCAGAAATGGGCTCGCCAATGCCCACTTCGCTGTTGCCCATACACATCAGATAGTTCGTCAGGAGATACTTTGCGTCGGTCGCTGTCCATGCGGCAGACCCGAAAAACACCAGGACCCTGCTGTTGATCTTGTCAGACATCACAGGTATGTGGCCCTGCTTTGCCTCTTTCCCCATGGGCATGCTCTGATTGATCGGGCAGTTTGGCGAATGTGCCATTCGCGATGCTGTCTCCACAAGCCCAGATCGAGGATTGCCTTTTTCGAGTTCGAGACCTGGCCAAGCGCTACGCTGCTGGGTAGCATTCACTACGTCTGTCCTCGCCAAGCCAGCGCCATCAGCGCAGAAGCGAGCGATGGATCACCACGGCCTTGAATTACCACGATCAAGGGCCCAGTGGCAAGGCCGCGATCGAAGCGGCGGTCACGTCTCTGCGAGTCACCAGGCCGAATATCCTGTAGCGAAGATAGCATGTATGACGTTCAACACCACCTTGCAAAGCTGTTTGAGATAAGCATTGTCTGCCCATCTCTCTGCATCTCATTACTCGTGGTGGCACAGGTTCCATAGTGGACCTGTCGTTCAGGTACTGCTCACGTTCGGTGCATTTCACCTGGCGATGGCCATGCGTGCCTGCTGTGTGTTCTGAAGAGGTGTTGGCGTAGGGCAGCTTGTGCTCGCTCTGGTGGCAGCTCTGAGCGCCGCTCATCTTGAGTATGGTGCGAGGCGCCAACATCAAACACGAGACGCACAGCCGCACAATGGCAGCTACGAGACGGCGTCCCCTGTAAGCACGCCGAGTGCCGCTGGACACATCCCTATCGGAGCCAAAAACAGCTCCACAGTCCACAGGTCGGGTTGCGCCACCATGGTGAGATGGCGCACGCACTCACTCTGAGTGGACTCCTCTCAAGGGTCTCCCAGCGACAGCCTGACGGGCAGGCAGGTGGCACCCACCTCGGCTGGCGTGGTCGGCAGAGGGCCACCAATGGGGCTCGCATGCAAAGCTGCGAAGGCGTTGGAGTGCTCTCCTAGCCTGTGAATACCTGACAAACAACGAAGCAGGGCTTAGGGTCCTTGAGTAGAGCTAACCGCCACACAAACGGGCAGCTACATACCTGTGCAGGACGGTGCTCGCATTGATGTCCAAGGATGATACTGATGATGGATCCCACGCCTGAATTTCCCTCTTCGCCCTGACGGCTGGTAGTGGTGCCCCCTCCGAGCCTTCAGGCGCCGCCGCTGTTGGAGGGTTGCCGTCTACTGCGGCCCTCTGTCCAGCACGGCCATGCCTCGCAGCTCATGACTCCCATAGAGGGAGCTCTCATGACACAAGCTGAGAGCCAGGCGGCCCACTGGCAACAGCTTCTCCTGCCCTTGTCCTGGCTAGCTTGCGTAGCTTGGTTGCATCTTGTTGGATTGACGATGCTGGAGCTGGGATGTATCACCCCTCTGGACCCATGCCGGGCACACCTGGCACCGCCGGCGACCGGATCCAGCAGGCTCGACAGGGGGGGCAAGACTTTGTGCGTACAGGGCGTGGGAGGGCTTGGCTGCAGGGTTTCTGCATCTACGGTTCTTTCAGCAGTATCTGGCGCTGGTCTAGGGCTGATGGCCAAGCCTCTCCACCAACGGACTTGACCCGAGCTGTTGGCTCACTAGGCTAGACAATGTTTTGCAGGCCATATCCTTGACCGCAGTATGACAATGCCCTTGCGGCTGGGCTTCGTGCCAGCTGCGATCAGCAACTAGTTGACAGCCGCTCAGCACCTGACTGGAATCCGCTGGCCGAGCCTGCCGCAGTTGAAGATGTAGCTCAAAATAGAGATGAGAGCACATTTCCGTTCCCTAGTCTGATCTCGTACAGCATACGGAGTCCCGTATCTAGGTGCTAACTCACTGCACTGGAAGGCGTTCACTGAACCTGTAAAGCAGCCAAGAACACAGGAGAAACTGAGCATCTAGACGTTGCTTCGCCAGGGGCTGCAAGTCGCCTTCGCACACGCTTGTCATTCCTGCTCCTGCCTGAACGACGAAACATTGTCAGATCACCCCGACCATGGTGTGAAATAGCGGCTTGACATCCTTGGGGCTTTCCGATGCTGGGCCCCAGCAGCTCATTGCCGGCTGAGGCCGGGGTACTTGTCTGCAAGGGCATGATCCGGTGGCTGACGCAAGGCACGGCGCTATCTGCAGCACCGGACTGAGCTGTCTCCGGGGCGGCGGGAGGAGCTCACAGGGGTGCACCACCGGTCTCCACTGGTATCTTTGTGTATATATTCCATCCTTCCCACCGCACTCTCAACATTCAGCCTGATAATTCTCACGAAGCGCAATTATCATTGTCCCAGACAGAGAGCCTTCAGAGTCACTGCTCCTTGCTATAATCCGCCTAGTCAAGATGTCCGACAACCATAGCGCGGAGTTTCACATTCTCGGAACCGAGACCCCCTTTGGGGAGAAGTTCCACATTCCAAACGAGCTACGAATTCATGAAATTGAGGTGAACTTCGACCTCATCCTCACCTACCACGATGGGACAACGTTTTCAAACGAGTTCAAACCAACAGTTCTTTTACACAACGACGAAGCTGAGCTGCCCAGCGAATGGGAGGAGACGAGAGCCCGGTCAGAGCTCGAAGCAGACATTCGCCTTAAGACACGTAGTGTTGCTCTGAAAAACAACAAAACGACCACCAGATGGACCGTGGAAAGGCTCAAGGTCCGAAAGGTGGGGTCTTATTCCCTGGTCATCCTCCTGTATCCAGCCGACACAGGGAAGTTGCGCTTACCAATCTCCGATTCTGCACTCCCCGGCATCGAGATTGTTGTGTAACACCCACGCCCAGCGGTCAAGGTCTGAAGAGGAACATCGTGTACGGAGGAGGAATGTTCAAAACCTATCGTCCTGCAGCGGATTTCAGTCAGTGCGCAAACTGTGGGGCTGTAGTGGAATGCATGTTGAGCGAGCGTCGACTTTTACGAGAGGTGCCTGAGTAGCACAGGAGAAGCTGCCAATGTCTTAGCTAAATATCAATGTTACCTGGAACGGCCGCATTATTGATGAGGACAAGTGTTGGACTTTGAAGTGATGGCTGGTCTCACAAGGTCTCTCCTGCCTCCCCAAGTGCCCTGCAGTGTTGATGGATGCCTACGCGCTAGAATCACTCTTAAAAGCGACGGCTGGCAGTAGTGCCTCTTCGAGGCTTCAGATGCCACCACTGTGGGAGGGGTCCCATCTGCTGTTGTACGCTGATCACCCCTCGCAGCTCATAGCCCGTCTACAGAGAGCCCTCCTGACACGGGCTGAGAGACAGCCGGCCCACTGGCGACTGCTTCTCCCGCCCTTGTCCTTCCTAGCCTGCGAAGCTTGGGTTCATCTTGTTGGACTGTCCACATTGCTGGAGCTGGGATGTAATTCTCGGCTCCTTTCCCGGCGCAGCCTAGCACTGCAGGTGACTGGATCCAGCAGGGTCGACATGGGGAAGGCAAGGCTTCGTGCGGATAGGGTGTGCAATGGCTTGGATGCAGGGCATTTGCATCCACAGTTCTGTTGGCAGTACTAGGCGCCAGTCTAGGTTCACGAGGCTGGTCGTGAAGCCTCTGCACCACTCGGATGGCCCCTTTCAATGTCTTGAGGGCCAGAGTCGGGCACTGCGCCCCATTGTTGCAGGGCACTTGCGCCCTTGGACATACGCAGCTGCCGCTTGGCGTTCATGTCAGTCATAAGCGTGAGTCTTGGCCATGGGATGCTAGGCCCTTGACGCGGACGCCGCCAGGCAAAGGGGACAACTTATCCCCACTGGGCCACCATTCCCGGGGCTAAGGACGTACTTCGTATCGTGGGGAAAACGACGCAAAAGTCCCGATCCTGTCGTGTTGGACCACAGTGGTTCCATCAAGATAGATGCTGAGAGGAAGTGGTGGCACGGCAAGCCCACTGAGTAGGACATGAGCCCAGTACAGGAGTCACAGCTGCAGCATGAAGCGACCAAGCCATGTTTATGATGCTATGCAGAGAGCACACCGTGCCGGATGAAGTGTCCTTCGATCCCACACGCGTTACGGCATTTTACTATTGCATCCGCTTGTCCGAAGAAGTTGATCAAGGCGAGGCACTCAGCATCTGAGAGGGGGGGACCGCCACGCAGTCTTGCTTGTCCTCGAGCGCGAGTCGAAGGTGTCACGAGCGCCGTCCCATTGGCTTGTGGCGTGCCTAGGGCTATGTGTAGTGTGCGTCCCGAGGTCTCTTAGCAGTATCCAGTAGAGGGTGCCCAGCGCGCTTGGTCACAAACAGGCACGCAGACAGCGTGACGTTGCTAGGCGTCGCTCGCTGTAGTGGTCCTCCGTTCAGGCACACCCGGCCCAGTCCCTTCTCGCTCTTGCCTCAACGAAGCGCTGACCATTCTCTGTTCGCACAACAGGCCCCCTCCTCTGCCTGCTGTTCCCCTCCGTCAGAGCCTTCCTTCTTGCTGCCAGGTACCGTTCGCCTAGCGAAAGGGGCGTTTCTCGAATATCGGAACTCGAGCTGTGAGCTGTAGAGCCCTCCCAGCCCCCCTTTCCAAGCCCTTCCTTCCGCAGCAGCCTTCTCTCTGACCTGCGTTTCCGTGAAACTTCATGTGCGTGACGTGTTAGATCCCCTGTCGATTGACACATCCCTCGACATGGCTGGTGTCTGGTCAAACCCAGTACGTCTACATCCACTGCGATGGCACGACCTCCAAACGCAAGTAGCAGAGCAAGCCGGGGTTTTTGCAATGATCGAGTACGCGAGATCGCGAGGCGGGTCACTTGCCCCGACAGGCCGACCCTCGCCCGCTGCCTTCCCTGATTTTGACTTTGGAGGCGTGCTATCGAGCGACCCCCAAGCGCTCCTCACCACAAACGAAAGAAGATGTTGCCACCCCGAAAGGCAGTTCCCTCAAACTAGCCTTTTTGGAGACATTCAGGCAGCTGGTGGCAGATATGATCTTCGATACTGTTCACAGCCTTGTGGCGTACAGTCTACGTCGCTTTTTTTCTCTTTTGGGGAGAGGGGTTGACAGGGCGGCCTGGCCGCCAACGCCGGCTCAGTCGATGCCCGAAATGCCTATGGTCAGTCACCATGCTGCGCAATCTTACCTGCAGCCCAAGCACTGAAACGTAGCAGGTTACCCTGGTCCTGATCCCCAGGCCGAGCAGCGTTGTCTTGCAGCCCTGGTTCGACTCCTCAGATAAAACGCGATTGCAGACCTGACCCTCAGACCAAATTCTCTTCGTCTTTCCCCGTCCTCGTCCTATCCCTCAAAAGTCTCCGTGTTGGAGACCCCCTTACTATCGTCTTCGATATTTTGCACATAGACCCATCCCTCAAGATGCCTGAAGCTTCAAGCTCGTCTGTTGGAATATCCTTCGACCGCCCACCTTTGAACTACACGGTGTACTACGATGCCAACGACTTCTGCGCCATCCAGATCGAGCCGTCAACACTTCCACTTGGACCATACACCTTCTTGGCATCAGTCCCTACTGAGTCGGGCCGCACGCCGCACAAGCTTGAGCCCGTGTCTATTGAACAACCCCCCGGCTCCGTTCGATGGATTTTAGATCCTGCTCTCATAGCGAAGATCGGTAGTACGGTCACCATCACCGTCATCTGTCGGATGTATCATAAGTGCCGGCCTATCCGCATTTGGGCCATGACTTGCAATATTGAGTTGGGGATGAAGCACGAAATCCTTGTGAGAGTATCTATCGGTGATATCCAAGCTGATCAAGTTTGGGCTTTGGCCCAACTTGCCTCTCATCTTTACGCTCAGCTTCGGTCCTCTGGAACAATTCGCCCGAATACACCTGTCGGTCGCGCGGCAGCGAGCGCTGAGGCTGATGGGCGCTCTCTTGGCGACACAATATCCGATCCGGTTTCCTCAGACTCAGTTACCGACGCTCAAGACGATGGACCCTCATGCGGAGAGAACGACGGCGGGGACAAGGAAGGCCTTGAAGAGGAAGATCTTGGGGAGGAAGACCTGGGAGAAGGGGATAAACTGGATAAGGAGGATGACCTGCGTGGACAGAGTGCGAGAGAGTTGCAGTTTCGTCGTCACAAACCCTACGTCGTGGACGGGCAATCGCCGAGTGGCGGTAGGAAGCGCTTTCATCTTGTCCAACATCCCGCTCCTGTGCTTGGAGAGGAGGACAACCTGGTTGGGGGGGGAAACCTTGTCGGGGGGGAAGCGTACGTGCTGCTCTGAATTCATCCCGAACCCTCTATCGTGTAAAGGCAACATTAGACTGTCAGGAAGTGATACCGTCATCTTGTTCAAACGTCCTCTCCTTGTGCATCGTGATAGCCAGGTCTCATTTTAACGAGTACGACGCTCTAGTCGTCGCATCGCTTCCAGTAACAAATGGCAGCCGCACATAAGTTCAGGGTGCGCATATATCTCCCATCAGGGCATGCATTGATGTGACATGAGGCGCCGGCTCACTTAGGCCACAAGCAATCTCCAATCTGGGCAGCGTCAAAAATGGCACACGATGAGCAGGACACGACTGGTACAGTTTTGTATTGGCAGCTTGACTGAGAGTTGAATCTCTAATGAAGATCGTCCCCTTCACTTCTCGTGTCGCGCCCTGGAACGAAGTGCTTAACGAGCCCCATCGCCCACATCCTTAACGGCTCGCCTTCAGGCTCTTCACACCAATGCAACTCGTCCAGCGATCCTTCCACCTCCTCCCTAGTGAAAGAGTGCTGATACAATCAAAAACCGAGTACCCTTTACACGAAGGGAAAGGGAACAGACTCAAGCACGACCCTGCATCATGGATTAGCTTCCTTGAGAAGCTCGCCAGCTGCCCAACATTGTCCACCTTCCTACGCCGGATTCTTCTGGGTGGTTGATCCTTGACAACATGCCACTGAGACGCTTGCCCTCAGAACTTTATCTGCACGTCTTGCACTACCTCCAAGAACCCTCAGATCTTCTTCCAATAAGACTGGTGTCTCGAACTCTCTATTCACATATCGACGGCCACTGTGCAGCATTGGCTATTCAGAAACATAATCTGCTGAGAAATTCACACGTCAAGCCCGGGGCTTGGTACAAGGTATGGGAACAGGTCGCGCCCCGAGCTCGCCAGCCGTTCGAGGATAGCTCGGAGACTTTGATCGCGGACTCACCCACGGAGGCAGAGACCGAGATCGCGGTGCCGTACCGGGCTTCAACTTTTCCTACTGGATTGATAAAGTCAAGTGTCTTGGGAAGTCTTCAAACAGCAGAGCGCTTGATAGATATCAAGTATCCGCGAAGGCGACCACGAATGCGCGTGCGTGCGCCAGCTGCGGCCGTCTCCCACGTCCTAGTAGAACGAGAATGACGTAGATAAAACCAGCATCGGTCCATGAACCCTGTGAAGTGTGCTGCTTCTGTGCCAAATTGTTCTCGCATGTATCCAGCCCTTTGTGAGGATCCCCTGTGAAGTAAGACATGTCCAGGTTGCGGCTTTTGTCGTATATTTCCTCCTGTACAGCAGCGCGATATTGCTCCATAGCCTCGAGTTGCTGCGTAGGGCTCCTGTTGCTTTTTCACTTCGGGAAAGAGGGGCTGTGGACAGGGCGGCGGCCTGGCCGCCAACGCCGGCACGAGACGCCATCGGCACGTTAGACATGGGTTGAGACTAAGAAGGTCTGAAAACCGCTGTGAAAGATCTGATAGCGTGAGAGGGAGTGCTGATCTCGTCGTGTTCTTTGACGTGGCCATGCAGTAACTTCATCGTGGCGCAGGGAGGGTACCCTAGGGTGTCACGTATTGAAGACGAAGCGTCGGCCTCGTCACAGGCAGCTGCCGGATAAGAGTCGCCTGCCGAGAAGGTATGAGTACTCGGGAGTCACGACCTGCAGCTTGACGACGACTGCATGATGTTCCTGAAGAGCTGTTGTTGAGCTGCCCAAGGACTCGGCAGCCACACTGATAGCTCGTGGAACCTTCGAGCCGCCAGATGGTTGGGAACCATGGGTCTCGCACATATGCGTAAGTCGCGGTGGGCTGGGCTCCCGCATGCACGCGCCAGACTCGGGGTCGCCGCCTTCCTCTCTATCGCCATAGCCCAACTCGCACCCGGAAGACCACGAGCCTGTGACTTTTTCCGTGCCCTTTTTGCCTCCAACGCAGATGGTTCTGCGTGTCAACAATTTCATCGTTCGACACCGGGCCATCGCGACAATCAACATAGCCGGAAGGCTGGGGATGAGGCACTAGGGAAGAGGCAGCGGCCGGGACGAATCTTTACCCACGTGCGTAACTTGTTTAGCGCGCCCAGCTTGTCCACTGAGCGCCATCGTGCTACGCCTTGCGTCGGACTATGTGCCAAGTGTCCTGCTTATGATGCTTCCGATGCTGCTTGGGGCCCAGAGTCTACGAGAGAGAGTAACGTAACCGGCAAAGCTCGCCCGCGCTGAGTCAATGCTATACATGAGTGGTGTTCCAGCTGTTATGAAGAACAGTGACATGCCCGAGTGACGCGGGCGATCCAAGAAATGTTGTCGTTGGCTGAGTGAACTTCTAGCGGCCCTTGTCCTGGTTTGGGCGTGCTCCCAGGTTGCCTTCCACTCTAGGAGACCAGCCTAGTTCCGAGTCTGTAGACACGGGGGCAGCCGGCAGCAGACTTGATCTCTGATACTGTTCACAGCCTTGCCGCGCAGGGTTCAGACATGTTTAGGCTGTGAGATGCACCTGACATAAGCACATGCATTGATACCCCAACAGATGTGGCCGGCTTGCGCTGTAACGAAAGGAACGAGAATTATGATTCTTCTTCAAGTAGTGTTCCGGGTGCGATTTGATCAAAAGCATCGACGATTGCGCTGTCGACCCCTCGGAGATGCTGCTGGAGCAGGGCAAGGACGTTCCTGCCGAGTTCGCAACCGGCGCAAGCGCAGGGCTCCCTGAGCACCGGTCCCAAAGGGGGCACGACCTCGCCGCAACAAAGCAGGACCAGCCCCATCCATCGTCGGAGGAGGTGGGTCGTGGACTGCTGAGCTGGCCCTGACGCGTCTCGATCTGTGCGATCTGCCACGCTGCACAAGCAGCAGACACAGCGTCGCACAAGTTCCACACCATCTCGAAAGCCTGTGGGGATCCTGTCTCTAAAGAATCGGAGGCTGAGGTGCAACCAATCGGATAAGTTCAGTCGGATCCGGCGCAAGGCACTATCTATATGCAGGGCGCTTGGGCTCACGGCGCTGATGCCAGCGTCAAAACCCTTGTAACCCGACATGCGCGAAAGTACATGGTAACAACGTCTACCAACGAGTTCACCCCTGCTCGATGCGCGGCCGGGGACAATCCGGCCAGGTCGCAATGTAGCCAGTGAAGAGCTAGTGGGACCCCATGACGCCCGATCGTTCAAGGCGTTTTGCCTTCACGCAGCGTCTTTGCTTCTTGCTTCTTCCATCTCCAATCATTCTAAATCATCGTGACATCTCGATACAGACGTACATTTTTGTGCATTAGCTCCTTGCCACTACCTGCCTATCACTGTGCCTACTTTCACCGACGCGGAGAAAGCACCCCATTCAGTGACGGACGAGAAAGCTTCGGGGCCGGAAATAGGCACATATAGGCAAAGGGGACAATGAGGCTGACGACAGATCGTATGGCGAGAAGGCTGTGTGACACGGATGGCACGGTGAAGACTCGCCCCATAGCATTGGGGCCTCCACAACCCCCCCCCCCCCCCCCCCCTCTCCCCGGCACAACTGGTGCGAACCACTCGTTCACTCGGTATAATATAGCTAGGCAATGCCCGAAGAGGAGGAAGTACTAGGCATCGGTTGCCCCCCCCCCCCTGTCTCCGTAGCAGTGACCGTATGCCTCGTGAGTTATCTTTGATCCTTCAAATGGCACAGGAACAGACTCGACGTCGCGGTCTGCCAGCCTTCGAAATGTACGGCTTCCTTTACCGTTGCAAGGGGGTGAGAAAGAGGGTGGGACGAAAGTGAGAGGGGTGGAGTTGCTGTAAATAAGGCAACCAGAAGGCAACCAAGAAAGGCGACCACTTAAGTCGGCGCCACAACACGTCAACTTTTTAGCATTTTCATTTTATTCATATCTCCGACCAATATAAACCTTGCTACCGTCCTCTTGTACTCCCTCTTTACTTGCTCGGATGCTGCCCTTCTCATGCTTTTCCACCAAGACTCCCACCATTCGCGAGTCAAGATTTATGCTCTGTTTAGTTATCAGCTACAACCGCTCTGCAGCTCTTCGGGCAGGCTCCTTTTCACTCAACACTCTAGCCGGCTCCCTTCATTTGAGACTCCACCATGAGAAGTGGTCCAGATGATCCTGTGGTCCCGACGTGGATCGAAGCTTTCGGCGGACCAGAAGATGCTCCTGCCGAGTACGTCAAGATTGACCCTATCAACCCGACAGGCACTGTGCTGACAATTAGCGACATGATAGTCGCTCTGCGTCCGATTCCGTGGCTCACGACACTCCGGAGGTGCCAGTCGTGACAGAGCTCGGTGGTGCATCATCACAGTCTCCCCGGCCCGTCAAGAACGATGCAGCTGGTATCAAGAGCCACGAGAACACCAAAGTGGACGACACGGAGGCCGACACAGCCACTGTCACCGGCAAGGAACAAGATTCCGCCAAGGTCGTCGCTACAGAGGTCCAGACTGTCAAAGCGGACAAGCAAAACCCACAACTTGACCCGGAAACAATGATCAAACAGCTAGAGACCCGTCCCATTAGCCAGGATCAACTGGTAGCCGAAGTAAAGGGCATCTATGCCGGCTTGTTGATGGTCGAAAGCAAATGCATAGAAGTGGACAACGGCCAAATGCCCCCAGAGGACGGTCCGCTCGACGTCACCAAGTACCTGGTGATGATCCCGAGCGCCAAACTGATACTACTTCAAGATGGCGCCATGCGGCCAGAAAAAACTGTTCGCACTTAGTACATCAAGGCTCAGAAGGATGCAACAAAAGAAGATAAGAAGCCGTCGACTCCCGAATCAACCAAGAACTTGCCGGCGACCAGCCAAGACTTGTCTGCGACTCCCGGAGACTCGTCCACGACCCCTGAGGAGGACTCTGCCCATCTCCCTGCCCATTCCGACGTGTCAGGGAAGACCGCTCCGCTAGTTGGCAGCCCCGAGGATTATCTGCGTGCATTCCGGGTGGCTCTGGAGTTGTATGCCAAGGCAGATGGATGGCCTGAGTATGAGCAGTTAGCCGCGGTCAACGCGGCGGAAATCGATGAAGACGATCGCAAGAAGGTGATAGACGGAAAATACTACCTCGACATCGGAAATCACCTGGTCAATCAACTACTGCGCGACCTCGAGACCGCCAAAACGAAAGCAGCAGAGAAGGAGGCTGAAGCCAAAGCGAAAGCCGATCAGGAGGCCGCACAAGCAAAAGCAGAGGAAGAGGCGTCTCAAGCAAAAGAAGATAAGAAGGATTCGAACCCTGACCTAGGGGCGACATCGGCCCGTATGGATGAAACTCCAGACATCCTAGAGGCCCAGAGCATGCTCTCTAACGGCACGTAGCAGGCGACTCCTAAGGAGACGCCTGCCGAGGAGTCGAAGGCGGCTCTCGAGGCCGCCGCCACTCAGCAAAATGCAGCCCAGGACGCCAGCCTGTCCACCTAAGAACCCCAGGCCTCTACTAAGGAAGTTGGCTCTGCGCCCGGGGATTCTGGAAAGGCAACGGTGGATGCAGCAGTCGACGCTGTTGACCTGGACGAGAAGAAGCCCAAGACCAAGCTGCCAATCTTTGTCGATCTGAGGCCGCTCGATGACGAGGACCGGTACAGAAAGGTTGGCAGGGAATGGTGGGTGCTAATCTCTGGTCGATGGATTCCTAGTCTCAGTGCCGAGCATTATGCGGCTCTCGTCGCGCTCCACCGCAGATGTCTAGACGAACACTACGACTTTTTTTTGGCATCGCAGCACCCAAGTGCGTCGCCAGCGATCAGTGGACTCGCAGTAGAGTATGCCATGCCGGCAAGATTGTGGAAGCACGCCATACATGCCTTTCTCGAGGTCCTGCGTTATCGACTTCCCGAATCTCAGGAGACCATGGATCACTTCATCATCATGGCATATGGTATGATGGCTTCGCTGGAGGAGACTGTCCCGCGGTTCCGTTTCACGTGGATCGAATGCAAAGCAGATTTGGCACGATACGGGTAAGTAGAAGCAGCGCTCCTGCTATGTCCACCATCTGGTGGACAAATGTGCTAACAGAAACTAATACCTGCTGCGTAGAATGGCTATTCAAGAGGAGGACAAGAAAGTCCAGGAGCGATGGAGGGACACTGCCAAAGAGGAGTACACTCAGGTGGTGATCGATGACCCCACGGTTGGCCGCCTCTACCATCACCTGGCCATTTTGGTGCGGGCTCGGTCCTCCTCGCCTGATGCAATTTTCGAGGCCAATGTGTCCAAGCTTTTCTACTACACCAAGTCCCTCATCGTCAAGACCCCGTTTTATACCGCGCGGGATTCCGTGCTGACAGTTGTCAACCCGATTGTTGACCGGAACAAGAAGGCAGCCGAGGAGCCGGCCAGCGTCCCCCAGACCGACCAAGACCACTTCCTTACCGCAGTTGCCCACCTGATTCTTGCTTCTCTGGAGCCCGAGATTCTTAGGAAAAATGGCCATAAGGACAGCAGGAAGGACCATATTCAGGCTGTCTATGCAGCACTGGAGAGGATCAAGGTCGGTGAACCTCTCAAAACGCCCAGAATTCGTCCAAGGTATGTGCTGGCCCCGTGAATTGGGTAACACTCGTCTCTGACTCACCACTTGCAGCGCCAAACTCGGTCTCTTGCTCTGCCAGTTGTTGCTGGGAATTCCCCCTGTCGATAAGAGATGGAGCCCGATGGTGGCGGCATGGGCCCCCGACCTTGTGACGGCCGAGGACCGCGCCGATTCTGACGCCATGGCCAACGCGAGGGACATCCATGATGCAACGATCGAGCTGATCAGCACCATGGTCCCTTATCTCTTGGAGGATGCAGACACGCGTGACTTGAGGGTGTGGGAATTCATCTACGTCATTTTGGTCTTCATGCGCTCCTTGAAGACGCGGCCCGCCCTGCTGAATTGGCTTGGCTCGGCCTTCCATGCTGAGGTGATAGCGCCTTACCTCAACATGCTTCTGCGCGAGGACGAGACTCGAGGTCGTCATGCCTTCGAGAGCGCGTCCCAGTCGGAACTCGTTACAGTTTGTTCGCCGCTCAATGAGAAAACGAAGCTGGGCAACTACGGACTCAGCACCGAAGACAACATCAGGAATTACCTTCGGGAACAAGAGGAGAAACGAAAGGCAGAGAGTGCTGAGATCACGGTCACGGCAGGAGAGGTTACGGCGGAAGAGACCATGGCCACGACAGAGGAGACCACGACCAGTGACACCGCACACGAGATGGACGGGCACACCAAGACACCGGGCTCGGAGCCGTTGCACGCCAACGTACTGCCGGAACATTTTGAGCTCTCGGGCTTATTCTTTGCCAAAGAGGCTGATCCTGAACCCCGTGGCAAACCACTGGAGAACCCTACCGCAGACGCCGTAGTTGGCGGCTGCCCAACCGCCCCCGAGGCCACGCCAGCGGCCGCGCAGACCATAGAGGAACCAGCCGTGAGACACGCACAGGAGGTATCTCTGGCGGATTCAGAGACCTACAGTCAATCGGGTGATGGTGTTCTAACGGATCCCGAGCCAGAGCACGAAGCGATGGATGAAAATCTGGAGAATCCTGTCCCTAAATCGGAGATTGAGGCCCAGGAAAAGCAGCAGACGGAGAGAGAAGCCGTGGAGGCATCATTGGCAGAAGTGGAGAGGAAGGAGAGAGAGGCTAAGGAGGAAGAGGAGAGGAAGAGGAGAGAAGCTAAAGAAGCCGAAGAGGCAGAAGTGCGAAGGCAGGAAGGACTGCTCCGCGATCCCCCCCTCTTCCCCAACGGCTGGCTCAAGAAATCGAAATACGACTTCGACGAGATACGGGTTTGCGACTACGTGCAGAGCTTTGAGACGTATAACGATCGGTCAAACCAGATCTTGCGTCTGGCTGTTCAGCTATTCGGCATCTTCTTCATCTTTGAGTCCGACGGGGAGAAACGCATTTGGATCAGTGTGTCTGGGGCCTCATCTGTGCCGAAGCCCGACCCCAACAAGAAGATGCCGAAAATCGTCGAACGCGACGGCGGCGTCAGGGTCGTTTATGTTGATCCTTCCTCCCACGCTGCCGAACTCAAGAAGAAGGAGAAGTTGGCAAGGGAAGAGGAAAGGCGGAAAGAGAAGGAGATGGAGAAGAACGCTGAAGCTACTACGGAGGTGGCTACAGTTTTCGACGAGAAGGCCAAGGGAGAGAGACCGACCGACCACGTCAATGCCGAAGGGGCAACGGAAGCCGTGAACATCCCGGCCGGGGCACCCGCACGGTATCAGAAGACGGCGATGACGCGGCGACTTCGACTTGTGATATGACGCCGAGAAAGGCCGCTCGTGCTTTGAAGGCTGAGCTTACCGAGGACGTGCTCAACCAGATGCCAAAGGTGGAGAAACCTGCCAATGCCATCGAGCGCTGGAGAGCTCCAATTAAGACGCCTGGCGCGGACAAGCATGTGGACGAGGACGGATGGACACACGTCAGCGACGAAAGTTACGGAGACGCGGAAACGGGGCCAACAGTTCAAATGGTCCAGGTCGAGACAAGGTCGATGATTTCGCGCTTGTTCTGGAGACGAGAGGAATGAACAGTCTAGATTGATGCGAGGGGAGATGCCAGGACGGCATGCATTCGGACGACAGGTAGAGAAGACGAGGACAAGATCTGTATTCCTGTACATTAAGAATAATTTTCTAGGATACTGGGCTTCCGGAGAACGACGTTAGAGAACACAAGATTGCTGAGCATAACCACTTCAAATGTCCGGCATATCCGGAAGTGCTGCGGCAAGACGAGGTTCTAGATCACGTTTCAGAACACCAACAGTTTCAACCTTCGAAGGTCTCCAGGAGGCAGGGGACTGAGAAATGTGCTCCCTTGCCGCAAAGCTAAGATCAAGGTCAGTCTCCCAAAAGCCTGCAGGGTTGTGTTTCCAGCTGATCAGAACACAGTGGACCGTCCGGCCGGGACTAAATTTCTGTCAACGTTGTCTTGATAAGAATATTCCGAACTGCGTCCGAGTCGAGGCGCCACGCCGTGCTAGGCATCTGCTTCACTCCTCGTGTCGCGACCTGGAATGTAGTACTGAAAGAGCCCCATTGCCCACTCCCTCGAAGGCTCGCCGTCGGGGGCTTCATACCAATACAACTCATTCAGCGGTCTTTCCACATTCTCTCTCGTGAAAAAGGTTCACATCGCTAGTTGATCTTCCGTAGGATGGCGGAGTTTGGCTGTGGGTTGTGCAATTAGCGGACTTCCACTTCCTGCGCTTGTGAGATGAGGCTACTTACGTGCTTCTGCCACTTCGGCGTCCTCGTCATATTTTTGCAAGATTTCAAGTTGTTTCTTGTCATACTTCAACGAGCCTCCAAGAATCTCAACCCAGCGCTTTGCGCGGATGCCCCGGCTTTTGATATGTATGGAGTCTGCGATGGAGCTTGGCGGCGTCTTGATATCTGGCCCACTCTCTATGAGGGTTCCGTGCGAAGTGGTGCATGTCCAGGTTGCGGTTTTGCAGTGTATTTCGTCCTCTACAGCAAGGCCATGTAGCTTGATGACCTTGAGTTGCTGTGATCTGTTTCTTCCAAATGATTGGCGAATTGTTCGTCGAGGGTAGGAGGGGACATCTTCAGTGCGGTGTGTTGATAATGTGATTGCAAGAATTTGAAGCATAAGGCGCGCCCTGAATATCAGCCCAGAGCGGGACGACCTTTTCGCAGCTAAGTAGGCCAACCCCATTAGGGGTGGTGGGTCGCAGACCGATAAGCTGGCCTTGACGCGACTCAATCTATATGATCTGTCACACAACTTAAGTGGCTGACATGTTTCCACGCGCCATCTCGAAAGCGCGTGGGGGACCTCAGTCTCCAAAGAAGTCAGGCTGACATGCAGCCAATCGGATAAGTAGTCGAAATCGGCGCAACGCTTTATTTGTATGCAGGGCGCCTGGGCATGTCTTGGCTGAGGTTCACCTAAGATGGGTCATGGTGCTGAAACCCACCTCACCCCATGTATCCCTCTAGCCTACACATCTGCAACCAATTTTCATCCCTGCTCGACGCCTGGTCGCAATGTGGCCAGTGAAGAGCTAGCAGGGCCCTATGAGCCGGCCACTTCCAGGGTTAGTACTTCTCTCACGATTGAAGTCACTTCCACAGCCAATACATGTGCCTGCACGGATGCGCGCTATACAAGGCCCAGCGTGCAGGTCTACTGCACTCTTCAGCCTCCGCGCCTCCACGTCTATCAGCAAGCGCGCCCGGGACGGCCCAAAGCCAGCAGAGCCCCCTACTGGGTTGATATGCTTCAGACATACTCGGCGCAAGTCGCAAGTACCGGGCACTTGGCGACTAGAAGAATCACTCAGACGCCGGCACCTCATGCCTGAGCGACGAAATGGTCATTTTCGGTTCACGCAACAGGCACCTTTACCCTGTCCTCTGCTCGCGGGCTCAACTCACTCTTCTCCGGTCCGTGCCTTAGTGGGAATGCCGCTTGATTTGCCCGTACTGACCCACGCGGTCGCCGGGGCCGGGGTCAATCAACTACAGAACGAGCAATTGCATGGGGCAAGCTTGGGCCTGGCCTATAAATGGCTGAGCCACTTGCCGGGTAATGGCGGAATGAAGGACAGCATACTTCTCTTGTTCCCGCCTAGCATGGCGACCTCAGTGGCGATAGGTGTTCCAGAGTAGTCGTACCGCTGCATCTGTAGCGGAGAAATTCATACGGACTCACAGAACGAGACTCAGCACATCCATGCTCAGGCATGTCCCTCACATAACGAGCGTGAAGCCCACCTCAGCTGTCAGAAACGGTCAATACAATTCGAAGAAGAGCACCCTCTGCATCCAGGGAAGACAGCCCAACCCAAGCATGATCCCACACCATGGGTCAGATTCGTGGAGAAGTGCGCCAGCAGCCCGACAGTATCTACCGATCACATTCAGAGCCATCGCCAACTTTCCATCAACATGACTGAGGCCAGCATCCTGCAACTGGTCAGGCTACATCAGGAGAATGAGCTGAGACATCCTGAATCTGATGCTTCCGTAGGTCTCGGATGCTGGCCGCAGCTTGCCGTTGGCGCACAGACAACTGCATCTGCCTGTTCAGTAGAACAGAATGCTGCACCAAACAATGGGCGAGCCGTGACTGTGACAACGCTCGCGGAAAACACGGCTCTGGCGATTCGCTCGAAAGCGTTCATGGACTCACGACCGATAAAACAATCAGACAGCAGCAGCAGCTTTGCCTTCGAACAATCAACCAGCGAGAATAAGCACCAGTCTGATCAGACTGGCACGGGTGACGAAAATCACATAAAACGATCAGACGTGGCTGGGCGCCTGAGGGACCCATACACTTCGCGCGCATGTGATTCATGCCGCTTGCGAAAGACCAAGTGCGACGGGTCATCCCACTGCGAAGTCTGCAAAACGAGGAAATCAAGGTGTTCCTACACTTATCAGAAAAAAACGAGGATAGTATACCATGCCTGCGTTTCATGCCGCCTTTTTAAAAGCGGGTGTGACGGGAAAAGTCCTTGTAAGGTCTGCGAGAAGCACAAGCGTCCCTGTCACTACGACGTCGAGGAACAGTATAGAAAGACCCAGCCCCGGAAACGACGTTCAATTCGTTCTAGAAACCTAGCGTAGAGGAGCTGCGATCCTCTCTTGAGAGCTGAGACGAGCATATCTGCTCAACGTGCTAAAACCTCTGCAACAAGGATTACTGACCACCAGTCACCGTGTCATCCTGTAGAGCAGGAGGGGGGAATGGCTTCAGTGGCAACAACAGTTGGGGCAACATCTGGGAACGATTTTCGGAGCACTTCTGTCAGTAGCCTACCGCCAACACAGCCGGATCGCACCAGCGAGTCTGCTCCTGAGTAACAGACTCCTGATTGTTCGTATGACTGCTTATTGCCTGACTATGACTACACGGAATTAGGAGATCTGGGTTGGCTATTCGAATGTTTCACCCGCCATTAGCCGAAGGAGAGTCAGTAACAGTTCGAGAACGCAGACTAGTGTTGATAAGAATCAGATCGCGATGTCCACCACGTACTTCCAAGCAAGCCCCGTCTTAACATACTCCTCGGAAATCATACCAAGGCACTGAGATGAGTGACCGGCTAAGAACGCGTGAGCCATCGAGAGTCACGGCCTGTAGCTTGACGGAGACTGCGTGATGTTCGAGAAGAGCTGTTGCGCCAGCTGCCACAAGAACTCAGCTTCCTCCAGGCAAACCATAGTCTCGCCTTGCATCAGAGCTACGTCCCAAATGTCGTGCTTTGAGCTGCTGCGGATGCCGCTTGCGACACGAAAGAGAGTAATATAACCCCAGCGGAGCTTGTCTGACTCAATGCTGTACGTGACTGATGTTTCGGCTACTACGAAGAACATAACGCGCCCCAGTGACTCATACGCTTCGGTGTCCGGTGGAGACTTGAGCACCGAGGCCGAGGTGGAACACGGATCCATTGGTGGATCTAGAGGCTGGCTGGACAGTGATGGACAGCGTTACATGGTTCAATGCCTCGAAAGTTGCGCAGGTCCATCAAGGAACTATATCAGCCTCAGCTCTGGAGACAGAAGGTAGAGGGGGTTGTGGCTGTCGAGAAGGACAAGACGCAATAGGGGTCGTGCGTTCAAGGATCTGGTAAGAACAGTCGAGAACGTCGAATAGAGGGACTGGCGAACACCTGAAGTTTAACGGCGATGAGAACAGCGTGGGAGGTGCGATCGAAGGCTCATGGGGTACAAGGTCAACCAACATCTGCACATAGCTAGGAGGAAGGGACCGTTCGGCTCACATTGACTTCCATTGACAGGATTCGCTCAACACCTCGGCAGCTGGCCGTGCCGCACCAGACTCCCGCTTTCTCCCTCCTCAATCCTTTCGCACGCAAATTCACTGGCGGCTGGCCGCTTTCTTGAGTCTGGTACTAGTGCCATGACACCTTCAGCGCATCCTGGGCCTGGATCATGCATGCACACCACTGCGGGCCCGCACACGTCCGGACAACGTTGAATGCACGGCGCGGCAGTCGTTGGGCATCCCGATTTTGTGGGGCCGTCGAGCGGGCGTCAAGTCTTGCCGGCGTGGGGGGTTTGCGTCTGCCGAGGTCGAGCGGCACTTGCAGCACTGCAGGTACAGGACTGAACATTGCACGGTGGGGGCTACCCCGCTGTGACGTCACATTCAGTTCTCAGGGACCTGGTTTCGACACACAGAATTGAGATACATTGCTGTATCGTTCTTGCACTGTGAGCGTCCGCCCACTTTGCTGGGCGTGAAGTATCATGCCGGGAGGTCGCGCCCGTGCGGGCATGCAATTGTGTTTCTTCTTTTCCGTGGCCACAATCCGGCCTCCGCAGTTGCCTCCGCGACCCCTACGATTGTTGTCGCCTGCCTGATGGTGAGCAGGCGGGAGCACCCCTAGCCCGCGCTAGCAGAGTAGCAGCCAATAGGTAGCTCTCCAAGATATGGAACACAGCCACAACCCCTGGCCCCAATTGGACTGGTTGTATTGAGGCGGGAGGGTTTAGTGTGCAAAGACGGCTCAAGCGAGCTTGGCTGTCCGCTCGACTTCTGAAGTGCCGCGACATCGGCATTGGTGCGGTCAATGTTACATATGACCGTGGCGTAGCCACTACTGGGCGCGGCTGGAGCCGGCTGTTCGTCGCCAGGCTCACAAGGTCCTATCACTGGGGACCTCTACTTCGGGGGGCAAAGGATCGTTATCGCCGTCGTCGTCATGACATTTCTGCCGATGGTGATTACGGCCGCTGCTCACCAAAGCTGTCCTCGCCTTGGGGTCGCTGATCCTTTCAGAAACTGGCACCACTGAAGCTGATCCTGGCTCGACATCGTCATTGCCTGTGTTGGACTGCTCGTCAGCCTGGGAAGCACCAGAAGGTTGGTGGTTACCGACAGGGTGCGCGCGACCGGAATGAGGCCCTGTGCTGGCTGCGGCATCATTTGACCGCGCTGTCTGGACGGCGGTGCCCCCATAGCCGCGAGTGTAGTTGCCAGACACGTCGTGATTTGCGCTTGCTGAGACCAATGGCGTAGCCACGGCTGGCAGTGTCGGATGTGTGTTCTGCTGTGTACTGCGTGGCATCAGTCTATTGAACCCCCTTATGTCTTGTGCAGGAAATGTGGCAGAGTAACCATGCTTTGTGCATCGCGACGGATGTTGCAGCCTTGTCCGAAACGCGACTTGGCCACCATCTCGTTTGCGAGGAATCACAGCAATGCATGCGCGGATCAACCTTGAGAGCCTCGTCAGCACGACTCTGCTGCAGGGTTACCTCGTGGCTACGCTGCCAGCCAAGACTTTGCATGAGCGGCTGGGTGTGTGTTGGGGTCAAGGTGCATGACCAGACTGACTACCCTCCCGTCTCTAGGTACTTTTGAGCGTGCACTCGCCTTTTCGGGTTTGGTGCATACACAATACGCACACCGGCAGACATTTGCAATCCCGGCCTCCCGGCTTTCCCCATCAGGAAGGGATGGTAGTCTCTTCAGGATGGCCATCTTTCCTTCCTAATTTAGACACACCGCCCTGGGTATCGCGCGACATAAATAGCTAGTCCCCACCCTTCGTTCATTTGGCCGCTCGCGTCTCATGATCAAATCCCTCTGTATTTGCGCGTCGCCATAATGGCAGCGACAATTAGCGCCCTCCCTCCTGAGCTCCTGTTACAAATCATCTCCTACCTCGACGCCAGGTCGCTAGCTGCATTCACGAGTACATCGAAACCTATTCGTCCCTTCTTCTACCCACTCAAACGGCGCACCGCCACCATCCTCATCAACCGCGCAAATGGCACTCTTCTTGGTAGCCGTGATTTGCAGACGCTACTATCTTGCGAGAATTTGCGTCCGTACATCCATGAGATGGACATTATAGACGTCGAAAAGCCCGCAGCCAGACCGGATGAGGGCCCCAATATTGAGAGCATCAGCTTGGATCTTCAACGTACCTCTGATCAACTCAGCGCGGCGCATTGCTCGAACATCGCGAAGCACGTCTTGAATATAAAGAGCAAGGGTGAGGGCCTTGATGCCATATTCTGGTACATCCGCATTATTCTCGCGCTACTAAGGAGCGTAACCTCAATAACCATTACGCCATCCGCTTTTGTACGCCTCAATTTGCCCGTACTACATCCACAGCAGGTGGAATTGGCTCAAAGTCAACCTACCAAAGCCATCCAGGCCCCAGACACACGAAGTGATGCGGAGGGCCGACTGAGCACTGCGTGTGATCATCCAGGCAACTGTACAGTTGACCTGCCCGCTCTCTGCACGGTTCGGTTCCATGATGGCTGTTGGAACATTTCGCCAGGACAATTCGAGGCGGCGGCTGGAAAGGTACTGCGAACCCAACCACTCTTGGAAGCCTTGTCCTTCAGAAACATGGACTTGAGCCTGCCGAGCGATGTGGGCGGTGTGTTGCCGCCTCGACTGAAGCGTCTACACCTGTCCCACCTTGGGATCGGAAAGACGATCTCGCGAGCGTTTTTGTGTCATGCCCGAAGTTAGCAGACGTCTGGCTTGGTACGTTGTTCATCATTACAAGCTCGGAAACTGCTGAAGTCCTTCGCAGCCATGGGAAGCTGATCAGGCGTCTGAGGTGGGAAACTCGGCCGGACTGCGGACTCCTGTCGTTTCCCAACGCCTGGAAATCATGGAAGAGTATTGGCAGCTTACGGGGTCTCCCCCAGCTTGTAGAGCTTAGTCTTCCCTTGAGGTATCTTTCCTTTGAGCTGGAGAAGGGTGGATGCATTGAGTCTGTACTGCCCCCGTCCCTGCAACGCATTCGAGTGTCGGAAGGTTGTCAGTATCATGCCCAGCAAAACGAGGAGCCAAACCACGAGTATCAGATCGACCTATTCACGCAGCTCTGCGAAAGGCAGAATGCGTTCCGCTCTCTCGAGACATGCACTCTTCAGCTCTGGGACATATGCGCATACCCTGGCAGCAAGCCTTCTCGAGAATACCCGAGTTTACCAAGTATAGCTGATGCACCGGGCTGGACAACAACCTGTCGTCCAGGAACCATCGAACGGAACACTACGGGGACAACGGTTTTGTATGACGGCTGGCTTGGGGATGGGATCGAGGAGGAGATATCATGTGTTAATGGAGCTTGTTCGCCCACAATGCGAGCCGACCATCAGGGATAGAGTACCACCGTGATTCCCACGACGCGCTCCCACCAGATAGACAACCCACGGCGCTTGGAAGAAATTCAATAGCCAGGATATGGCGACATGGATGTCAACCGGTGAAGTGAATGAGATCCCTTGATGACGCCAACCATCGGCGGGCCAGCAAGACCTGGCTCTCCTGTTCCGCACAAGAGACATACAGCTCGTGGTGACTTGCGATACCATGCCTCCATGCGCGACCACAAGATCTACATAAATGTCTAAAGATCCCCAGAACTTGGCCAAGACGACCTCAATTCCAAACCGCTACTCAACCACGATGGCAAAGACCTTGAACAGATGCACAAATCTCAAGACAGACATGTGCGCTTTGTCACTATTGTAATCTCGAGTACAAAAATAAATTGTGTATGACAACCAATAGTCTACAGGTCGCTGCCAGTCGCTATTCGTGAATGAGAATGCCAGCGTTGATTGCCGTGCTGGAAAGGCGACAGATATCTGCCAGCTGTGAAAAGGGGTCCGAGCTGGCGTGGGTTCATATCAAAATTAAGATTTCGCAGCTCCAGGAGAGCGCCATACTGATAGTCTGGCTCAGTCGGCAGGTTGAAGGTGCAGACTGCAGTGTGCCAGCAGGTCAAGCTGTGTTTAATGGCGTCTGTACTACTGATTGCCAAAGATCGGGCAGATCTCAATCTCTAAGGGCCTCGGCCTCCCATAATACCACCTCAATTATAAGTGTCTTCATCCTGAAGCAGTAGACCGATACGCTGTTTGACCCTCAAGATAGCGAAGTCTTCCCAGAGCTGTGTTATCGTCATGACAGTAGTGTTCGGCGCCATTGCCGTCGATGATGCGTGGTGAGGTGCGGAAGTGTGTTGTCATGAGATCGACAATCATAGCGGCTGATGCGCAGGCTCGCTGGCGAGCCTTCGGCATGGTGCTGCAGTCCATGATCCTATCCAGTGGCCCAAGGCTGGTCTGGACGGAGACAGGGCGATGGAGTTCCATCAGCTAATGGTGGCGTGACTCAAGCAAGCACCCTTCAATTGTCCTGTCGTCCTTCTCCGCCTCAGAGCGTCCGGTGCCCGGGGAGTGCTTTCGCTCGGAAAATATTTGCAAAGGCATCTTCGCACAACCGAATAATGCATCTCAGCATGATCAGCTCCGTGCGCTCAGAAACGCCCGTGTCCCCCACAAGTTTGATCGCCGCTGGCGGCAGCTGTACATTGAGGTTTGAACGATACCTACATCGTGGGGAGCCGCTCGCATCATTAGCACACTGCAATCCTCGTGCAGAGCATGAAATCGCCTCTGGGAACTGACGTACTGGATTGGTAAGGGGTAGGGTATGTGAACCCGAACCCAGGCCCCAAAATGCCGCGGTCACTCGCGCGATCGTCTGCCTCACCCTTCCCGGCTTCTGTGGCCTGAGGAAGGATGCCATCGTAACCCATCGCTACGTTGGTGATGTCGTGCATCGTGGGTTCCCGGCTGTCCTCGCCGCCCCTGGATCCGCAAGAACTGCCGTGATCGCCGCCAACAGCCTCGTGCGAATGATGGCGGAGGTCATCGCGCCTTCATGTTCCCCGGCAGCTCTCATCCAGGAGGCCAGACTCAGCGGTATGGTTGTTGTCGATGTCCATTGTGGTCGCAAGCTCCTCGCTGACGAGGCCGCTGGGCGCAGGCAGTCTTGTTGCGGGTGGTCCTCGTCGCTGGATCCTCGAACCCGACGTCGGCGTGGGCGTCCCATTGACCTGTTCAGCCATGGTGGTGCTTGTACCATTGGAGATTTGATTCACTCCCGGGTTCTCGTGTTCCCTGCCGCCATCACGGCCCTCATCCCCAACACTCTGCTCGTGCTCGTCACTGCCTTTCTGAACTTGACGGGGAGTAGTCGGTGGCGTCGTGTAACTCTGGGCATGCTCGACAATTCCAGTGTCGTTCCGGCAATCGTTCCTGCTGTTGATAGAAGCCCCAGGCGCAGCGATACTAGACAAAGCCACAGGGGCATTCTCTAGTCCCTCTGGTCTCTCTGGGCCGTAGCCAGGCAGTAGTCTGTCCCCGTCTTTCTCTGATCGGAGCAGAAATTGTCCAGCTGCGGTGTGTGCAGCCAGCTCATTGGCCGCATGGTTTGTGACGTGGCGGACGTCTCCGATGGCTGGGGATTCGATGGGTTGCTGGTCGTTGTCGACTCGTCTGGACGAGCCCGACGCGGTAGCAGGTCTCGGCTGTGGCCCTGTAGCGACGGAGGCTTCTGTTGAATGCGCTACGCGGGACTCCGTCATGACCACTTCAACTGTCGCCTCTGTGTTCGATCATAGTTTCGAGCAGGAGCTGCGTTGTTGTCTTGTGAGTGCAGAAGTCTGCCGTGTTTGGTGTTGCTCACGAGGTTTCGCCTGTCGCGTCGACATCTGCGGCCGACCATGGGGAGCGTCGCGCCGATTCTCGCTGTGCTGTGGGCAGGAAGAGGTTAGTTGTAGCCGTGACACCTAGCATGAAGCCAAGACTTCAATGAAACCTGCGTGGGAGACCACACACCAGACCACTACCCTGAGGCTTTTCCTCGATGGTGATGTTCGATGCAATGTCGTATCATTCGCGGATAGCCGCTCAGTGAGGTGCGACGAGTGATCTGACGCGGACCCGTTCCGAGTGAGGAATTGCGCTTCTCGTAGTGCAACAAGCTACCGCTGCAGCGTCGCCTCAGTGAATGCGAATGGTAGCTCCAGTTCGATGAGTGCATCGGTTGTCGCGGAAGCGTGTTTGCTGCAGTCTGCCGACAGGGCATGTGGCCCATGCAGACACGCCTCTGGCGCGCTATCAAACTGACCGGCCGGAGACTGGAGGTCAACGTGTATGCTGATTGTGTTGTGGTCATGTGGAATCTAGGCCCGTGAGTTGTGGTGAAGCAGGTCGGCTAAGAGCGCGGCGTTCAGGTCGACGCATGAAGGCAGACTCGGGAGTGTTGGTGCACTGAGACCCCCGAGTGTCAGCCAGCCTGCTTCATTTCAGCCCCACAACAAAAGACCCTGTGTATCAGGTATGCACATGCTCTTCCTCGCACGCACAACTTGATTTGGCGAGATGGAAAAGTAAGCACAATGCGCCACACGGTATGTAACCCTGGTTGGGGTCTGACAGGAGGTTGGGGACTGGCAGCGGGCGTGTGCGTTGGTGCAGAGCGGGATCGCACGATACTTGCATACACAATTCATTAGTGGGACAGCTGTGCATATGTCAGTACTTTCACTAGCCATGGCGTGTCAGGGCGGCACGATCCTTCTCACAGTGCACAAGCGACGGAGCGAGGTACGCTCCTCGTGCGGGGGTAGTCATCGTGTTCAGGCGATACTTCCTCCACTCAGTTGCCTCGCTGCCTCCTCGCCCTTAGAGGAGGGAGCCGAGAGTGTGTACAGGGCCTCCATGTCTGTGATGTGCGCACTAGAGATAGCAGCGACCAGCATCTACTGATAACTGTCCTTTCAGGCGGTCATTCAGCGGAACGAAGTCCAAAAGTTGATTTCCAATTCTGTTAGTTATGAAGCGTGCAGGCTTGAAAATCTTGTCCTAGCTCTCGAGATCATCGCAGTCCACGGCGGTCATGCCTGGGGAACTCTGCCCGCTCGTCCTGTAAAGGCAATTTCTGAAATCGAGAGCGGCAGCCTCCAGTCGCACGGCCCCCCAACCTGGGGAGCTGGTCCAAAGGTGGAGACCCTACCCGATTAGGAAAGCATCGTGACACCGAACAGAAGCTCATCATTCCTTCCTATTCGGGACGGGCTGAAGCAAGGCTTCCATATCTGCAACAGCACAGCTTCAAGTGAGATCTACTTCTAAGCGTATGCGCGGCGCGTGCAAGAGAATGCTAATACTCACAGTGTACACCATTGAGGACCGCCGCATTGAGCGACATGACCAGACGTGCGAGTGTGACACAGGCGCTGCAAGAGCTTCGTATGGGCTGACAGGCAGCCGCGGAGGCTCTCTTTTTAGTGACCTACGGCGCCATCAGCGTCTTCTTCATGACATTGTAGGTATGAGTGGAGCTGTCCAATCCTGGAGGCGGGTAGGTTGGGAGGTCTACGGCAGCAGAGCGGGTTACTTTCGAGAGGTCTCGCGGTCACACCACAGCTGTGCTGGTGACCAGCCCGGGACTCTGCCAGTCGATGATAGCCTCCGCCACATCGTCGTGCGGACAGCTCGACGCCAGTTTAGTGTAGTTCTACTGTTAACGTACCAGCCGCAAGATTTGGCCGGCCGACCGAGGCGCAATGCTGATTGAGACATTGTCGTCGTCCAGGTATGTTTATGACAGGGATAATCAGCTGCATGTAAGAGGGCTCATAAGGTAAAAGACAACGGGCTAGCCTTCTCCTGGTACTGACCAACTCGGTGCATTGAAATGTTCCTCTCCTCCCTGTCTAGTCTAAATTGTCTCCAACTCAGGTCTGGAGCAGTGCTAAAAGCTTGGACAAAACGAATGCGTGCCATATTGACCCTCCAGAAGCTATATTGGAGTTCCCGTCAGTGCATCGCACCAGCGCAAGTTGCGATCGCCACGTCGATTATGAAGGTTACTCATCCAGCGCATGCTCATTATGTACCAGTCCGGCCCGTCGCGCTTCCGTTCTCCATACGTCTGCCCCGAAGTGCTCGATAATATAATCCCTCGCACACTCTCGCGCGTCGGCATCGAGCGACTCCAATGGCACATCGCTAGCTGGCCAAGTTGCTACCAATCCCCGCTGCTGACTGAGCTGCAACTGTGAGACCGTGTGGAGTTCTGAGTAATCGTCTGAATCGTTTTCACTCTCAAATCTTTGGCTAGCCTCTTTAAAATACCACCCCCATTGCCCACCTAGATGTTCCGATGCCCAGCGCTGCAGCTCTTCCCAAGTCTCATCGACGAAGAAGGACCGCAAAGCGAGCGGAATGTCATCCCATTCGACAGTAATGATGATGGATCCGCCATCTTGGCGAAAAGATAAGTCCCGGACCGGATAGTAAAGTCCTTCGGGCAGCGCAACTCGGTACTTGAAAGGCTTTGGCGGAATCTCAAGCGGACGAGCTTCGGCGTCGGGCTGGACGAGCGCAGGCCGTTGTGTGCCGTCCTCTTCGGCGTAAGTACTGGGGATTTTCATCAAGCGCGCTCGCTTCTGGGGTCGGCTAGTGCTTGACGTGTCTATGCCGGGGTAGCCTCGACATCCCGGCTTTAGTGTTTGCTGGGGCTGAAGCCCGAGCGGCTCCCTCATTGGCTGCAAACGGGACTGCTCAAGCCGTGCGTGATCGCGCTCTTCTTCGGTGGATGCCATTGTTGAGGTAATCGGCTTCTGTGTCAACATGGATGGAGGATTGAGGGGTGGACTGAAATGTCGATAATTGCCTGACACTTCGTCGGACCATAGCGCCGCCTTGCTGGGTTGCGCCACTGGAGTACCTGGCCTTGACGACCCTTCCGCTTCTCCATAGCAAGGATACACTTCTGTGTACCTCTGTAGCTTCGGTGGACGTGGGTGGCGGTCAACAGTGCGACGCCGGTTGCGGGAGGTTTGAGCGGTCATATTACCTGCTGTCATTTAAGTACAGGTCCTCGAACCAAGGCCATCGTACTGCGGGCCATCGTGACATACCCGTCATAGTGAAGGCGATCCGCTCGGACTTGACCTTCGGAGCAGCTTGGAATCCGTCGTGTTTGGTCGGTCATGGAGTGCTTTGGGCTCGATTCCATTGTCCTGTGTAGGGTAATCGAGGAGGGAAGAGGCGTCTGATTAAGTACGATGCTGAGCTACAGTTATGCTCCATAAGTAGCTCTTCTTGCCTGACTGGCAGCTTGAAAGCGAACTAGGCAAAGCTCATCCTCGCCCGCGGTGTCGGTCGTCACTCAATCCCCAAGGCTAGAAGAGCCACTTTTGGAGCCGATGCAATTCTTACAGTCTGTCCAACAACAAGGCTACTGGGGCACCAGAACTTCCTTCATTGAGGCACCCCAGTGGACTGCAATTACTACTGACTAAGCGACAGCGAAACTGGTGAGACTTTCTTGCCGGACTTCCTTACTCCCCGTCAGTCTGCTAAAGACAGCTCTCACTTTGGTGGCATGAGTCGTAAGCGGCGTCTTCAAGGTTCAGTCAAGAGCACAAGTCATTTCTGCTTGAGCAAATGTTTTATCTCTAATGAAACTCAGAGCACACAAGGGACTATTGTGTGCCATGAGAACGATGCACTGCGCGGTGGAACAAGGCTTATTATATCCCTGGAAGCTACAAGTTCTAAATATAAACGAAGAAAACCAAACAGACCAGTATGAGATGACGGATTGTTTGTGTCTCAGTACGACCACCGCTCCACAGAGCAAATCAACATAGCCAAGACCAGAGATAAAGCGGGGAGTGATGAGGAAATCTGCGGTCGAAAGGCGACACGAGGTCATCAGGGCCAAGAGGAAAGCCAGGTCTTGACACTGCGATCAGCAAGAAATGCTTGACTTGTCTTAAGGAGGCGATTCCTTGCCAGTACCATAGTCGATGTTCTTGAAGCCCTGACCGATGAACGTGACTGGAACACCAAGCTGATGCTGGCAAGACGGCTGGTTACTAACGGTGGGCGGAGGAAGAGTGCAGAGCTCATCGTAGCCCCACTTGCAAGCTGGGTCGAGGATGTTATACAAGGCATAGTTATTTGCTACCCAGGTGTTGCTAGTACAGCTGGCGACGTAGTTCATAGCGTTTGCCGCCGCCAGAGGTAGCTTGCCGCCGGCGACGGACAAAAGATCAGCACACTGCGACATAGGGACATCCTCCCAGGTCGCGCTGACGCCGCCGCCGTAGACCGGATTCTGCTTCGCACCCTGCCCGGTAACGAGGTAGTTCCATGCGTCATAGGAGATATCATAGGCGCCGCCAGACTGGTCGATCTTCAATAGGGTCACTGAACGGCCATTAGCGGTCACCCTAACGCAGAGGTTATCACAAGACACGGACGAAGGCCAGTAAGCGACGCGGTTAGTATTGATCTTGCAGCCAAGAACGCCGACCGAGGAAGAGTAGCGGTCGTGGGGAGTGACTGAGATCGAGCCGCCACGACGAGCGAGCTCGGGCATGGTGTAGGCGGAGACAGCAGAGGCGGCGCCGAGAAGTGAAACATGGCTGAGCTGCATCTTGATCGTGGATAGCAGGTAATGGGGGTATATTCAGTGAAATAAAAGGAGTGTGATGTCGTCGAGACAAGGTGATTTTTACAAAGGAGCGTTTGTCAACGAGTCAGGTCTCACGGCTCGCACTGTTGATCAGGCAGTGACTGAAGAGCCTGGAAGGAGGAATGAGCCTGTGTCTAAATAAGACCGGTGAGTAACCTCTGTTGCGTCAGAAGTCTCACCAGCTGTAACTATCGATAACAAGCGGAGATGGCTGGATGCCAACAACTAGTGACGAGCAAAATGGCAACTATCGCTGCCTGACCAGCAGTAGGGCCACCAGCACAAGTCGCTTGGAACTCCGCGAGGTGAAGACCCTTCCGGCCCAATACGCGCCCGAGGAAGAGTGCATACCAGTCTGACTAATGATGCACTCCGGGACCACAGCCACTTCTGGATCTTTGGGGTTCTGCTGCGGAGGTCGGGTAAAGTTGTCCCGTTCCGAGGCATTGGCCACGGGTGTACATCATGTCAGCTTCACACTCGAACAACTCACAAGACTTCTACAGCGAAGGTTAACGAGAAGTGTGTACCTAAGTAAATATAACCCTGTTTGCCCATCGCGAGATTACTCCAGCATCGTCGAGCTGGAGAATTGCTACACATCCTAAAGGGGACGAAAAGAAGAAATGGTTACGATTCCGTTAGTGGTCTACAGACTTTGAGAGTAAAGGAAATCACCATTGTCCTTCCGCCAACCATATGCCTACGCACTCGCATTATCCAGTCCAGCACGTCGTGACTCGGATCTCCATACCTCGTCTCCAAACTTGTTGATGATCTGGCGCCTCGCAGAGTCGAGCGCCACATCATCAAGCAACGACAACTGAACATCACTGTCTGGCCAACTTGCGACAAGTATCAGCTGATCATCCTGCATGCTGAGCTCCAGCTCTGAGACCATATGGTATTCGAATGAGGATTGATCTTCGGATCCAGGCAGCTGATTCTCGCCATCCGTGTGCATCCAAGTAGGTCCGAACTTCTGCAATAGACGGTTGTTGAGCTCTTCCCACGCCACCGTAACGTGGAATTGGTCGACTGAAAGTCTAGTCTTTTCCCAGCTGATGGTGATGATCACGCTGCCTGTCTCGGAGTCCTGCCGACAATCAAGTTTTCGGACCGGATAACTCTGCTCGGGAGAAAACCTGACGTGGAAAGGGAAAGGCTCCGATAGTGCCTTGCTACTGCGTCGCAGATGCTTGACACTTGTAGTTTCACATGTTCCAGTGGCGTGGCCCGAGTCACTCGTCGAGCGTGCCGGCTTTTGCCTATCGTCAGGTCCTGGGACTTTCAGAGTGTGAGTGGCGTCGTGCCGCAGGGGACCTGCTGTACATCGCTTTCGTGCAGAGGCGCTCTCTGACAGCCGCGCTAACGAGTGGTTCAACTGCGAGCAGCTGTCTTCCTCTGTGATGGAGGCCAGGGCGCAGGTGTTCAGACCACCTGGTGGCGGAGCGAATTGTGGATAGACAGCTTCCCGGCTGCTCGAGGGCGCCGCTGTCTCGTGTTGTACTACAGCCTGCCTGACTCTCAATGGCCCGTTCGCGCCTTCATAGAGATGATCGCAACCTTCCCGCTTCAATACGGTAGGCTCTCTGCCCAGACACGGACGGGGCTGGTGGGTCGCGCTGACATTTTCTGTTGACAGTACACCAGGCCCCAAATGGAGGAAACTAGGTTCCCGCTGTAAGGTCCCCATCCTGGCCATAGTGCCTTGCGTGAGCTGCATCTTGAGGGCAGCTCGATGTCTGTCGTGCCTAGATAACCAGAGGGTATGATGGACGTGGTTTAGGTGTCCCAGGCAGGGTGGTTAAGAATGGTGGCATGGACTTGTTGAAGAGCTGGTGGCAGAGAAGAGGTCTTCGTGAAGCCCATGGAAAGCGCCGATTTCGTGGTCCATCGACGCTGCGGGCTGTATCATACTGTACTGTGTACTTCTGCAAGTAAATGCATTATGCCATCAGTCATATCTGCCCAACGACCGCGACCCGAGACCTCGCGTGGCTCGATGAGCCGCTTTTGGAGCAGGTTGATCAATCCCCGTTGGTCACTCAACCGTCTGGCCGTCTAAGACTCCTTCGGTGAAGCTTGATGGATGGATGCATGGATGCAACCTTGCTCGCTCCTGGCAAGCATGGACCAGCATTGTTGAGCCGAGACTTGCTTCAAGGCGGGGCTGGTCGCGCAGCAGCCAAAAATGGAGTGCCCCACACTTATCGGGGGGTTTGTACTTCAAAGGTCCTGGTGATATACTGTACTGTACCTTGTGGCTCCAAGTTTGATTCCGAGCGTGCGGGGTGTGTGGCCGCCCCGCGGATCCACTCCAACTTCGCATGAGGGGTTTCGCATCTTGGCCTGTCTTCGTTAGCCAAACTCAACACGAAGCACATGGTCGGATGCTGAAGTCGCCACCGAGACATACCCATAGCGTGGCAAGATGAGACTCCTCAAGACGAGCGACCTCCAGTTTGAGGAATTCCATGGCAGTGGAAGACCAGCGTATGCAATCTTATCCCACCGCTGGCGTGAGGTCGAGCTCTCGTACCAGGATATGCGTCGCATTATCGAACACGGCAATGTTCCACAGGAGCCCAGGACATCAAGCTACCATAAGATCATGAATTTTCGTGCTCAGGCGCGGAGAAGTCGCTATGAATACATATGGGTCGACACCTGTTGCATTGACAAGGCCAGCAGTGCCGAGTATCAAGAGGCCATCAACTCTATGGGGCAATGGTACGCAGAATCGGCAATTTGCTACGCCTATCTCGACGACGTCGACCTTTCCAAACTTCCCGATGCTCCTTCTCGCAAATTCCGGCACAAACTCTACAAAAGCTTTCAGCGTTCTGAGTGGTTCACGCGAGGCTGGACGCTCCAAGAGCTTCTGGCTCCAAAGAGTCTCATATTTTTCGATCGAAACTGGAATAGAATTGGCGATTCTCTTGATCTTCGGCCCTCAATCCTGAGAATCACAGGCATCGATTTACAGCACATCAGAGAGTCCCCGGACCGAGGCGGACTCGACCTGTTCAAGCATAGAATAGGTAGACGAATGTCTTGGGCGTCAAGCAGAGACACCAAAAGAGTGGAAGACCGTGCATATTCCCTACTCGGAATTTTCAACGTCAACATGGCCATGCTTTATGGCGAGCGGGAGCGCGCATTCGCACGTCTCCAAGAGGAGATCCTCAAGCACAACGAGGATGCGTCAATACTGGTTTGGACCTACCAAGAAGGAGACGTGGAGTTCGCCCCGAACGGGCTTGCTCCGTCTGCTACACATTTCCGCAGCTACAGACAACTCGTTCGGGGGTGCCGTTCTCGCAGATCTCTGTACAATGTGGCTATCGTGGATCTTGATTTTCAGATGAAGCCACGAGGTCTACTAGCGGCGCCGAAGGTCTGGGCAGATCCACTTGAACACAGAGCCTACATCATACTCGCGGAAGGTCGGCAAGGCTCTCGAACATCACAAAGAGTCCTCGTCACCCCTATCATGTACACAAATCTAGCCCAAGGCCAAGAGCATGCTTTAGACTGCGTTCGGTATGCAAATCCTCTATGGGTTGGTTCGAACATTGTCAAAACAGCGGTATCGACCCCGTTGTGCTTCGTTAGGCGAGTGCAGGCTGTACGCCCAAGGAGAGCATTTGATGGGTTCAGCCTAGGCTCGCTCGTCTGGGCAGACTTTGCGACGACTTTCACCTACCCGCACAGACACAAGGCCGTCGACGTCATTTTCCAGTAGTCCTCAAGGCGCCTGCTGAGCAATCACGATTTGGACCAACGAGGCACACTTTCGTCCTGGAAATGCAAAGACGCACGGATCCAGGGTGCAGGATTGTGGTACTCGTTGACTATCGCGCTTGGAAACAAAAGATTGCACGGGACACGGGAATTACCCTGTCTTTTTATAAATCCCGCGAGCCGCTTGATCTTGGGTTTGCCATATGTCTAGCGAAGGAGAAACGAAACCGTCACCATCTCGCAAGCTGCCAGCTCCTGGATGACTCCGGACGGCATATTCCAACCGACAGAGTCATCTCAATTAGCTCATTCTCAAATCAGTGGCTGGATGAAGGGGACGATGACCGCGAACATCCCACACCTCGTCAGATCATACCACCCGTGACGCTATCCGTCCGGGCTGCGCATATAGACCACGGTTCCGAGACTGAATAAACGGTTCTCTCTCAACCAAAACAGAACCGGCAACTAAGAAGGAAATAGCAGGACACCGTGATAGAAGACAAACCAAGGACCTTTTATCAGCAGGGCATATTTCTGGAGGTGCGAACACGATCTCGTTTCATGGGCCATGATGTCACATGGAGGACTAACCACCCTTATGCCAGTATGATAGTCTATGACCCATACTATTTCCCCCCTTACTTCCCTTGAACGAGGCATTACAGGTGCAAAATTGAAGTTCACGATCGCTAGTCGATTTCCGACTTCTGCGGCCAAAGGATCACAACATCCATCGACCATATGACAGCAAGGTTGAGATCCAACAGCACCTCACCAAAGTCCTCCCGTAGCGCCCTGGTCGCATGAACCCCAGGCAATGTGTGCGGTCGCTCGCTTCCACTCATCGTTGAGCACATCGAAGCTGTTATGCAACGCGCTGGTGTTTTCCGAAAGCGGTGCTGGCCCCCAGGGAAGCCGGCAACAATGACTAAATATTGAGACCGCTCATAGGGCAGAGGATACGAGGCGGCACTGTGCCGCTTTCACAAACGATTCGGGGAACTCGAGCAGACGTGGCCCTCGAGGGTACCCACTAGCTGCTATCGTCATCTGCAACAAGAGCCTAGGCTGAAGCAAGCACGACCGAGCCAGCCCGCGTTTCTCATGGCCCAGCGACAGCTCTACCAGCCTTTGCTCCTGCCTCTCGCTTCAGCCACAACCGAGGCCGTGACCATGACCATTGCCAGGAAACTTCGTCTCCCGAGACGGGTCCTGGCAGCCTTCACGGTTCAGGCGCCGTCTGGCGTCATCATCACCTGTCCCGAGAGTCGCACATGCAACAAAAGTGCAATGCCGCCTTCTGACCTGCTCAAACTTCTAAGCACGCGACATCTACTCCTGCCACTACAACGGCCCGGCCGGGGAGCTTCTCGCACTCCTCCGCTCCATTTCTCAGGGCCGCGCCCGCGCCGCCCTCGCTCCTGCGCTTCCAGCCGGACACTGGCGCTGCCCTCTCCATCATCTGTGACTCTGGATTCACATCCCTATTCATGCCCCAGTGCCACATCTCGGTCGCTCTATCCAGAAGCGGCAAGCCAATGGTGAGGCGCTGAGTAGGACTCACAACCGTGCGGCTCCGTGAGCCTTCATTATGACGAGCTTCCCGCATGGTAGCCAGCTCCTCTAGTAGAGAAGGAGACGTAGTAAAAGATAAAGAGAGTTCCAGCTTCCCAGCTCTCATGGTCTAAGTGCCGAGACATTCATCAGATCTGTTCTGCCCGTGTGTCGACTCGCAAATTGTGTACACACATAAAAGGATTGCCGGTTTCGTCTGGCTAGTTGCCCCAGTAACAATCTCATAGTCGGAGTAGCGGCTGGTTCATGATTCGAAAGATTAAATCGCTGAATAACGACGTTGTACAACGACGTGGAGCCGTCGGGCGCGCTCAAGGGTGTAAGTCCCCTCCAAAAGTGCGGAAGCCTGCTCGTTGCTGAGGAGATTGATGACTTTCTGTTGTCAGAATTGTAGGCGCCCATATTTTCGGATTCGAAATGAGGAGTAGCTACGTAGAGAAGAAGCCAGGTTCAGAGACGTGTCTGATGCTCAGAATTTTGAGCCGACCGGGCGAAAGGATGTATAGCCAAGCTATGGATGAGGGGGAGGCGTCTTGAAACTTTCGGCAATGGTTTAGACTTCGGAGCCATTGCTGCAAGGTTACTGACGGTCTTCTCCAAGCCCGGGTTGTCCGTGCCATGGCATGTCGCGGGGCAGAAGAGAGCATTCAAATTTGGACGCTGTGCAAAGAGAACCTTGTTCCGTGCATTTTCTGAGATAGCCGTAGCAGCCATCACTGTCGTGGAACATTTACTATCACTCGACATCTACATCACATGGATGTAAAGCAGTGGTAGTCTCCAATGTTGCTTCGCACATAGAGACTTCTGAACAAATGCAACGGCAAAAAGTGCATGAAGTAATCGATGCTTATCGGATGGCTCGCCCCAACAAAGAAGCTCTTGTCTGCGTCAACTTTACTGATAAGTGCCCGGACCAATGCAGACGTGCATGCGTCTAACCTGTCGGAGGCCAACCACAAGAGGCGCCACCAACTGCACTGTAACATCGCTCTTAAGGCCAATCTCGCAGCGCCATACCTGGGCATCCGCCCGCTGTCCTTCATCCCTCTCCATAATGGCCCAATCCATGAAAAAGATCAATACGTCATGACGAGGAAGCGGCTGATCACCCCATCACGCACAATGTCTTGCGCTGAGAGCACCGCAGCACTCTGCATCCTCCATGGCAACAGCGATAAAGCAGTACTGCCCCGTCCGCCGCCCAATGTGCCGTCTACAATTCAGCAGCGCTCCGATGGCTATGTCCTCTTGTCTTTCCAGGAGGAAGTCAGCCTTGCTCGGAACTTGGCCTTCTTGGCATATACTCGAGACGATCCGAAATGTATCCCCGCTGTTTGCATTGAGCAGGATCATCGCCAACGCACGCTTAATGTGCGTGTAGCCACCAATACCGGGACCATCTTGCTCGAGGCAGCAGTCGAAGGGCTGCAGGGATATTTGACATCATGGCTCTGCGTGGTGGTATGTGCAGTACTTTGTTGTGGTGCGCGGATCTGGATAAGCTAAATAGCGGTCTGTGCATAAGGGCGAGAATCGACGTCCACAACGATGAACAACATCTTTCTCGCGATTGTCACGATGTGCTCCCCCCGGATCCTGACGCGTTTGGGACTGCAGCCGCGAAAACAATTCCCAGCCAAGCAGAAGCAGCCATTCGTCCAGGCCCTGAAAAATGCATCGACGTTACTGAATCATTATAATCGCGCTCCAGCCACCAAATTTGGGTATCACTGCAGAGAGGTGAGCAAGTGCATTACGCAGTGGGAGAAGTTCCAGTCTCCGAGCACCCTCGCTCCCGTCATTGTCGCCATTCACAAGCTCCACATGGAGGTCGATGTAGAGAACACCCTGAACGGCGTGACGCATCAGGTACTCCAGAAAGAGGCCAAAGCAAGCATAGTCAACAAGATACGCAAGCTGTCACGGTACTATGAAATAGCGCGATACCTATGTCGCAGGTGTATCAAGGATGTGGCATTTCGGCACCTCACAGCTATTCGAGTCGTCTTACCCGAGCAAACTATCGCATACGAACCCCTGACCCCTGGCAAGTTCGAAGCCGAAATAGGGTTCACTGAAGTCCTCCGCCAGGCCGGCCTTCCAAATGGTGATGAGCAGAAAATAATCAAGACACTATACAGTCTTCTCAAAATCACTCCTGAACAAGCCAGCCAGAGTTTCCATAAACGGGTATCCAAGACACTGAGGGCAGCCAAGGTCCACGCGGAGGTCAAACTGCTGTACTACTACGAAATCAACCGCGACACGATCCCATTGTTGCCACGGGCAGTCTGCTCAAGCAAAGATGCGTGCTGGATGTGCAATGCGCTGATCGACGCCCACGGAGAGATGTTCACGCCGCGCTGTCACGGTGTCTTATATCCCGGCTGGAAACAGCCTCGTCTACCCGACTCATCAAAGTGGGCCGAAGTTAGGGCGACATTAACGTCCCGGTTGCAGCAAGCAGTTGCAGAAAGTGCTCAGCATATACTGCGTTCTGGGCAGAAACCCGGCTATGCCCATCCTGTGGAGAGCACGCTTTCAATACTGAGGTGGTCGCTGTCAACTATGCATCTGCCGTTAAGCGGGCCGGTCGAAGATGATTTGCCTGAAGCCCCCACGCACAGTGGTGGAACATCGCTCGAAGATACTTCCGAAAAGCCCAACTCGATCGTAACTGCGATCGGATTGTGCGCAGAGCAAGCCGATGGGCTGTCATCGATTGAGCCTGAAAATAATATCTCGCTTCAGCTATACCAACCGTACCGGTATCAACCGAGCACAGGCGACGGCAACGGTCTGTGGCTCGACGCAGGCGGCCTGACAATCTTGCTAGAACCTCCCGATGATGCCAATTTACGGAGTAATGTTCCTCGTGAAAAACAAAGCATCAACCTACGCAAAGTGCCGAGATTGAGTTACACGACAACATATACTTGCGTCAACGAGAGAGGTCGTGTTGATGATGTCACAATGCCATCCAGTGGGCCGGCGCTCATGACCTTGGATCGGAGAATGGCGAAGGGCGTCGACCTCGATATGGAGGAAGACGAGTGTGGAATCATTCGACTGGGACTCAGCAGTGGAGAAGCCGTACAGATCCAAAGGCATCAGTAGAGAGAACAGAGTGAATGTTCTCTTCGCGGTACTAGGAAATGTATCATCCTAAGTGGTGAGGCATTCGTCAACTTCAACGCCTTGTGTCCGAGTGTAGGCTGTCCGGATCGAGCGCAGCTGGGCATCTTGGGAATGAGCTGAGCGCCAAATGATTGGGTATTAATAACGGATTTATCTCAGAATTCAGAGTACTCTCCACCATGATTCGTAAATGAAATTGCAGCCAACAACTCAGTCAAGGTGATGGATGCATTGCGAATTGGTCACACAACGACATTTTCTGTGCATTTTACCCTTTTTCTGACTTAAAGGCTGGCGAGTAACGTGAGTTGATCCTATCCTCTAGTCACTCGTGACTCCTCGGCTCGTGCTGAACTGGCTGGCCTGCACTTTCCGGCCATGGGCTACATTGTCATCGCCATTGGGGTTATACAAACCGGCTCCGTTGGTAATTGGCCCTGAAGTATCACCAACTTCACAAGCATAAACCGTTGGTGCAACACCATAGGTCCTTATCACATACCTCTACAATGATGGTGGCATGTAACGCCCTGGCCACGAGGTTGGCGCCGTATCATGGTGGTATGCCTCATTGCGGGTAAGAGTACACAGTCCCTTCGTCTGGTTGACATGCCTTGTTTCGGAGTTCTTTGTTCACTAGTTCTATTCTCTACCTAACTTTATTATCCTCTACCTATTTACCAGCTGAAATCCAGAGTCGTTGTCACCAAGTGTTACATACGTTGCCTGCTTTCGTTCTTCTTCGGCCATCTTCTCTGTATCTTGTTCCCCCATCTTATGCTTGTTCTTCTCCTCCAGCTCGACGATGCGCGGACAAGGTGGGTTCCTCGTGGTGCGCCCTGCTGCGGGCGAATTCGGTCAGCTGTCCGCGCGCCTCGGCCGTCGAGAAGGTCTCGGCTCGAGCGCGAGGGCCATGGGGGCGCGCCTACTGTCCCGAAACATAGGGTAGCGGACGTACAGGTCCTGCGAACATCGGAAGCAGAGGACGAGGTAGCTCCGCGAGATCGGATCCGCCTGGTGCTGCCGCTGTTGCGCCTCGCTCATCACCTGCAGCGGCTGCTGAGTCCGCGACAATGACGATGCTGGTGATGGCAATGACAGCGACGTCAACTCGCGCTGCAGGGCACCCACGACCCTGAGCAGGCCGGGTTGGTGAAGGTGACGAAGCGCGACTCCAGACAGCGGGATCGGTACCACAGCATGAGGTCCTCAAGATGGTTGACTGAGGCGGCGTAGATATTGCGCGCTGCCAGCGAGTGTAGTTGGTGCTTAGATCCCAGGAACGGGTACTAGATCTTACCCACGATGACGTGAACATCCGATGGCGGACAACCGAGGCGGACGCATACTCATGAGCAGTTCAGAGTGAGAGAAGGCAGTGGGGTAGGACCGCCAACAGAGCCGCGGATTAAGTGTTGTGCAGATTGCTATGTGGCAGCTGCAGCAAGCGAAGGAGTTATGGCGTCTAAAGCCTGAAATGAGATGACTCTTGACGTGCTGGAAGATGAAGGTATGCGCAGGAGTACTATCGCTCGGGGTGGCCCCCTGGCCAGTGTCCGGGCGGAATGCGAGTAATTGCTTAGCATAGGCATGCCTCATCGAGCCATGGCGTCGATTTCTGCGGTGTTCTGGATGTTGCAACGTCTAGTGCCAAGACACACCTGAAAATTGATCGAAGCGCATCACGGACCTTCACGTAAAGTGCCTAGGTATGCCAAATAATTTGGCATTTTGTGGAAGGAGGACTTTTGGGAGCGGGGCGATACACAGTGTAGTGTTTTCTGAACGAGCATCACGCGGCTGCCGAGATCTTCTCGCTGGGGGAGCTGCATATGGAGACTGGGCCGACCAGGAGGCTGAGTGTGGTCTCGGTCTCTTGCATGAGCAGAAAGCACGGTGCCTGCAATTACAGCCCAAGGGTGTTACAAGGAATGCGCCTCCCAAAGATAAGTCTCAGCTCTGCTGGAAATGCAGAGCTCATTTGCAAGGGGCCCCACTCCCCAGCATGGATACCTAGCATGCTGGGACAGCAAACATCGGGACATCCACGACCAAGTACGGGTCAGAAGTGCCACCTTATCGCTTCGCGCAGGGTCCGTCCTCCTAGCCAACACCCAAAATCTTTCCCGACAATGTACCCAATTTAGGCATGCATGTCGCTCTTGCTACTATGGTAGATCCGCGCACCCTGCCTTGTGCCTGCAAGCTGTGCTGTTGGCTCCACGGACGACATACAGCGACACCAATGGTGATGTGTGCCAGCTGGAGCAGGTGGATCATGTATGACAGGGCAGATCGACAGATCTGACACGGTGCCTTGTGCTGAGCAGTAGTCAGGCCCGTTCTGGTGGAGGTCTTGAGTGACCTGCAAACGCAGGCTGTGTGACGTTGACGTAGATGCCGTGTCCTGTGACGCATCATCTGTCCACGTGTCAGTACCGAAGAAAGAAGTGTCCGGAAGGCGCATGTGCAAGTCTCCGGGATGCTGGCAAGCTGCAAAAGGTTGGGCCTGCGGCTCAGACATTCAGCGGAAATAAGACTAAGTGCGCACTGTATGAGTGTTCTGCCAGGCATCCGGGAGCCCAGCTGTCCGAGACAGACCCTTGCAGGCTGTTGGTCCATGCCCGATCATTGCTGAACCCGGGCCGAACGGAGGAGCGGGGAAAGCGGGATTGGGAGTTTGTGTCAGGCAACGTACTGAAGCTGCACAGTACTAGATAGGCCCCCCCCCTTCCCCCAAGGTCTGCCCGTGCAAGAACAGACAACTAAGCTGGTGGCCGCATCGCGCCGCATGGCTTAAAAGCCCTGCAGCTCATGAAGTGAAAAGGATGAGAAGAGCAGTGCGAGGCTGTGCGCAGGCCGCTCGCCTTTCCGAAATAGTTGCTCTCGCGGAGTGGGGCCGTACTGTACCCCCTGTTAGCCCTACCATCTCTTGGACAGCTCCTCTGCCGACAATGACCAATGTACTTGTCTTCCTCTTCCTCCGTCTGACTCTTCGGAGTTTTGATGACGCCCGTCAGACCTCGCTACAACAACAGGTCAGGTTTCGTCCTGCCTCCACAATAGGCTCAATCTGATCCGTTACCTGTCCGAACAACTATCTGCTCGTGGCCGTGGATTATGTCGGCATAATACAACTTGAACATTCGACCAGGCTACCATTTTTAGGCGCGACTTGCAGTCTGCTCTATGCCTTCATAAACCCCCACTCCATTCATTTATGCTCTCTCGACAAGGTACGGCTCACTCATCACGTTCGAAACACCAAGATCGTAATCTCCGAGGTCGGCTTGAATCACGGCTTCATTCCGTGGAGAGCCTGTGAGCACAGCTCAACAGGCATGATGAGTCCTCCGACCTGGATACAATCTGTTCTCTTGTCTCAAAACGGCACAGATACATGGTCGGCAAACTCTGGGCTCGTGACGGGAGTGACAGGATCGCAAGCATCCATTCACGGGATGGGAGATAGACTGTGTGGTCACGACGGACAAAGACCCATCGCGGTCGATGCGTTTGGTGGCAGGCAACCAGCCAGGATGCGTCCGCCTATGCGCTCGAGCATAGCGTGCCTCCGATGTCGCAAATCCAAGATCAAGTGCGAAAACGACAGTGGCTCGAGTCCGTGTGAAGGCTGCATCAAGACAGGACAACAATGCATCTTTCAGCCGCCTGAAGGGAATCCTCCACTGTCAAAGCGAAACGAGTCACCAGCAGTCGCACAAAAGGACCGTGAAGGAGGCTCTGACCGGAAACGCCTGAAGCGTATCGACGAGATCGCCAAGTCCGACGCCCAGAAAGGCACCACATACGCTAAGGAGGTGTTGTCTGCACAGTTTCTCACCGAGGATATGTGGGACCAGCTTCTCGACCTGTACAAGCTGCACTTCGCAGTAGAGCTGCCTTTCTAGCATTTGCCGACAACGAAGGAGAAGCTCGGCCGCAGACTCAGGTCACCAAGTACAACCGATGTCTCTCCGGAATTCAACTTGGTACTCCTGGGTGTCCTTGCTCTGACAGCGCGATTCCACGTAGACTTGGTCAAATACCTGGCACCCATCACCAATAATCAACCAGGAAACGTGCAGTCGCGGCCCATGCAAACACAAGTCGACCCTTCTACCGCCTCCGATTACTACGCCGAGATCTTGAGTATGGCTCTGGGCCCAATCCCGACGACCGCCTCTGTTGAGCGGGTACAGGCTATGCTCATGCTTGGGCTTTATCAATGGGGCCAGACGAGACCGGAAACAGGGGTCCTCGGCGCCTGGATTTCCATCGGTGGTGCCATTAGACTGGCTCAATTCCTCAAGCTCGGTCTTGTAGATGAACCGAACGAGTCAGCAAGCGCCCGGGCCGGCCAAGATCCTTCTCAAGTATCACACTGGATCGTCGAACGTGAAGTCATGCGGCGCACTATGTTTGGATGTTTTGTGATGGACCGCATGCTCGCATGTGGAAAAGGCAGAGTTACTATGATCCAGCGTGAGGAACTCTGTGTTCAGCTGCCCTGCTCAGAGGAAAAGTTTGACCTCGCGATCGAGGCCAAGACGCGAATGCTGCCCCCGCGTGGTTGCGAGCAAGACGAACGTCGCGGAATCAATGACGACAGTGTATTGAGCAGGTTCATCTGTCTGGTCGACATTTGGGCGGACATATCTCGGTATAGTTCGGAGGGTGGTCGTCTGACAGAAAAACACCCACCCTGGGATTCGCGGACCGCTTTCTACAGGCTCAACCGACGGCTTCAGCAATTTGATGCATCTCTGCCCGGCGCCTTCCGATTTTCGGAGTCCAACTATCGTAGGCATGAGAACCACCAGGCATCGAGTACCTATACTCTTCTCCACATTCTGCGGAGCATTTCTCTGATAATGGTACGTTGGGAGTACTTTCCCTCCGTCCCAATACGATGGAAAGGACCAGAGGGACCTCACAACGAAACTCTTTCCAGAAAAAGTTCTAATGAGCCAGAAGGCTTTTGGAACGAGAGTGCTGAGCACGTCTTTCGGGCTGCAAAGGACATCTCCGCATTGATCGAAATGTGCGAGCGCAAGAACTGTCTTCCTCAATCCACTCTTGTGCTCTTCGGCATATGGACTGCCGCTTTCGTTGGACTTTATGCGCATCATTTCCCCCAGATGGATGAGAAGCAGCACATGGGAGGGGAGCAGATTCTCCGAAATCCCAATCCATTGATTTCGCTAGTTGATCTGCGCGGAGCTGCGGCAGTCGCATACAGCACTCTTGACAAAATGTCCACATCGCTGAAGATGGCATCGACGTACATGTCAATACTGCTTCAGAGGCACAGGTATTTTGTTGACATCAAACAAGAGTTTTAACAAAGCACGACGAGCGGAATCGGACATACTTGGTCGGAGTAAGCAGGATGCCCACTAAGAGAGTGCGCGAATCTGGATCTTGTCGCAGTCTCGATGATGAGATGCAGGGACCACGGCTCGGAGATATTGGGGCCAACAATTCAGTCGACTCCGAAAGACGGCAAGTGAACACGACCCATCATGCGCCCATCGTCGAAGCGGAAAGCCAGGGGGCAATTTTCGCATCAGAGACAACTTCGTCCTTCATTCTCATCAACCATACAAACAATCTGATCCTGCCAGCGCAGGCGATACATAGTGTGGGTGTCGATGGCACGCCATCGGAGCCATGGAGGTACTCTGATAGACCCCAGGCGCACTTGTTGCAGTCTCCGGCGCAAGGGGCAGACGCTCCTGGCAGTGGCAGACCAAGCCAAGCTGGAGTCCAGGACAACAAGAGCATGTTCACAGCTCCGCTAACGGAGGACGAACTACGTGCGCACGAGAATCAACGTATACCCTGGGACGTCGACACCTTGATGTGTGGGGACTATGGCGTTCCCCGAGGACATGTCCGGCCACAAAACACCTCGGAATGAGCCGGACATTCTGGTTTAGTCGAGTCTTGTTGATTCATGAGGACTAACTGATGCACGTTGACTAATTAGATTCCATCGATAACGCGCGCCGGTGTTATCAGTGGCCGTTGAAACGCGCTGACATCAATTCACAGGCACACCTCCGTGGCCACAAAAGAAGCTGTCCGCGCTTGCCGAGATACTATTACAACTGCAATCATCGACTTGCAAGCTCATTTGCAAGGAGTGCAAACGAAGCTCGAGGCTCTTTCACGAGGAGCAGAAGGGGGCGCAAATGCTGATGGACCTGTACGAGATCGCATGGAGGCGGAATTGCACAGCACAGAGAAAGGCATCCAGTTCTGTGGTGAGCTTTCGGAGGCTATTGAAAGGACTCAAACCGAGTTCTTTGGCGCTAAAGGAAGCCTTTCTGCAATGCCAGTTCCTCTCCCATCATCTGGAGCACTTTTCGGTGAGATTAGCAGGCTGCTTGCATCACATGCGTTTCACACTGGAACAGCTTGAAAAGAATCGGCTAAGACTTAACGAGAGCATAACAACAAACCCGAGGTCTCCGTTGTCAATCCATAGAGGACGAGGCAGCGTCAAATCGACTGCAGACAGAGGCAAGGAAACTACGAAATTGTTTGGAGTTTTGCACTCATGTCGACGAAGTCCTCGGGTAACATATTAGCAATATCGAAAACCACGCAAATGGGGATGACATTATTCAATATATGGTATCTACGAATGGCAAGCCACTTCTTGGTAGGAACCAAGGCTCTGGAAAGAGACAAGCAAGCTGGCGGCTATCTCAGCGATGAATCCTTCCAGCAGATGTCACAAGACTTCCGGGAAATCAGCATTCACGAAGGAAAACGACAGGATCAACCCAGGACGAGCGCTTCAGATTCCGCGAAGAAATCGGATAGACGGTATGTGCCTGACTCTTCCTTTGGTGAGCGTCACGGCACCGGTCTGCCACTGGGACGGCTGTTCTCAAGGAGGTCGCCAAGGCCTGGCTATAGCTCAGAATTACCCGGACGCCTATGACGGGATCCTAGCCCATGCTCCTGCTTTATTCCTGCCCGAGATCCCAGGGGCGCTGTACTGGTCGTAGCAGCTCATGAACGCCATTGGGAAGCACCCGTTCGGGTGCGAGATCGACGCAATCACGGCGGCCATAATCGAAGCTTGCGACGAGCTGGACGGCATCCGCGATGGAGTCATTTCCGACGTCGCTGCTTGTGCTAAAAGCTTTGACCCACAACTTCTGGTCGGGCAGACGATTGAATGCAAGACATTGCCAGGAGACAATCCGGAAGACCACGTCCAGATTACCCAGGCTGCTGTCGATGTAGCCAGGACTACGTGGAAAGGCATATCCTTTTATCCGTACGGCGACGGCAGCGACCCCACCGAATACAAGTACAACCTCGGCGCCAACCTCACGGGCAACTCGCCTACGTCTGGTGGCGGTCCTGGGAGTGCCCGCGCAAGTTGTGGTAGTGATGGGGTCTGCGTTGGAGCGCCTGACGGTCTGATCGAACCTTGGTTCAAGTATTTCATCACGCAGGATCGCGGCTTCAGCGTGACCGCCTTGACAAGGGAGGGGTTTCGGACGTATTTTGAGTATGCCCAGGAGAAGTTCCAGATGTTGCAGACGACAGATCCAGATTTGACCGCGTTTCGTCGCGCTGGTGGCAAGATGGTCACATTTCATGGACTTGTAAGTGTTTAAGTTCTCTCAATGACGTGTGTTGTGCATTTCATATCTTGTTGCAAGATACAAGCTGACAGTGCAATCCTCCCAGGCCGACCAAGTCATTCCCGACATTGGCACACAGACCTACTACGAAGCCGTGTCCGATATTCTTCCCGATGTCCGCGACTTTTACCGCTACTTCCAAGCACCTGGCCTTAGCCATTGTGGCGGCGGCGCAGGCGGGTACCCACGTGCGCTATTTGCGCAGCTGCGTGCCTGGGTCGAGAATGGGACGGCTCCGGACAGCACGCCGCTGCAGTTCACGGATAGCAACGGCACGGATCATCGCAGGAAGCTGTGTCCATATCCGCAGGGGCTGGTGTTTGACAAGGACTGCGTTAATGACGGTGGTGGCGAGGAGTGTTGGACCTGTGTATGAACTGACTCAAAGGAGTTTGTTGGGGTTAAACGGAGGACATGGCGGCGCAAAAGTACACATTCCAAGCGCGATAGATCGTCCACTACAGCTTCTCCTTGGCCTAGAGGTGGGAAGGAGTAAAAGTGCAACCATTGCTAAGACAAGCGCCTTCGCCTGTGGGAAGGGACTGGTCGAAATCTGTTTCCATTCTTTCTGCCACTCTCTCGTCACAACTATAAGTCTCATGTGACCAGGCCCATCCACCTCCAAAGTCACAGCTCAACTTCCCCCAATCATGTTGTCCTTGTGGTGCCATCAGGACTAGATGCGGCCGAGGCTGCCCCACCGTAGCATCAGGGTATGCATCACGGGTCCCATGGTCCCTGCAGTATTCAGGGTACCTTAGCCGTCTGCAGCCCGACTCCGAACTGGTGCATTAGTTCTTGGAGAACGAATCTCCCCTGGGATTGCTGACACTTGCTGACAGTCGAAGCCAAGCATACCCTACAGCCCCAACGAGCAAGGGTTTGGTTCTGAGCCTGTGCAGGCTGCATTCCGCCCGTGAGGGGCTGAGGCCCTGAGAGTTGAGGCCAGAGGAGGAGGGGTAATACTGCACATGCCTGCTTGCTTGTCACCAGCCCTCAAGTCTCCATTCCCTTGGAAGGTTTTGCTCGCCCTCCTCGTGCTTCTAGGATCTCCTCCCGGCACAAGAGTCTGAAAAGGCCTTGCGCGCGGTCATACGAGGGGACACTGACCCGAGTTCTAGCTCGTTGGACTGACTGTGCCCAGCCCGATCTGACAGAAATGGACGCCGAGGAAATGCTCGAGCCCTCGAGCTACACGGTCGGCTGGATCTGCGCCCTCGCGACCGAGTTCAACGCGGCCAAGGCGTTTCTCGAGGTCGTCCACACCGGCGTCCCCTACACATCGCAGCACGACACCAACACCTACGCGCTCGGGCGCATCGGCCCGCACAATGTTGTCATCGCCGTGCTGCCGGACGGCGAGTACGGCACGACGACGGCCGCGACGGTCGCGCAGGGCCTGCTGGGCAGCTTCTCGAACGTGCGCGTAGGGCTGATGGTCAGCATCGGGGGCGGTGCGCCGAGCTCGCGGCACGATATCCGCCTCGGGGACGTTGTTGTGAGCAGTGCTGGGGCTGGGAAGGGAGGCGTGTTCCAGTACGACTACGGCAAGGTCATCCAGGGGCATGACTTCCAGCATAACGACTATTTAAACCGGCCGCCCACGTTACTGAGGACGGCGGTCAGCGCGCTTCGCAGCCAGCACGAGATGGAGGGGAGCCAGCTTGACGATAAGGTCCAGGCGGCCCTGCAGCGATGGCCTAGAATCAAGAAGAAATACTCGCGCCCGGCTGCGGATAGCGACCGACTTTACCTGTCGGACGTATTGCACCGCAACTCTGACACGGCGAGTGACGACTGCGGAAAGACCTGCGGTAGTGATCCGGCGCGGCTCAAGACTCGAGCCGCCCGGGAGGAAGACGAGGACGACCCGCAAATTCACTATGGTCTCATTGCGAGCGGCAACTCGTTGATGAAGGACGCCACGATCCGCGACAAGATGGCCGAAGAGAAGGGAGTGCTTTGTTTCGAGATGGAAGCAGCCGGGCTCATGAACCATTTTCCGTGCCTTGTTATCAGAGGGATCTGCGATTACTCGGACACACACAAGAACAAGCAGTGGCAGAGCTATGCGGCAATGGTTGCTGCCGCGGTTGCTGTAGACTTGCTCCGCCTCGTCTCGGCGACCAAGGTGGAACACGAGACCCGCCTCAAGGATACTATTAAGCACAGTTAGTTTCGGCTTAAGCACTGTACCGTTAACCGAGCTGATAAAGCTGACCATAACTGATCCAGTCGAATCAAAACTGAACGATATCATCTTGGACGTGACAGAGACGAAAGCCGCCGTGAAAGCCACTAGCAGCGAGCAACATCACGAAAAGATTCGCTGCTGGCTGTCGCCGCCAGATCCTTCTACTAATGCAGCCGCGGCGAGAGAGCGGAGGCAAGCTGGTAGCGGGAGCTGGCTGTTCGAAAGCGATGCATTTCGGCAGTGGCAATTTGGCCAGCGGCGGCATCTCTGGCTTCATGGGCGGGCTGGCTTCGGCAAGACAATCCTTAGCACGACGATATACGAGCAGCTCGAGCTAGCGGGAGGATTTACTCTGTTTCGCTTCTTCTTCGACTTCAGAGACGCGCGAAAGCAGTCCCTCGAGAGTCTTCTTCGGTCACTAGCCTATCAACTGCACCAGATGAGCAGTGAGCCATCGCGGATTGTTGATCAGGCTTTCGAGTTGCATGGCTCGGGTAAACGGCAGCCTGACTTGAGTGCCCTCTCCCAGACCATTGTGGCGGCCCTCACCGCTACACCCAAGGCCGTGCTTGTCCTCGATGCTCTCGATGAATGCACGACGCGTCGCGAGCTGTTGCTTTGGCTGAGAGACACTGTCAAGAACCTCGAGGGGTGTGATTTCAAGCTCATCGTGACGGCGAGGCCGGAGCCGGAGTTTGAGCGAGAAGTGCCTCCAGTCTTTGGCCCTGAGAACTGTGTCGCCCTGGACAAGACGGCAGTGGACGCCGATATTCGCTCCTACGTGATGGCTGAGCTCCAGGAGCCCCGCTTCTCGGAAAAGGGCATTCCTCAGAGCATTCTGGATAGCATTGTGGACAAAGTGGGAGATGGAGCGGACGGCATGTGAGTTTTGTTGCCCATTTTCTCAAATTGTTCCGTGACTCGGCTGTTGCTAGGCCTATGACACTACTACTCACTGTTGTGTTCGCCCAATGGCGCACCTCAGCTGACACATGGGTCGCGAAATTCCAGGTTCAGGTGGGCATTCTGCCAAATGGATGTTCTGGCAAGGTGCCATCATGCTGAAGCTCTTGAGGGAGCCTTGACGAGTCTGCCTAAGAGTCTTGACGAGACGTACGACCGCATGCTGGCAAACATCCCAACAGAGCTCCAGAGCGATGCGGCCAGACTCCTGCGATTCATGCTGTCTATGGACCGTCCAATGACAGTAGACACCGCGATTGATGTCATCGCCACACGCATAGATGGGGAGCAAGACAAACGTGGCTTCAACCGTGACCGCAGGCTGTTCCGAAAGCATGACTTGCTTGAGTACTGTCCGGGGCTGATAATATTCAGTCACGAGGAGGATATGCCGACAGTTCACCTTGCTCACTTCTCTGTCAAGGAGTATCTTCACAGACACGATCGATTCCAGCAAGTCCTCATCAGTGAAGAGGTAAGCCTGGTCTGTCTCAGCTACATGATGTCGGCCACATACAAAGTCATGAAGTTGTATTCTCTAGCGTACTGGGCCAAGGAGCTCTGGAGCCGCCACACGAGGATGGCGCAGAGTTCGGCAGCAGTGGTAGAGGTCGTGTCCCTTTTTCTACAAGACGAAAGAAGCCTTCAAGGATGGCTTACTCCCTACGAGGAGTTCGAAACCGTGTTGGCTCCAAACGGGCTCTACTATGCCTGCCAGCATGGCCTGCTCCCGGTTGTGAGTAGGTTTCTTGCTGCTGGAATGGCCATTAATGCCCAAGGGCGCGCTTTTGGGACGCCGCTTCAAGCCGCCGCCAGGTTCGGCCATGAGGACGTTGTGACACTTCTGCTGCAGAGTGGTGCAGACGTCAACCTCCGTAATGCACGCTACGGATCTGCTCTGCAGGCAGCGGCCAGAGGGGGCCACCTGTCCATTGTGCGCCAGCTTCTCGACAGCAAGGCAGATATTGAGTCGAGTGGTGGTCGTTATGGCAGTGCGCTCCAGGCGGCGTGCTGGGGAAGGCATGAAGACATTGTACGTCTTCTGCTGCGTCGAGGAGCAACGGTAGATCCTGAAGCGGGGGAAGGTTGGGCCGTTAAGTTCCTTATAGGATACAGGGACGGAGACGAGAGCGGTCGCCTGATCGAGCACGAAGAATCATGGCATTCCCTGGCTGGAAAGGACATGTACCTGAGTGGGTTGGAGGTGGCTTCGGGCATGGGCGACTGCGGGATTGTGCAGTTGCTGTTGGACAACGGTGCTGCCGTAGGCCGGATCAGCAAACGTGGCGGAGGCGCTCTGATATTAGCCGCGCAAGAAGGGTCCTGCGACATTGTCAGGCTCCTGCTCGACAGGCTGACTCCCGCAACGGCTGGAGCTTGCCGCGGTGGTGCCGCCGTGCTGGCTGCCCGTAAGTACCGGCATGCGGACATTGTTGGGGTCCTGCTGACCAGCGACATGCTTGTCTTCACCGAGGACGAATTCACCGAGGCACTTATCGGAGCCTGTGAAAGTGGAGAACTGGCCAACGTCCAGCTTCTGTTTGGCCACGGCGCAGTTGCAAACACAGAAAACTATTATGGCATGACGCCTCTCATGGCAGCTGTGTACGAGGGCTCGCTCGAGATTGTGCGGTATTTGGTCTCGCATGGAGCAGACGTCAACGCCATAGTAGTACTTGACTGGGACGAGCGCCCGGAACCCCCGCAAACCCCCCTCTATCGGGCTGTGCTCCAGGGCTCGCTCGAGATTGTGCAGTATTTGGTGTTGAACGGCGCAGACGTCAACCCGAAGTCTGAAAACTTCTGCCTCGATACTCCTCTCGCTGCATGCCTCACCGCCGGCTACCGCTTCGACTTTGCCATTCTGCAACTGCTCATTGCCCATGGGGCCGATGTAAATGCACCAAGCCAATCTTTCGAGACCACCCCGCTCATTCTCACGCTTGACTTCTGGCCTGGAGCCCCCAAGCATGTAGCAAAGTACTTGCTGGACCACGGGGCGGACGTCAACCTCCCGGGCGGCTGGCGAAAGCGCACGCCCCTTGAAGTCAGCTTGGGCAGGGGTAATGCTGCGTACACCAAGCTGTTACTACAATACGGCGCCGAAACTGGTTCTCTTGACGATTCTCGAAGAGAACAAATGCTGAAGCTTCTCTCTATGGAAAGCGGCACGCCAGCTGAACAACCAAAAGGGTCTGGAAGCATCTGATCTGGCGGGATAGCTCGTGAATGTCAGCAAGGATGGGCACCGTATGGAAATATGGGCAAGAGCCTGGATGAGTTGACTCGCGTCTCGGCCACGCCCACTACCGCGAGAGCAGGACTCCAGTCCAACTCGTTCCCAACCATTCAATACACCCCTTCTAGAGTCTTGCCATGCGGCGCACATATGCCATTGTCAACTAGTGCTGTCAATATATGCCATTGGGTTTCGTTACATGCAAATGGGTGCACCTCAAGCCTCCAATTCTCTGATGCCACACTGCCAGCCAAAGCTTCTGCACGCCAGCCTGTCATATGTTCTTCTTGATGCCGCCCTGATTGGTGACCGAATCACCTACGAAATCCCTTGGTGGTTTGGTCATGGAAATTGCTTCTTTGAGAGAGGAAATGCGGAGGTGAAGGTGGGAACGGTGAACGAGTGGCACAGGGTCGGCGAAGGGTCAGGGCGCCGAGGCATTGGAAAATCTTCCTGACTTACAGATGAGCATCCCACATGTGCCTGTGCTCACGCTTTACGAGAGAACTTTGCGAACTCAGTCATGGTGGAGTGAGGTGGTTGACAGCCAAGCCGGGTGGTCTCTCATGGGCCATTCAGCGTGCCCGTGGGCTTGGGGGATGCGGTCATCGCGCGCCCCACGTGCCAGAGCTCCCCCCTGCACGTTGCACTGCTCGACTGCAGTGCTCGGTGCATCAACAACACCAGTGCACTCCATCACCTGCTCCAACCGTTGCTCCACTCCCGCCTCATTCCCCAGGCACCGCCAACATCGGCACACCACAACGACAAGCAGCACCACGCCACGGCGACACGAGGTTCCGTCCTGACAACCTTCTTACCGAGACAGTCACCACAAGCCCATCAGATCCACAGCAGACCCGCGTCGTTCACACCAACCTCCAGATCAGCGACGACAAACGTCTTGACCTCGGCTCTCAACCCCGTCTCTGAGCAATCACGGCCCCTCTGTGTGGATGTGGGCGACGACTCGCTAGCCTTCCTCGAGAGGGTTCCGGCCGCCATGCTCTCCGCCTTTACTGCGCGGCCCATCGTCGAGCTGCGCCAGCGCGACAAGTCGAAAATCGAGACCATCCTCGCCATGGCGACCGCGTCCTCGTCGGCCTCAACACTGGCGCCCTCCGCATATACCGCCTCAACGAGCTCCCTCCACAGAATTGCACCGCCTTAGCACCACCGGCCACCGAGTCCAGCGGTGAAGCACCCTCGGCAGACACAAACGGCAAGAGCCGGCCCTCGAGCGGCGGTCAGCCAACCCCCAAGCCGGCCGTCAAACCCACCGACCTCCTGCGCGAGGTGGAAAAGTTCTCGACCCGTGCCATCGAGCAGCTCGCTATAATAAAAGAGGCCAACACGCTCGTGTCCCTCTCAAACTACCACGTCTCCCTCCACGACCTCCAGTCCTATGAGCCCATCGGGACCCTCGCCTGCACAAAGAATGCCTCGAAGTCGGAGATGACGACGTTTGGCATTGGAGCTCCGGTCTCTGCCTCGATCTCTGCGTACTTTTCAATCAACCAATTGTACTAGAATTGGGTCTCGTTGGGAACGACTCCGAGTACCTTGTTGAAGTATGAGTTGTTGCAGGTGATGCCAGCGACGTTGAACAGCGGCATATTGTATCGATTTGTGCGGTAGGTATTGTCAAAGCTGGAGACCTCCGGGTTCAGTTTCCAGAGGGCGATGCTCTCTGGGTACGTCCAGATCACGGCAATGAGCCTCTCGTCTTGTTTGTAGATGAAGTTATTGCGGTTCAAAGGTACGTACCTTTGGGGCGCCACACCCACTTCTGACTCTGCCCATCACCACGTTGGACAGAGCATTCGTCGCTCCATAGAATTCGACGAAACCACGCGAGGAGCTTCTCACGATACTTCTGCGCAAATGCGAGTCTTCTTTGAGCATGGTCCTCTGTCAAAAAGGGACGCTGTGCAGCCTTACGGTGCAGAATACCCTCATCTTTAAGGTACCGTCGAATCGTCCATACAGAGACATAAGGCGTTACCTCTTTTTAAGCTGGCTAATCGAGACGAAAGCGTCGCTATTAATTGTCTCCTTAAGCCGTCGTCTATCGTAGCTAGTAAGGGTGCTCGGGCGCCCTCGTCCTGTCGGAGAGACACCCCAATCCTGCTTCGTGAACCGCCGTTTAATGCCATACACTAAGCTCACAGAAATACCTTCGTCAATCGCGATAACTGTACCTTTTTTGCCCGCAGAAAACGCTGCCCATACGCGATTTCTCGTACGAAGCGTGGAATGCTTTCCGAATGGCTTCAACGGGCGTTGTGGTGTCGCCATTGTCGATTGAAGTTGGTGGTGAAGTTGACGCAATAACGCGGAAATGCGCGTCGCGTCGAAATGGTGGAGAAATTTGCGTTTTTTTCGCACCCCCACTGTAACCCCAGATTGGTCATAAGTTCCTGGTGGGCGGCGCTCCAGGTTAAGGGCGATGGTCGAGTCCTTGACACGACGCGAACTGACAGGTCGAAATTTTGGTCGCCAGCTGGCAACAATACGGCAGAATTTGGGACGTACTGCCTGTACTAACAATTGCCATTAAGTTATCCCGTTGCCGGACCCGTCTGACCTATTGCATCTACCCGTCGGTTGGATCCTATAGATCAAGACTGCTTCGCAGTCGATCCTAAAGCTAGTGTCGCTCCTCAAAACTTGTGGCACATTTAGTGCACACCACCCGTTTACTAGTTAATATCGCTAGTTATGAGTTAGCAATTTAAGGGTTAACATATAATCGAATAAATAGATTCAGATCAACAGCTTGAAGTCGATTGAACAGGAATTCGGGCGATCAATGGTTCGGGTTGTTTAACTATGAACGAAGAGGGAATATCCCAGCCAAATGGACCCTATTAGCAGAGGTAGGTAAACTCTCTTACCACGTGGTGAATCGGAAGTCAACATCCGGGAATCCGTGACATGTCTGTAATGACAGAAACCCGCTAACGGTCGGCCGAGCTTAAACTCCAGTGGAGAACTCCTTACATCGACCGAAAGCTCCCTCTAGTAACCACAGTCAAAGTATCATACCTCCATACACTCTCAAGGGCGCATCCCTCTCTGGCACCTCGATGACACCCACGATGCCCCAGCAGCTGCCAACACGAATCGAGTCTACTTCTCGAGCACGGGTATATTCCAGCATTTTTCTAACGTCGTTAGTTAGGAATGAAGTCAACAATCTGAAGACCGCGCAATGTCTCCTCTTCATAGTTATAAAAGTCCTGAGTGTCCTTCTTATCCGAGTCGCGAATGTTGGGCGGGAAAGTGTAGCTCATGACAGAGCGCGGGTTGGCTGAGCCGAACGCCACCGCACCCCCCTCCTGGGCAGCGAACTCATGGCGCAGCCCCAGCACATGACCAAGCTCATGAAGGAAGATGTTGGTCTGGTATGGGCTGATGGCAGTGTCGAAAGCCTTCTGGTACACGAAGAGCGTGTTGAGGTCGTTGGAGTTGGGGAAGAAGGCCTTGGCGAGAACCCCTCCCTGGTCGCCACCATAGGCGAGCACGAAGGCCGCCTTCTCCAGTTCATCGACCCACTTGAAGGTGACTCCGACTTTGGCGTCGTTCCACATTTTGGCGGCCTCGTTGAGCTTGTACGCGGCGAAGGTGGCATGGTTAGACGTAGGGTACCCTCGCCGTAGGGCCGCGAACCTGACTTCCTCGCCCCTCTGCCAGCGCGGGATGGAGCCGCCCCAGCCAAGCCAGATGCCAAGGGGGTCAGATTTGACGGCAGGGGGTACGGGTATTTCCTCTTGTGTGAAGCAAGTGTACTTGGATTGAGGTACCCCGAGGGCGCTGCTGCCGGCGTCAAGCATCTTGCGGATGTTTTCGGGGGGCTCAGGATTGACCGGTATGGTCAAATCCGCGCCGGCTTTCTTCTTCAGCAATTGGATCTGACGATCCCTGGCGCCCCGCATGTTCATTGTGAGTCGTTGTTCAGACTGAGACATGTTTGGCGGTGCTGTTGGAGTTCCACACCAATCGCTCAAGTTGATATCCAGGATGTCGGTAAGTCTGGATGACAGGAGGATGAATCTCACGACCAAGGTACCAGATTTGCGAGTGAGGATTATATGATGGTGATGGGCTGGGCTTTGATACATCGGTTTCTCTGTCCTAGAGAGGCCGTTGCAGAGGTTGGGATTATGTAGGCTGGAGATGCCCGAAACTTTGCAGATCACCGAATGCCCCGAAACTTGCAGCTGGAGCCACTGAGATCACCATTTAGTCGTTTCGACAGAATGCCTCACATCACACTTGCATCTCGTGTTTGCGGTCGAACATACTGCCGATCCCGTTCGAATCTACTCGAGCATGTGATTCAAGCCACTGAGATCGCCATTTAGTCGCATGGAGAGTAGAGTGTGATCTCATCCCACTCTTTATCCTCCTCTCGGTGCATCCTACACAGCTTACGTATTCCCTTCTCTAAGTCCACGTCATTAGTAGTGCTTAGCTTGCCTCTTTTCTTCTCTACGCCGCGCATCCTTGGTAAAACTGAGCTTGCCTCCTCCCTACTCCACGTCTATGTCAGTAATGCTGAGCTTGTCCTTTCCCTTCTCTGAGTTCACATCATCGATAGCGCGAGGTGACCTAGTGCTAGGTCGATATTGTACTTCAACGAAGTCAATAGGTTGAGTTGCTCTACGATCGATAACAGCTTCACGGACGGTGGAGGAGAAGTCGGGATCACCGCAAGCCGGGATCCAACTCCAGGACGTCTGACCCAGAAGCAGTGATGAGGCGTTTCTTGTTAGCCAAGCAGGATTGGACTTCTCTGGTTGATCAGGAGCAATGAAAGCCTCTGATGCAAGGACTATTGTCCCATCGCCGATCCACGGAAGCGAGTTCCCCCTGCTGATCCCAACCCGTCGACACCACGCTTCATCGCCGCATATTAACTCAACCGTGATGCATTTCAGAGACCGGACCCAATAAAAACTGATTGTCTGGATACGAGCCGTTTGCCTGTCCTCCCTCCTAATGCCGTGTTTCGGGGTGGCGGATGGACTGAGTGTGCTGTATGGCTAGGACCAGATGGGCTGAGTTATCGGCTGCACGCCAAGAATTGCGGCCTGAGATACGAAACGGTTGCCAATCTTTAAGATGCTCTAGGGATAAACGAGGACGACGGGCGTATTAGCACTCCTCCGTCGGAGCTGACCCCTAGGTTTACACAAACCTAGGCGTAATCTTCTCAGGCCTTCCATATCCCACAATTCTGAGTCGTATTCTGGACTCCACTGGAGAGATCGTCTTGAAAGAAGCTGCGATTGTCAGCAACATGTCGCCAAGTGACCGCCTCGCCGTCCCTTCCTCCGGGCCTGGACTGGCTCACAACTGCAGTTGCGAGTGCTCCTGATCCCTCGGGATGACTTCATCAAGCCTTATGTCCCAATCAAGGGCGACGGGACAAGACTTGATCACGACCATGTTGTCCCGTGCGCCAGCATGGACGTCTTCTATCCTCGTGTTTCCATCGCTGTGTTCCCGAATCAACCAGTCCGCATCCCCGGACCAGGTCCACAACGAGGTCTCGACTCTCCGACGGTAACTTCCGCTTGATATTGAATCACATGCGCACAGTGCAGCAGCGGAAGAAGCCGTAGATCCAGCTTAGAATCAAGGCAGGCTACGTGCCTCGGATACTTGCCTTCCTGACCCGTGAGGAATGCCACTTTCAGGTCGACCCGGCTGGGTTGGGTCAGTGCCTTGTCGAGGGCCGCGGTTGGAGATCATCAAGGATAATCCCATTGGGAACGGCCTTGATGCCTTCCGCGCTTCGTTCAATACAGTCTACGTAGACAGGACGACCTCGCGTATTCTAGACGCCGGCGGGGAGTGGACGGCCGGTAGGGAGGCTAGTAGGGAATGAGAGGCCGGCGGCGAGTGAGAGGGAGCGTTTCCGGGCCAATCACATGTCTTATTTGTTTGCTGCCCCTGAGAAGACGTACTACTCCTGAGAACCCGCTCGGACGGGAAAGAAACAGAGGTGCCCTGTGGTGTAGGCAGGCCACCAGCGCCGCAACAATAGACAACATCTCTGTAGAGACCAGGAGGCAAACCTTTTGGAGGCCACCACCAGCTGGTGGGGTGGACAGGTGCATGATGCTCAGCATCTTCGACTCCGCAAACACCACGGGCAAAGGCCAAGAGATTTTCGTTTTGCCCAACTAGGGATCAAGCCATAGACCTTTGCTGGCTTCGGAACTTTCCGACATGAGACGCGTCAGAGCGCGCTACGGAGAATCCAGAACAAGACAGACCTGCAAGCCAACATCCAATCATATTTACCACTTATATTTGTCTCAGCTTCAACGCTAACTATCGAGCCTTAATCTCATGCCGACAGGCGAGAAAGATCTGCTGGCAACGCTGCTTTGCGAGAGAGTCTTGATATGCGCAGTGGTTGTGGACTAGCGGCCGGTCCTCGCCAGCTCCCGCTGCCTTTACTGGAATCATGGGGGCCTACTAATGTCCAATTGACTTGGAACGGGAAAGAAATATGAGTGAGCGCCGTGGCTTGCTCTTAAGGAATGGCACGTCCGTTGCCCGAGGCGGCCACGATCGATGAGCGCGTGTCCACGACACCTCAGCTCAACACGAGCGTTCTCTTGTCTCTCACAGCCACGACGCCAGGCGGAAAACTCCTGGCAGAATTATGAGTACATTGTCAGCCATCTCACCAGCCCTCAATAAGTACCGCGTTGGCTTTGCCTATACCTGGCATGTGCGTAAGCACAACATTGTAGCGGCCGATGTCTAACCAATGCATGCCTACATATGTCGGCAAAGTTTGCCCAGTAGTCCAGGGATGCGAACAGTTACATTATTTCGTATCGCAAGCCACAATGACGAATTTTCGAATCATCTTTTTCGTTCTTCAAACTCGCACAGCCCCCCCGCCTGGCACACGACGCAATAATCCCCGAAGAAACTGGTGGTTCGAGATATCCACTTCTTGCTAGAGGCTGGACTTTCCAAGAGCGGCAATCATGGTATGCAGTCACCTAATATTTTTACCTAATTGGAGACTCATCCAAATCAACCCAAAGGTAGAGCGAGTGTATTCGAGTACAATCTGTATGTGCTAAACCTCCGGGGGCCTCATGCCGAAGCAGCTCGGAACTAGGACGACTTGGCATGTGATCAATCCCCCGAGTATCGTAGCAGGTAGCTAGAGGCGTTAGCACCTCTACGGAGTGATCTTTGCTACTGGCACATCAAGCTACTTCTCAACAACTGGATGATTTTTGTATCGTTATTTAAGCTTCAATATGGCCCCAGCCGTACGCCTCACCGAAACTTTATAAATGACCTGCTGGCCGAATACGAAATCTCAGCCAATAGTGTTTATCAAGATGCTTCTCAATAGTTAGATGGCTTTTTTAACTTTATCCAAGCCGCTGCATGTCGGATCCCAGCAGCACGTCTTACCTGCATAGCCCGTTAAGACGGCAGTAGCGGAGACTGCTGCTGCGTTGGATTTTCTGTACTCGGCATATGCGTATAACCAAGCTGGCGATCAACTCAACCCAATCCACCGCTGAGGCATATGAAATTGATGTGGATCTTGCAACCGATTTCTTGCATGGGGTTGACCAACCGACGCCTCTAGTGAAGTTGGAGTGGGTGGAATTGACATCCCGCTGTGGATCATGTGCACCATGCCATCGATCACACCGCCTTCTCGCCGCAAGCCGTCGCGTCCCTCTCAAACTCGCGCTGCAGCTAACCATGCCTCCTCTTCTTCACTATACCCTACGCGGCCGATGCTCCCGCTTTCAAACCCCCCCCCCCCAACCCAGAATAAGACAGAGAAAGCCAACATCCAATCAATTTTACTATGACTTATGCTTGTCTCAGCCTCAACGCTAACTATCGAACCTTAATCTGTCAGACCATGGATCAGCTACATCGTGTTCGATTGATTGTGTATCTAAGAGGGTTCTAGGTACATGCTGGCGATGTAACGAGACTAAAACATGAAGTAAAACTAGTACACGTGACACAAATGGGAGTACCTAGGGAGCTAGGCAAGTCCGGAATAAGTATTCCCCTGATCTCCGCACGTTAGGGATCTGACATAATCTCATACTATCAGACTAGAACGATCTGCCGTGGGCTAACTTTCACATGTTTTTTTTTACAGCTCGTATCTAAATATACAATAGTCTGAATGTATGCATTTATACAAAGGGAATAGCTCACTATATACAAATTCAGTCTTTCTAATTAAGCATTTGTAATATTTTTAAATATCTATTATTATATTCGGAATTTAGAAGTTTAGCTATAAAATTCTAATTATAACTTAAGGTCATTCTGATGTCATTCTGTCTGTTCATGTTCTGCAGATAACGGTGATCAATTGCGTGTTCTTATTGGCCGGTTCTGTCACTTGAACGGATGCCGGATGTGCGTCTTCTCTACCTCATGCTTCGAAAATGGGGCTGGCGGAAGGAGCTGTCCAGAAGCAAGGGCCGGGCATCGTTTTGTTCAAGAACAGCGACTACCTCACCTACTTGGTCCGCTCTTGTAAACTGCCGCTGCTCAGTCGACCTTATTGCTTCATTCAAGCCTTGCCCGTGAACTCACAGATACCATACACTCCTCCCCTTGCCGCCTGTTCACCATGACCGCCATTGTCGACTCCGCAACGCAGGGAGCGCCAAATATGATGCCCGACTACGAGATCAAGTTCCTCCTCAAACCCACCGCAGTCCTCGGTCCTAACACGGAGCTTACGAGCACCGTCCTGTCGACCTTCGACATGCCCCCAAGCGTCACCAAGCTGCATGCCCAGTTTCTTGACACGACCGGCAAGGACATCTATACCGCCGGCTGGAGCGCCCGCATCCGTAAGACTGAGAACGAGGATGACTTGGAGCTGACGTACAAGAAGCGGTATGTCATCATGGACGGTGACATCGACGCCGCGCTCACCACGGCTAATATTGATGGTTTCGACGCCGGTGACGCGAAATACGAGGCCCAAGTCGAATGGGGCTACCAGAAGCAGACACTCTCTATCACCCGCAAGAAGAAGGTGGCGGATTCTGTGAACAGCGGGATGGACCTGCCGGGGACGTGCAAATCGCGTGCGATGTTGGTCGACAAAGCGCCCGATAAGTTCGACAACTGGCTGGGCATCAAATGGGGCACCGACGCGTTGGCAAAATCGCGTATTTTTGGGCCGGTCCTCGCCAAGCGCTCGATTGGCACATGGGAGGGGATGCGGCTCTACATCGAGGTCTGGCCCATCCGTAACCGCGCGGGCACAGGAAACGACTGTCTCGTCGAGGCGTCTTTCAAGACTGAGAGCCGTACGACAGCCTTGACTAAGCACGACAGCTTCATCTCCTACCTGCAGGACAAGGGTTGGTTTCTCGAGGAGGACTCACTAAAGACGCAGCTCATTATGGAGCGCTATTAATATGGAAAGTTATTAGGCGCAAGGATGATTGTTAAGCTAGCTTCCGTGATAATGGACTCCGAGGGGGAAAAAAGGATTTGCAATTATAGATTGAATAATATTGTCACCACGGAATTGAACGAGTTAGATTCATTGTTGTTGTTGTACTTGACTTAACATGACTTGATTTCCGAAAGTTCTGTATTACGCCCAATGAGGTCTAGGGGCAACTACTGGTTAAATACCTAATCCGTTCCGGCGGGGTTTTTGTTCCATCTCTACAGCCCTTACGTAAGAGCGTCACATGTCTCTGGGTTATATCAATCGTTGTATCAATCGTTGTATTAATCGTTGTATCAATCGTCAGGGTGTTTGAATCTGAAGAAAGTAGTCGACGCGTGTTGTCGTGGTGGGTAGGACATGTGTGACGCGGTGGAAACCGTGATCGTGGCTGAGACCACCGACCACGAACAGTCTCGGGGACGATCGGCTCGCAACCCGACCCCAAGCTCCAAAGCACAAGACAACCAACAAGCGGACGTCGAAATCATCGCAGCGACCAAGAAACCGACCAAGAATACGAAGCGGACAACGCCAGCCGGAGGAGAGGATGGATTGGACACGAGCAGGAAGAGCAGCAAGTACGGAGACGCGTTGCTGGAGATAATGCAGAGGTTGATGGAGCAGGTGGTAGAGTTGAAGCGGGAGAGCAAGGAACAGCAAGCGTCAATCCAAGAGCTACAACACCAACACCAGGGAAGCCAACAGCAGAGCCAAGCGGCTGTTTAACCGCTGCAGCGGCTGCTCCTCGTAAAGCCAACAACAAAACAAGGAGGCCCAGCGCTAGAACCTATCGTGATATGACGTTTACTCCTCCTTTCCGTGCGCATCCATTATGTATGCTCCCTTCCGTATTAGGTAAACAATTCATAGCTGCCTGGTCGTGTGGGCTATGCAGGTAAGACGTGCTGCTGGGATCCGACATGCAGCGGCTTGGATAAAGTTAAAAAAGCTATCTAACTGTTGAGAAGCATCTTAATATACACTATTGGCTGAGATTTCGTATTCGGCCAGCAGGTCATTTATAAAGTTACGGTGAGGCGTACGGCTGGGGTCATATTGAAGCTTAAATAACGATACAAAAATCATCCAGTTATCGAGAAGTAGCTTGATATGTACCAGTAGTAAAGATCACTCCGTAGAGGTGCTAGTAACGCCTCTAGCTACCTGCTACGATACTCGGGGCATTGATCGCATGCTAAGTTATCCTAGCTACGCGCCTCCTTTAACATGAGGGCCCCGGAGGTTCAGTAAACACAGGTCGTGCTTGAATACACTCGCTCTACCTTTGGGATGATTTGGATGAGTTCCCAATTAGATAAAATTAGTCGGTGACGGTATACTATGATTGTTGGCGCCATCCTAACATTGTGTTGCCATGGTAGGCATAAATGCAGAGGGGTTCTCACATGCCTTTCTCCGAAGTTCGCCAACCAGCTTTACTTTGATCAGCACCTTCTGAACTACCCTACCCACACTTACAGTTGAAACCTTCTTATACGCGGAATGGGAGACGCAGATTTGTGGAGTTGCAGGCAGGGGAAACTGGGACAAAATGTGTATAAATACATGTCTAAGGACGTATCTGGATCGCTACAGAAAGCAAAGCCTCACAGTTCTCACGACTAAATCTACAACCAAAATGGCGACCAGCTTTGATACCTCTATGGAACCCGAATTTCGCGCTGGTATGAGTTCTGTCTCCCAAGTTAGATGCTGTCTCTAACACAATAAATCAGGAGTGGTTCTTGAACGCAGGCAAAGCAACGACGTCTACACCCTTGTACAGAAGCAACACACAGACGGGCTTCGGAAGGAGCTTTCAGGAAACTCCCCCACAATTGATTTCAGCTTTGGGCCGCTCCATGTATGTTGCTTATTCCCCGGTGTCTATGCTATTGCTTCTCGGTCGTGGAGACAGTTTTTAATCCGTGAAACAGGTGAAAGGCTACGTGAACCCCCAGACCTTGGGTCTCACCGTCACGGTCGATATTCTAGGCATCAATCTTGGGACTCTACGTGGGAATTTAAAGAACAGTGGGCTGACGATTAAGGTCAGCCTATTTGTGGTAAAGGGCGAAGTAAAACTTTACTTGAAGAACACGAATGAAGTTTGGATCCGTCTACATCTAGAGGTGACATTCGATGGGACATTCGACGAGGATGTTAAGCTTCTTAAACTTTGAAGCGATGGAATGTTCACAGAGGCGAATGAGGTGTCGTTCTTTCATTTATGATTCACTCCTTTCTAGTTAGTCCTTCATGAAAATGATAGTTGCCAGTCAATTCATTGCTAAGAAGTCTGCATGTCTTATTCTGGTCTCTCTTTCTGGCGCTCTCTAGATATACTGTTCTCATTCGCTCTATCGTTAAGAATACGCACTTCTAACTGTCACCCGACCCAATTCTAACCGTATCCCGAAAGGGATCTACAACAAACATAGATCTAAGGCAAGAATACTGAACACTTGAGTTGCTGATTGCTTGCGGCAAAACTCGTCGCCTTTCCCTGAATCCTTTCTAGTTGTGTTCTCAGAGGTCTTGAGTTGAACTGCTTGATTACGCAATCTGACGAGACTGCGCATATCGTCATCCTAGATAACCATGAGCCAGCGATGGCAGGATTTGATGGGGCTCGAACGAGAAGCACTCACAGTGTTCTCCAGCTGTTTTCGCTTTAGCGTAATGGGCGGAGTTAATTTACGGGATTCAAGTTACTCAAGCCTTTTACCATCGCCCATACTTTGTGGCCTCGTCGCTGTGATCTTCGGTGGATGGCATACGCCCTGTGCCAGAGTACGTGTACGGGCACGGTCTGTGTGCTGGTACGTTCCCTGTGCTAGCATGTTTAGCCTAGCACCTTCGAGAGCTAGGCACCCGTGTGTGCCAGGACTGAACTAATCCTAGGCCCTTTGTCCAAGCATGTTCTCTGTGCTATGGCACGTATACGAGCAATCCTCGGACCTAACAACACGTTGGGCCAAAGATACGGCTAGAAGACCCACCGGCCTGCGGCCGTTGGCTGATGATGGCTTGAAGAAAAGCAACAGTCCTCGGCACATAACCCTGACGGCTGTATCGAAATTGTACAAAGGATGCTAAGCAAAAGAGCTGCGACACAATGACATTAGCTATTTCGAAGCGTGTAACCCTGCTAAGACCTGAGCATCCAAAGAAACGAAATAACTTCATATGCCATCATAGACGAAACGAGGATCGTGGTTGTCGCTCGGGTCTCAAATTCGCTGCGTCTGCGGTTTTGGACAGGCGTATGCATGTCTTGACTTTTTTTTATGACCGGGATAAGCTTCCGAAGAGCTTTCAGCGGCGCCGCAATGCATGCACATTAGTAATCCCTCGTCCGGCCTGTAGCACTCATTGGCATCTGAAGGATCCTTAATAAAATGTATCTTGGAACTTTAAACACAGTTGCGTAAGCCGCCCACTGAAGGGCTTGCGAATCCTACCGTGATCCGAAACCAAGAAAGACAATGCATACAGTTTGAGCTAAACTAGTGAGTAGTGACTCTTTAGTTCAAATTTGTGCTTTCCGTACGTAGAAAGAGAACTACTACCCTGCAGAGCGAAGACCTTAGGAACGCGAAAGCGGGCGGTTACATGTATGACGCAAAGGGCCAGAAGACGTGCTCATGTTATCTATACGTCATATTGGAATCTTGACTTAGCCTGCGAGGCCAGAATTCCAAAGTGAAGATCTGGAGTCAAGGGAATATAAACATCACTGCCTCCCCAGCCTCAGATGAGCGGCGTTTTTCGTTCTAGTCAGCTCCCAGTCAGCCAGCTAGCGCCCCCAGGTCAAGCTCCTTGACGCGCCTCCCGTCAGTCAAACATCATGAAGCTCATCACCCTCCTGGTCTTCCTGGCCAGCACGTCACTCGCCCTCCGGGAAATCGAGGATGTTACTCCGGTTAAGCGGCAGAGCCTCGACACCATCACGGACCAGTACCTCTTTACTCTCACACTACCCCAATTCACAGTGAAGCACGACGCCCGCGACCCGGCTACACTGGACTGGACGACTGACGACTGCACGTTGTCACCCGACAACCCGCTCGGGTTCCCCTTCGTCCCGGCATGCCACCGCCACGACTTTGGCTACAACAACTATAAGAAGCAGAACCGCTTCACGACAGCTGGGAGACTCAGGATTGACAACAAGTTCAAGACCGAGTCAATCACCCCGTTCAACCCCTCCAATGGATGTAATACTGATATGCTTTAGTTTGTACTACCAATGCAACTCGGTGACGCTCAAGTCTCTATGCCGGGCTCTGGCAGAAGTTTACTACGCTGCGGTGAGAGCGTTTGGATGGTTAGACCCCAGTAGGCGCGACGAGGAACTTATCCGGGAGTACGAGGAGAAGGTAGCTATTTATAACGCCCTTGTTGAGGTGGCGCAGGTTTACGGGGATGTGCCGGTTGGAACTGGAACGATTTGAGAATTTTGCGACGTTGATCTGTTGGGAAGGGAAGGCGCTTGCTGGGAAGGAAATAATTTGGACTATCGGACCTGTAGGAGGTCACTAATGAACTGTCAGAGGCTTTAAATGGTAGCGGGCCTGAACCTCTCACCGGCATGAAACGGTACGTTACCTTTCTTGCCGATATAAAGGTATCTCACAATCTCACTTAGGACATCCAATTTCTGCCCCGTGGATATTCTATTGCTATTGTGGTTGTTGAGATAATCGTGTAATAGAGTGTAATCAACTGCTTTTGGTGGGCTACTCAATTGGACGGGCGCCTCAATCGTGGAATACGTTATGCACCACCTGCATCACATGTTAAAGCTATTGGTGACACCACTTCGTATTTATACCTTTCAGGCACAGGCTAACGTTAGCCCAAGAAGGTTTACTTCCAATCGTTGGAGCCGTTGTATCCTCCAACTGTGGGTCCAATTCAACTGAAATCTCTCACCCCCATGGTTGGCAACCAGCCAATTCAGAGGTCCAGTTGATTGGGTTTGGATCCAACCGGTTCCAACCCGTTCCAAAGCGCGTAAGACCGCCCGGCGCCACCGCTTGGACCCCACCTTCTTAGTCTGGCTCGTCTCACGGCCCGCTGGCCAATGGTCGACCACTGAGTGGCATCATCCCCCCGAGCCCGACACAAAAGCCCTAGTCTTCGTTGTTACTATGCGTATGTGGCTCAGCAGCATCCGAGTTTCACATGTGAAACCCACATGATATTAGATTTTTTTCGAAAATGGAACTAGAGTAGTCCGATTTGTGACCAAACTCTCCGAGAAGTTGTTCAAATAAGGCAAAATCGGCCACACAACTCTACTCATGCCAAGAATGCGGCTTATGCGGTGATTTATGCTTGGCATTGGAATGCAATCCTCCTGGTTGCAATCTCTTCGTGTCAGCTCCCAAGGGCGACGGGCCATTCTTCACGATCCACTGACTTTGCTGCAAGTGCGGGCGTTTCGCCAAGAGTCTCCAACAGCGCAAGGCTGTGCCCAGCAACTTTTCAACTCCAAACTGGCTGCAGAATTCATGCGGCTTGGCAAAGCCAGAGTGCCGCCTACACGTCATGATGGTATCTGTATTGAGCTCGACAGACCAGAAGTCTGTCAATGGAGAAGAGACAGAGAGGATTCGCGCAGAGTGAACAGCTTTGGCGACGATGAAGGATGAAAGACACGACACCAGACAGGCAGTCATTTGACTATAAATATCGTGGAATACCCCCAGCACAAGAGATGATCGAAACCGGCTCAGAAGCACAAACAAGACAACTACCAACACTACACCCACCATCACATCTCCAATCCGCAGTCAATATGCGCTCCCATCTATTTTCACTTTTGGTTCTTGTTGCCACAACCCTGGCCACACCCTTTGTTGAGTTCGACCTGGGGCCAGAGAATGCCCTCGAGGCTCGCACGTGGGACAAGGATGAGAAGTGCGTCGAGTTCGTCTACGGCCACGAGAACAAGCATCTTGGCAAGTGCTGCGTCAAGCTCCGGGGCAAGCATCTCCACGTCGAGTACCCGGACATCAAAAAGGGCGAGTACACGGACGTCAACGTCATCGTCCAGACCCATCCCATCACCGAGGAAAACCACAAGAAGTGGCCGTACAAGAGTGGCCACGAGGGTCCTTGCAGATACCGCAAGGGAAAGGCTTCGTGCAAGATCGACGTCCATCCGTCCTGGAGGGAGTGCGGCAAGAAGCTGTACATTGGTGTCCACGGCGATTGCGAGGTCCACGGGAAGCACGAGAGGGGCTGGGGTTATGGGCAGTGCATCAAGAAGAACGCGCCGGGAAATTGCCCAAAGAGCTTTGACTGGAACAAACAGTGTCGTGAGTTCCCCTTGCTGTTTTCCATAAATTCGGGTTCAGACAGCTGACACACTCGACCTCAGGAGACTGAGTATCTCTCCTTGAGGCAGCCATGGGCATGTGGTAACATGTGGCAATCCCAGACGCGTCTGTGGCGCCTTTTGGATTTGCAGACTTCGGGGAGGCAGGAATGACCTTTCATCAGTTTTAGCTTCTTATCAAGGTCCTTCCAAACTCCGATGACTGGGTATTCTTGAAACTTCAAAGATAGGTCGGTGGCGCGCAAACTGCGAGACCTGGTACAATCCAGAGCACACTCGTTTGGCATACGGCGTGAGGAAATAAAATTTGTGATTCATCATCCCTTTTCCCGTGATTGCTGAATAAAATATACCTGCTCATGCTAGTTGCTCTTGAATCCGATGTCAATCTTGGGTCTATGAAGTATAATCAAGCTGCTCTTAGCTTTTCAAGTCACGGAACACGGAACACGGCACCGGTAACTGGTGCCGAGTTCAAGAGACCACGGCAGCAAACAGCCGGCACAGGTGTAGCCCGAACCCTAGACACTCAAACAGGTAGCGCCCGACACTATGTTAGGTATAACGGGTAGAGTTGTTGAAAACATAAAAGGCAGGATCTTAGGCTTTCTGCGTAGTCTCTATCAATATACCCCGATGACCTCGGCGAGTGGCATAAGGCGTTGAGACGATTAGCAATGTTGATGCAGCCCCAAAATTCCGCTTTCATTTCCGTGACATCCATCGACACAGAGCTCGCCTTCGATTCTCTTGTCGCTACGTTCAAGCTCGCATAGGGTGCGACCGCCCTCTCCAGGCCACGATCCAGGTTCTCTCCTCGCACGGCGCCCCGGCCGGACCACTCCGAGCCCCAATATCAGCCGCCAATACCTGCAGGTGCGGTGACTTTGCTGCATGCACATGATCTCTGCCCATAAGTACTTTGTCTCTTATCTGTTGGACGAGTTGTCTGCGAATCAAGTCGTCAAGTCCCCTACGGCGGCCAGAGGATATCACTTGCGGGTACCTTGGCACCAAGACCATGGCCATGGAAATGGATCCAGGGCCGACCGAGGGCGGCGTTCACACATCGAGAGACACTAGCAGCGGACACAACATTCGAGACTTGGGACTGCTGAGAAGGTTAGCAGGAGGGCAAATGATTCTGACCCTGCTGGCAGAGGCACATAGATTGATCGCTGAAGTACAAAGGTAATGATCGTCTACAAGGAAATCCTCCGCGTCCTATATATCCTTTGTCCTTCATCGGATTTCCATAGAGGTGTGCTGCTGGTCACCCTTCGTGGAACTGACGGTCAGTGGTAAAACCATTGACCCGTCAGTTCCTGGGTGGTGACCGGTCAGTGCCAAGACTACTGACCGGGTCCCGTACCCGTCCTTATCGTTATCCGTGCCTGATTACCTGATGTTCTTGTGCTGACATAAGGAGGGGTGTCTTCCCGCGTGCATGACCTGCCCTTGTCCTTGGCCCGATCCTGCGACCTGTTGGTCGGGTTGTCACAAGGGCCTGTCATCGTCGTTAGCTGCATTTCGTGGCTTGAAGCAGAGAAAACGTACATCCTCGCAGACCAGGCCGCCCAGGCTGTGGCAGACAAATATGATCGGCCGTTCATTCTGCTCGCGTTAGCATCGTCACTATCATACCCGGCCGCCGGCACCTACCGTGTCGTCCTCCTCTCGATATGCCGCGAGAGACGTCAGAAGATTCCACGCGTAGTTCGCAATACGACCCTGCGACACCACGCCCCGCCAGTCTGCCACATACGCATCGTATCCGAATGTGAGGACACGCGCCGTCGGGAGCTTGGACGGGAGGAGGGCCTTGGGCCATCGCTCGGATGCGCCGGCGGCCGTCCAGGTCTTCTCGCGGTCGCCCGTCAGGCCGTGGATGAAGACGATGCCGGAAGTGTCAGCAGCCGATTCAGAGGCTAAGGGGGGAGGGAAGAGAACACGCACTCGACGATGGCGTCGGCGGGGTTTGCCGGGCTGTGGAGCAGCTTGATGCCGGCGGGGAAGGTCTTCCTGGTCGAGGATGGCGGCGCCGCCAGCGATGGGGCTGGCGGGTCCTGCTCGACTGCTGCGCCAGTCGTCGGTTTTGGCTCCTTCTGCCGCCCGAAGAGTCGCCGCATTCTGCTGCGCAAGAGGATGGCGGCGTGTCGTCGGGACCGTCAGACTGCTCCGCGGCCTCGGGGTTGGAGGCGGGCCTGATGTGTGCGAGGAACCCTCTCTGGGTTCGTGCCTAAATTGGCCCGGCTTTGCTCCGGCACACCGCTGCTGCTATTTTTGGCTCGCCTACGGTCGTCCTGTGGGCCATGTGTCCAAATGGAACAACGGCCCAGAACAACACGCATCGTCTGCGCGGCATCTTGAACCTTCCGATCTGTCGCACCGAATACAGTCAGATTCGAAATCGGTGTCCGTGTACGTCATGCACAAATAGTTCTACGCACAGGCACCTTGGCACACCACGTTAGTCAGTGGAGAAGTGGGCACCTCTGCAAAAAGGTGGGGTAGAGGACAGCCAATTCGTGCTCCATAGTCAGTAGTGGCTTGATCAAGAATCCTCGCTTATTGCATGGATGAAGGCATCACATTATGAGAAAAGCACACGATGCTGCAACAAATAAGCGTCTTGCTACCAAACATTTCTACACTTATTCGTTCTCGTCGATCGGCCGAAGTTGAAAGCCATAGCTTGCACGGCGACCTTCTGCAATCTCTCAAGGGCCTATAGCCATATCAGTTTTGACTTCGACCGGCCGTCTTTTGTGGCGATGACATGGCGCATTTTGGCTTTCAGGTCCTCTATTGAGACTCCCTGCTCAGCGGAAGGCGTGGTGGACAAGCAACGTGAACTCGTTCGGAGTGTTGGCAGGAAACGCGAGTTCGCAGTCCTCTGGCAGGATGGGCTGTACAGTCTACGGACTGCACGTAGCGCTCGCAACGGCCACCTCTTCATCAATAACATTTTAGTTCCGCAAGGGACAGAAAGCGGCTTTCGACAAAAAGCGAAATGAAATTAGGACGCAAATTAGAACGCCGGATCTATAGATGTTTACGGGATGGAGTGCGGTCAGAGGAGCCTCCGACCATTTTATGGCCAAAACTGCACGTCAATTGACCACCGTCGAGCCTCGCGCCATCGTCAATTGACCGTGTGTCTTCGATGGAAGCCATGCTCAGCTGCTTCAGGTTAGTGAGCATGGGACTGCGGGAGCTCCTGAGTACTGGAACACAGGCTGGATGACTCATCTCTATGTGGATCCAATGTCTCATGTGGCTACCCTGTAGAGGCACAGTGGCTCTGTGCCTGGCCTCTACGATGGAATGGCCACGTGGGCATTGCCTTGCGTCACACAGCTCACATCACCGCAACCGATCACGATGCCATCCGACACCTATGCAGATCCGTGGCAAAACGACTACGAATGGCCAGTCCACGAGCTCGATGACTACGAAAGCCCACAAATCCCGGCGGCAAGACCTGCGAACGATGGTCAAGGATTCTCCGAGACTCCGTCAATCGAAAGCCGGACCTCGGTGACCAGCAAACTGCCCCTAATTCGACTGGAGGACTGGGTTGAGGGGAAATCTTATGATGAGAATCCGCCTACTTGTATACATTACTCGATCGAATGGAAATTGACAGTAGATGGCAGAGTCGTCCCTGGCTCCAAGGATAGCGAGCAAAACCTAGTTCTCGCCCCGGGCGACTACTGGGAGAAGACCCTACGAAGCAAACTCGATAAATTGTTGAAGAAGAAGCTAGCCTCGAATCGATCGTATCGACCAGACGACACCACCGTTGTAGTCCATGTGCAGGATCGATCGGAGAGAGACTTTGTTAAAAGATTCGACGAACTAGACATCGAATGGTCGATTTTGGAACAGCAACTTCTCCTCTGGAGCAACCTGTTTCGTGCTGGACGACGATTGAGGATCGAGATTACATTCAACTACATCCAAACAAGTGGAGGCGCTGGTGTAACAACCAAGCGTGGGACCAAACGAGGCTTCGCGTCTACTTCAGAACGTATGCTCGCCCAACGTGACATGCACCTTGCTGCCGAGGAAGGCTCTAGTGGGCAGCCATCAATTTGCCAACAGGTGTACGCAACCTTTCGTTGCCCAGGTCCACCCTGCCACGTCGGGCCATACTGCTGGCAGGACAGGGACACCAAGAAGCGATACCGCTTAAGAACACACCATTTTAAAGCACTAATTGAGCATGTTGAGCAGGGTGGCGCTTTACTTGATCATGACGATGTTCCTAACAGCCTCCGTGAGCAGTTGTTTGCCGAGGACCAGCAACGTTTAGAAGAACAGCAGCGAAAAGCAACGTCTCGAGCCAGTTGCCCACCGATTAACATCACAAACATCATGCCAAATACCGGGCTCTCTCCTTCTCTGGAATCCGTGGCTGTTTCTGCAACAGCATCAACGCCTGCCAGCAGACCGTTGCCATCTGCCGTTTCTCTTGAGATACCTGGCCCACGGGATATTGCAGTGAAGGACTATTGCAACTGGCATTGTCTGCAAGTGGAACACCTATCCATCAAGCAGGAGTTCCAGAACATCTATCTCGTCATGATGGAGCATTGTCTCGACCTTGAGCAAGTGTTCGAGGATCAAGACCCGGGATTCTTCATGGAGAAGGGAGTGAAGATTGGAGTCGCCCGACGTTTTGTCCGCGATATCAATAAATGGGTCGCGCTGCGTAGTGAACAGTGACAGGCTCAGATATTTTACAGCACGTTTTCATAGTTTCTCAATTGTAATGCCTGCATTCTGGAAATGGCCTTTCGCGCTCGTCTCCCTCGCACCCACTGTCTGCACGCACCACTCTAGAAATCCGGCGAAGTCCTCGTCTTTCCGCCAATGTCTTTTGATAAAGCGCTTCAACTCTGCAAAGAATTCCTCGATAGGGTTAAAGTCTGGTGAATATGGCGGCAAGTAAATGAGCTTCAAGCCAGTGTCCCTGCATAACTCATAAATCCTGTCAGAGTGGTGGAAAGATGCATTGTCCATCACGAGTACGGATCTCGGCTCCGGCCATTTGCCGCAGTGCGGAAGTAGTCTCTCGAGGAAGTCTTCGAAGACTTCCGCATCAGTCGAGCCTTGGAAAATCTGAGAGAAGATCACTCCGTCTTGCGAATAAGCTGGAAGAATTTGATATCTCTGCTCTCGGTGGAAACGTGCAACTTCTACCGGGGTCGTGCCCAGTGGCGACCAGCCAGTTCGTCGAAACCCAGCTCTTCTGTCACAACCTGACTCATCGATGAATACCAAATGGTAAGACGAGAATGCGGACAGATTATAGAGATAAAAATCACGTAGGTCTGCGTTTTGCTCCTCGGCGATTCGACGAATCACTTTTTTAGTCCAACCTTCCGCCCGCAGAGCACGGCCAATGCTTGACGTTGTTACCAGCGTCTCGAATTCGTCCCAGAGGAACACCACCATCTCGTCTTGATACATCCCAGGTTTTTCAAGTAATCGATCGAATAACGCACGAAGCATTGCCGGGGTAATACTCTTCGGTCGACCAGACACGTTCGGAGGGGCTTTCGTAGTGCCAAAGTGTCGCAGATGAGAGCGAAGACGTCGGACAGTGCGCTGACTGCATTGCGCAGTCCTGGCTATCTCATTGTCAGCATATTTCTCACTTGTGATCATATACTCAAGTTGTTCGTGGGCAGCTTGGGCAAGGTTCGGCGCCATCTTTGCTTGCGGTTTAAGATCGGTCATGATCACGACGGAGCGGGAAATTCAGAGTTGGGCGCGCTCTGTCTTCCGGCTCAACCTCGGCATAAGGCAAGGGTGGATGTTAGCGCCAACCCTGCATATCCCGCATTTCCTTTTGCCCCACTACTGTCTGGCGACTGCTATTTGTGCCCCACTACGATGCTGATGCTCGACGAAGTCGCATCACGCCGCCGTAAGCCAAAACGTCAATCTGCCGAGAACCCCGGCTCAGAATACGCTTGCAGGATGCGCCTCTTGGAGATAAAAGAGCATGGCAGCCTCAGCCTTCGGGAATATTCCCCAGAGGACGTCCCGCCATATGCTATCCTCTCGCACACCTGGGGACCCGACGACCAGGAGATCACCTTTCAAGACGTCCATAAACATACAGGCCACCACAAGGATGGGTATCGAAAGTTCGCGTTCTGCAGCCAACAGGCTACACTGGATGGCCTGAACCATTTCTGGATCGACACTTGCTGCATAGACAAGTCCAACAGCCAGGAGCTTCAAGAAGCGATCAACTCCATGTTTCGTTGGTTCAGAGATGCCGAGCATTGCTACGTCTTCCTCACAGATGTGCACAAAAACGCCAGCGACGACGACAACAGACCGTCACAAGTACAATGGGAGAAAGCCTTCAGAAGCAGCCGGTGGTTCACCCGCGGTTGGACACTACAGGAACTGCTAGCGCCATCATCTGTGCAGTTCTTTTCAAAAGACGGTAGAAAGCTAGGAGATAAGAGAACTTTCGAGCAGCATATTCACGAGATTACGAGCATTCCTATTGCCGCCCTCAGAGGTGGCTTGTTCGAGCACGATGTTGACGAGCGAATGAAGTGGATGGGCAAGCGGGAGACAACGCGCCCAGAGGATATAGCTTATGCACTTCTCGGGCTGCTTGGCGTTCAGATGCCCTCAATATATGGTGAAGAGAAAGAAAGCGCATTACGGCGGCTACGTAGAGAGGTTCGCAAGGTCACCTCCCCCCTGTCTGTACCCATGGCAAACAGAGCTGCGTTCGACTCCCGCGACGAAGAGCATAATCCACGATGCCATCAGAAGACACGTACAGAACTTGTCCATCAGATTGATGAATGGGCGAGATTTGGCAAGGAGCCAATATTCTGGTTAAAAGGCATGGCTGGAACCGGCAAGTTAACAGTGTCGCGAACAATTGCCCAGCGCTTCGACAAGGGCATGCTTGCTGGCAGCTTCTTCTTCAAGAGGGGTGAGATCGATCGTGGCAATGCTACCAAGTTCTTCACCACTTTAGCCGCCCATTTTGCTATCAGAGTGCCGCACGTTAGACGATTGGCCCGTAGTACGCTCGATGCTGATCCCAGACTTCCTTCGAAGGGCTTACGCGAGCAGTTTGAACGGCTTATCTGGCAGCCACTTACCCAATTACAAGATCCGCAGACTTTTATCATTGTGATTGATGCGCTTGACGAGTGCGACCGAGACGAAGATATCAGGGTTATAATCTACCTCTTTGCACGAGAAAAAACTCTCCGCCATATCCGCCTACGAGTATTTCTTACCAGCCGCCCTGAGCTACCGATTCGCCTGGGATTTACACAAATTCGAGGCGATTACTAAGAACTTGTTCTTTATATAATACCGAGAACTACCATCGAGCAAGATCTTCGTATCTTTCTTATCGACGAGTTGATTAGAATTAGGGACGAACATAACGTTGATACGTTCGAGGATGTGAAACTCCCACCAGATTGGGCTGTTGCATATATCGATTCATTAGTCAACATGGCCCTCCCGCTTTTTATTTACGCTGCTACGATATGTCGTTTCATCGAAGATCGAGCATGGTCTGATCCTGCTTCCCAGCTATAAAAGATTCTTTTCTATCAGGTAAACTTCGATGGATCAGAGATTGACCGGCTTAATAGCACATACCGTACTGTGCTAGATCAGATCCTCGCTAAGAAGGCCGGTCCTGCAAGGCAGTGTTAAATCAACCTCTTCAAAAGTATTGTTGGACCTATAGTGCTTCTGGTCGAGCCACTTTCAGGAAAGGCCCTTTCGGAATTACTTAATATTCCCTTAGCCGCTATTCAAGGCCAGCTGAAACTCTTACATTCCGTATTATCTGTCCCAGATACGGCGGACGTACCTATTCGTACATTCCATCTATCCTTTCGCGAGTTTCTTATCAATCAATTGAAATAGAAAGACGGGTTCTGGATTAATTCGCGAGCGGTTCATACGAGGCTTGCCACATAATGCATTCAGCTACCATCTAAAGAAGACAGCCTAAAGAAGGATATCTATGGCCTCCAGGATCCAGGGGCCAGCCGATCAGAAGCCAGCCAACAGACTATCGACGTATACATTCCCTCTGCTATTCAGTATGCCTGTTTACATTAGGCACATCATCTTCACCTAGCCGATGACCCTATTCACAGTTAAGACAAAGTGTATAACTTCCTACAGTATCGTTTTCTCTACTAGCTCGAGGTTTTATGTCTCTTAGTGAGGGTTTAAGAATGCATAGGTATATTATCTACTTGCAGAGCATTTTTCAGGTGAGTCTTCATCAATAACCTACTAACGTGAATACTAATTAATTAGCTGGGACGGGTATTAGCCTTTTCCTCTTAGATGAGGCTTTAACCTGGATAGCGAATGCACCTACGGTTGCATCAGACTGGGGCTTGTGCATCCAGACACTTGAAGGCCACAGCCTCTGGGTTAGATCGGTTGCGTTCGCGCCTGATGGGCGGCGGCTCGCCTCGGGGTCAGGGGACAAGACCATCAAGGTCTGGAATGCCCAGACGGGCGCGCTGCTTCAGACGCTCGAGGGCCACGGCGGCCCGGTCGAATCGGTTACGTTCACGCCCGACGGAAAGCGGCTCGCGTCGGGTTCAAGGGATAAGACGGTCAAGGTCTGGGATGCCCAGACAGGCGCGCTGTTACAGGCGCTTGAGGGTCACGGCGGCCCGGTAGACTTAGTTACGTTCGCGCCCGATGGGCGTCGACTCGCCTCGGGGTCAGGGGATAAGATGGTCAAGATCTGGGATGCGCACACGGGTGTGCTACTACGAAGTTTCGATATTTATACTTTAATTAATAACCCAACCATTACAACTAACGTCGGTAAGTTTCCTACTACTGCATCAAATCAGCTAAGGGCAGATAGCCGAAGCAGAAACTCTGCTGTAACTACTAAGCCCGAAGATAGTCGGGCTAGATTGTGACGACCCGACCAACAGGTCGCAAGATCGGGCCAGGGACAAGGGCAGGTCATGCACGCGGGTCCAAGAAACATTACCTAAGCCACCATGATGAGTCATCCAGGACAGGACCACGCCAAGACCGTGGAACTGTGCCAAGAACTGTGGGACTGCGCAGTCCCAGTAGGAACTGCGCAGTGCGCCGATAGAACTGACAGTTCCAAGGCACGGCAACACAGTTCACGATGAAGGACAAAGGATATATAGAGCCAGAAGGATTTCCTTGTAGACAGTCATTACCTTTGTACTTCAGCGATCAATCTAAGTATCACCCTCACCCTTCACTTGACCTAGTCACTCAATTGATCCGAGTGTGATATCTCGCAAGAGACACGAACGACAACCCCCTCGAGAACACGAGAAGCACGGAGTCAGTATTGCATGAGGTCGCTACCTACCTTATCCAGAACATAAACCCCACCGCGCCGATCAGACGGTTGACCCCGGAGATCGGATCGTGACATTTTGATCGCTCTTGTTCGGGTAAGTACACCCCGAGCAATACTGACAACAGGTACCACAGTTACAGGTCATGAACAACAACCCAGCACACACCCAACAAAGCACCGCCAACCCATCGCAGGACAGAACACCTGTGGGAGCGCGCTGCAAGGAGTGTGCACAACCAGCAGTCTATCTCGGACGTTGCTATCGACACCAGCTCAGGAAGGAAGTAGGAGAGATCTGCCAACTCTGCCATAACCTCCGATATATCAACCACGACGACGTTTGTTCCGGACGGTCCTTTACCCACTGGAACGAGGAAGAGTACCTCCAGAGCGCCAGCAACGCCAGAAAGAGATAAACCATGTCGAACATGTCAACCGACTCCGCAGGACGGGCCGTCACTCCAACCCACGGCCGGACCCTGGAGGACGAACTAGGCGAAGTCAGCCAGCCCGGACTCTCAACTGAGGAAGAACTGGCCAGACTCCAAGAATGGGCCAACGGCGCAATCGAACACACCAAGAAGCAGGACAAGGCCATCCTGGCCCTCAACCGAACCACCGAGGAGTACAAGGGCATGGTCGCCGAGCTCCGGAACCAGGTCCAAGCGCTCCTGGGAGCGGCCAGCATCATCGCGACCCCCAGCGGGGGGAGCGTTCGTTTCAACACCCCCGCCAAGTTCGACGGAACCCCTGGGAAACTCAAGGGATTCCTGGTACAGCTCAAAGCCTATCAACGACAATACATCAACCAGTTCCAAACCGAGCAAGACCGAATCATACACGCTGCCGGTTTCATGGAAGGAAAAGCACTACGATGGTTCGAGCCACACCTCGCCCAAGCACTGGAGAACGACCCAGAAGACATGGAAGGAGAAACGAGGAAGATCTTCGAGTCCTTCGACAACTTTGAGGAGGCCCTGGAATCTCTGTTCCAGGACCCCGACGAGAAGAGACGAGCCGAACGGGAACTCGAGAAGCTCAGGCAGAACAAATCAGCTGCGGAGTATGCCACCGATTTTCGACGCATCATCGCGCAGCTCGACATGACCGAAGAAAGCAAGATCTCGAGCTTCTATCGCGGGCTCAAGGAAGAAGTCAAGGACAAGATGGCGGAATACTTGGAGCCACCAACCAAATTCCTCGAATACTGCGAACTCGCCATCAAACACGACACGCGCCTATACGAGCGACGCGCCGAAAGACACTATGGCAACACCACGAAAATACAGCATCAACCCAGACAGCCGATGCAGAAAACGTTCAAAAGGACCTTTAGGCAGCAGACCACTGCAACGGGCACCCATGCGGGACCCATGGACATCGGGAAGGCGACCCCGAGAGACAACAAGAAGTTGTGCTACAACTGTGGAAAAGAAGGGCACTTTTCAAGGAAGTGTACAGAGCCCAAGAAACCATTCAAACCGGTACCAACCCAAGCAATCAGAGCATGCTATGTGGCAGAAGAAAGCGAACCAAACGAAGGGACGCCGCCACTCAGTGAGGCAACGACACCTGAGACGCCCAGGACGCCCACCATATCGGCAACGACGCCGCAAGACGTTGGGGAAATGGACTCGAGCAACCAGAGTAACAACGCACCCGACGATGACGTAGAGCCATTTGTGTTGGCTTACGCACGCAGCGAAGAATACGACTCCCCAGAGATAATGGAGAGCCAGTACGACGAGCCAGAAAGCAGCGAGCCTAACGACTCCGACAAAGAAAACCAGCCGCCGGGAGACGACGAGATCCCCCGAGGAATCCACGATACGGGATACGAGGTAGAGACCTTCGGCTGGGACAACGCGCCGGCCGCCATGCGAGAGCTAGCGCGGACCAACCGCCGAAGAAACAACGGCGAACACGGTCAGATGTGGGACGCACGGGCAGCCGACCTCTCGGCCCCGGAGGGGACCACCACCGGGATGTTCAGAGATACCGATGCACTCGCCAACTGGCGGAATAGGGTGCATAACGCATGGGTAACGACTGAGGGAACTCATGACCCCCTGGAGTCGAGACCCGGAACCCCGGGAAGCTGCGAAGACACCCAGCTGGACGAGAACTGGGAGAACGAAGAAGGCAGCGACATCGACGGCTACGAAACCGGGATTCGGTTTCAAGGCAAGCCACTCAAGGAAAAAGATGACCCTTTCGACTGGGCCATCGCAGCAAGAAGGTACCAGACACAACTCGCATACCCCGGAGACCACCGGTATATGCTAAGCTGGGAACCAATGCACGCCACCATTCTATGGGTATACTGCTACAACGATGGATGTTATCACCACTTCGGAGACAAAGTACGCCACCAAATATCCCCGCGCCGGCAGGAGGGGACGCCAGTCCCACACCCCCTGCCAGGAAACGTTCTACGGGAGTGGCAGCCAACCTTCGTCGACGGAGCATACGAACTAGCAGACACGTATGAATACCCCAAAGAATGCGTGTTAGGAGGAAGGGGCAGAAAGCGTTGCATCACGAACAACTGCCTCATACACGTACAACGAAAAATCGAAATCCTGCAGCTCGCCGAAACCACGCGGAACCTCAATGAAATCTGCGACGACATTCGGCAGGAGCGGGACTTCGTGGAAGTCTACCAAGGGCTCAAGGATCGAGTCGCGGAACCAGGGACGATCGCGCGGGACTACCTCGACGAGCTCAGCGACCACCTCAACGAAGTCATGGCGTTCATCGATCAGAATGGGCTAGTTCCAGGATTCAGCCGAGCAGAGATCCGCGGAGCCGGGATCATGATCCGCGACGCGGCCGAACGACCTACTGGGCTAAGCGCCTACGATCGACGGAAGACGCTATGGAAAGATATCGAGGAAGCATGGAAGGAGGGGCTACTGGACAGAGGGTACACTGCAACCACCATCCAGGCGGAAAAAGACCGACGGCGGGCGAAGGAGGCTCGTCCCCGCCGATCTTAACCCTTGCGTCCTCCTATCCATACCACGGGAAATGGAGCCCGACAATCAACATCGTCGTCAACGGGATTCCATGCACAGCACTCATCGACAGTGGGTCCAACAGGACCTATGTCAACGCACAATGGGTAAACAAGTGGGAAGTCCCTTACAAAGACAAGGAAAGACCCTA